TGGTTTCCTGGTTTCCTGGTTTCATGGTTTCATGGTTTCATGGGTTCATGGGTTCATGGGTTCATGGGTTCATGGGTTCATGGGTTCATGGGTTCATGGGTTCATGGGTTCATGGGTTCATGGGTTCATGGGTTTGGGGTTTGGGGTTTGTTTGTTTTTGTGTTGGAGGTTTTGGGTTCGGGTGTTGGAGGTTGAGGTTTCCGAAGGGATGTGTTTGCAAAGTTTTATTGCTCTTAATATTAAATCAATTAGTTATAGTTTTTAATGCCACCATCCATTGATGGCATTGTCTTTTGCTTTTGCACGAGATATACCTATCCTATCCTATCCTATCCACCGGTCTATTCGTATTCCGATCCCCATCTCTAACAAAGAACGCTTAGCTCCTGAAATGCTCGCGAAAAACCGACTTCCAAGTTCGCGAAAAACCGACTCGCGAAAAACCGGCAGCGCTGGTGGTGACAGTGGCAGAAGTAGCGATCGTCTTCCTGCATGCAGAAGTAGCGCGGCTAGTGGTCCTAGCAGTAGTGGCGGTGGTGTTAAGGCTCCTACCGCTCCTCAAGCATGTCCTAAAAAATATCGTTATAATCACATCCTTGGAGGAGGAGGTTCTTCTGTTTCCACTTGAAAACGGAGCTCTGAAGAAGGATGTGAGGACTCTGAAGAAGGAAGATGCGACCGCTTCGGCTCTAATGGTTGTGGAGGTGGTGGAGGGAGTGGTTGTAACTCTGCTGCTCGTCCGACTCCCGGAGACGGAGGTAGTGGTTCCTGGCGAGGTGGAACAACAACAAGCGACGACGGATCCTTGACCGAAGAACAGGTGAACATTACGGCCTCTTCTTCGTAATTCGCCCTAATATGTCTCTATCTCTTCAATGAAAATAGAGAAGGAGTAGATGCCGCCTCAAGCAACAGGGTCGTGGTCGTGCTGCATCTTCTCAATTTTTGTACTTAAAAGAGAGATGTTGGCGATAGTGTCGTGAAGGCTGCATGAGTATTCTTGTTCTGCCGGGATCCATACTTGTACAGCGATGAATCGCATTTGGGGGTGGGCCGAACCTCTATCTCTCTAAGAACAATTTGAGTTTGGACCATCCCGAATGGGCTGACGTAGCACCTCATCGTGGCCACACCTCTAGTTTTCGAGCTTCTCCAGTAATGCGGCTAAGAGGTTTGCCGTACAATGCATTACGGGATGATGTGAATGATGATAGATTTAACAAGAACTAGTAAGTCCGAGGAGTTGTATTGGAATCAAATGATGTTAAGAATGTTCTTTGACGAGTAAAACGAGGATAACAAGACCAACTTCTACATCTTCAACAACTTCTGCTTCAATTAAATAGCCTTTGGTCTTATTTTACAAGTACTAAGCAGCGAGCAACTACAAGAACAACTTCTGTCATTGATATTAGATGAACACGAAGAAGATTTAAAATAAGATTTGATTCAAATGATCTTATTTTATATATTCATCTTCTAACAAGGACAGTAGCCCTTTTGCATGAATGGCTTGGTAAGGATCTGACCGACACGCTTCGACCAGAGAATAATACGAAAATGCTGAAAAACTTTGACGGGAGGCCTTCTGGCACTACACTCCTTTGCTTCAAAACGGTTCACGATGCTGCAAAAGCGCAGAGACTGAGACACAAAAAATTAATGGGAAATAGGTACAAATGCTTTAGTTTCAACGCGTGGTTGCTGACTTTGACGTAATATTCCTTCGTACTCGCACATTCACATACACTCGTCACGTGACTACTCCCTATTAGACATGTACTTCAGATCAACATCGTTTATAATTTCCGACGACGAGCGGACATTTATATTTTCAGACGACGAGAGTGAGAGAAATTAGAACGCCACACTTCCTGTTCCTTCACTCTGTCTCTTTCTCCACGACCACTGCATAGGTATGTCGACTGTTTCGGTCCTCTCGTGTATCCGCGAGGTTTACAACCGCCTCCGCCACAGCAGAGCCGCAGACCTAACCGGCCAGCGATTCCCTTTGGAGATTGCCCGCCGCGTGGAGGTCGCTATCCACCTCGTAGAGACTTTGATGACAGAGGCCACGACTACAGAAATTACAGTTCGCGTTACGATCCTCGAGATCACTACAACTATGATCGAGAGGAAGACTTTCGTCGGCGGGATGAATATGATGACTTCTATAATGGACGAGGAGATCCATATGCATATGATGATCCATACTATCGTGGTGGTACTACTTTTCAATTTAGTACTACTACTACTTGAAATTATATGGATATTATCTTTATCATTATGGGAACATTCTTGTCAGGTGCTATAATGGAGTTCATCTGCTTGTAACGAGGAGCTGTACGAGCGAGTGCTTAACAACTACATCAGCTCATAGTGATTTTTTGAACCTCCATGCTAGCCACAGCCACACCAACAACTTCACCAGGTGGAGGTCCTCCTCGTGGTTATTACGACGATTACTCGTATTCTCCTCGCTACGATCGTAGAGCACGAGGTGGATACCCAGAGGATTACTACGACGATCCGCCCTACTATGATATGGATGAGCGCGACGGTCGAGGGTACTACGGCGGACGAGGAGCGTCGTTGTATTATGACCACGACGGGTACGACTATCGTGACGAAGATCCTTACCGAGGAAGAGGACGAAGCCCTTCTCCGAGGGATCGGTACGGGTATTACGACTACTACGACTATGACCCACGTTCGCGTGGAGGAGGTGGCTATGCGCGTGGTCGAGATTATGACTATCCCCCAGGAGGACCAGGAGGTGGAAAAGGAATGGATCTTATGGAACAGGGAGCTACTTCTAGAGGATTTTGTTTAACTCATCTACTTCTACAATGGGACGAGGAGCGTCTTGTTCTATTCACTAGCCATTGAGCAAGTTCTTTAGCTAGCGCTACAGGTGCAACTCCACCACCTGGCTGCGGATCGAAGAAATGTTGATCATGTTTCGTCGTACACCATCTAGTAGATCTACTCGTAGTACCATTTATGTTGGTACAACCATTTCTTCTAAGAAATATCGCGACCACGGTTCTTCTCGTGGTGGAGGAAGATTTTTTGACTCTTACGAATATGATTGTTGTCCTCCTCCTCGAGGTAGCTGCGGGTATCATGAAGATAGTTAAGGGTTTCCGAATTACATCTCTCACTACCATCCTTGGCTCCTCTTCTAGGGGAAAATAGGCCAAGGATGTTCTGAAGAATGCAACTCGGCGCCCTCTAAGATAGAGGACCTCCTGGCAGAGGTACTAGAGGTGGACCGCGAGAACAAGGTGGTGGAGCGGATCGTAGGATCAAATCCCAATCGCGAGAACGAGGAGGCGCGACATCAACTCCAAATATATACGACAATTTAGAGCTTGACGGGGACCACGAGGACAATAATTTTAGTGGAGGCAACAAGAACTACAACAAGAACCCGAACCCATCTAGTTGTACTTACAAGGGCGGCCCTCGTGGTGCTCGTTCCTACAAAGGGGATAATTATGACCAAGGAACTCGTCACTCGTTCGACAACTACACTAGAAGTAATTGTGGTTCTTCTGCTCGTCCGAGTCCGACATCTTCGCTCAGCAAAGGTAGCGGGTCGTCTGGTTTATTCAACTACATGCGGAATTTGCAAGAGCAAAACCAGAACTCACACGACAAGAATTAAGGCGTTGCGCCAGAAGTAGAAGAACAACATTAGCATATTGATTAACTTCATGATTGATTGTTCACTCCTATCAATCAATATCATCTTAATACGAGTATCTCTAAAAAGCAAAGGCTAGCCCTGCATCAACCACCGGAGGTACGAGCCCTAGTACTACTTCTATTAAGTTTAAGAACAAGTGGTCGTCCAACACAACAACTTCTATCGGAAGCGGAACAGATCTCGAAAACGTGGTACCTTTTTCTACCCCGAGTGTTCGTGGACAAGAACAATTGTTTTCGAGTCCTCGCGCAGGAGCAACTGAAGATTTCGACGAGAACAATAGCAAAACAACACGCACGCGAGCCAGTAGCAGTACGCGAAGCACAATGACTGGACCTTCATCTTCATCTTCATCTTCGAACATCGAAGAAGTAGAACAACAAGTTCTCAGCACTAAGAAGACTGCTCGCGAATCTGCTCCACAACAGCGCCAACCTCCACCAACTCGCTCCTTTCCTTCTAAGAATACGACACCATTGTGGAAAAAGAAGCTGAGAATGAAAGCCGAACGTGACGCGCAGCTGTTTTCCCTGCAACAAGACAGTATGGCGCGACGGCGGCTTCCAGAAACTTCTGAGATGGACATCTTCAAAAAGGAGACATATATTTGTTCGAGACCACCAGGAACAAGATCTCATGGTCATCACTTGAAGATGGGCGGAAGCAGTATGAACCACGAGGACGCAAGAAGAAGAGGAGTTTTGCTGGGATCACGTCGATACGACTACGACAACCACAATAGTTCTGAGTTGTCACCAAGAGCACATGATCACCGAGGACTTCGATACATGCGGGGTCGTGGTCGTGGACCTTCAGGTTCATCGTCCACTTTTTTCGACAACGAGTATCAACATCGTGATTATCACCGTGGGAGCAGTGCTCAGATGAATCTTGGTGGAACAAGCACACCAGGGTGTGGCACTAGTAAAATGAATCAGCAGCATCTGTTTTACTCACCTCTAGTGGAAAACAACAACTCATCGTCATCTCAGACTCAGTTTCGTCCACCTCATGACGTTGACGACGACTTTCACGACCCGTCTGAACAAGATGAATTAGTACATGAACAAAGAGGTGGAGGACTTATCAATAATATGCCCATGGTCGGATCATTCGAAAATCAAAATCCTAATCTGCTTCTCCCACAACAAGGTGGCGCTGGCGTGTTACATCATTAAGGCTTTTACCGCTATTGAAGGATCTTCCTCATCCTGCTCAGTCGGGCCTCCACGTCAACTCTTTTTCTCTATTTTTCCACTTAATAGAAAATGAACAAAAGGCCCGCAAGGATCTTCATGCTCCTGATGCTGCTTTGAGCAGGAGATGATGGAGAGAGGCGAATTCTGGATGGTAAGTCTAGGCAAGAATTGTAGCTCTAAGTAGTAGCTCAGGAGCTGCCTCTCACTCTCACACCACAGCAACACCAACTTCCTCTCGGACAACAATTCCCTCTGGTGGAGGAACAACTGCCTGTCGAGGACGACTCAGTTGCCCAGGAGGAAGAACGACTGCAGAAGATCACGAGTGGTCTTTGTAACAATTACGGCTTCCCCTAATGCATGATCTTCCGAAGAAGCACCACCTTAGCTGCGACGTTTTCAAGGGTAAAAAAACAGTCTCAGGATGGACTTGGAAGTGGATCAGGGTGAGCTCTAAAACAAATACAAACAGCAAGGACCCGCGTCGGCGAACAACGCTGAAGTCGACGATCTGGCTGAATTGCTATGCTTAGTTGCCGAGTCCATCAGGTGATTCATGACCAACCGTATCTTGCTATCATGTTCGAGTTGAAGATGACCATGAAGATGTGCGCGTGTGAACATCTACGAGGATGAACATCTACGCGGATAAGCTTGTTCTTGCACGAGTAACTAACAAACTTCTCTAATTATATTGTCATGATCTTCATGAAGACGATGAAGGTCAACAGGTTCATGAAGACGACGATCACAAGGCGAAGACGAGAAGCTTGTCCTGGGCCTGGTGTAGATGTAGGTGTGGAGTCGGTGTCCTTGTCAGGGGTCCGCGTCCCCTTAAGAATCGATGCGACAGCATGGGTATTTGATAAGAAGCGTCGCCTTTTTCCCTTATTGAAGCCTCTGAAGCGGTCGGCTTTCGACCTTTGGAATTGGTAGCGCCTGAGCCTCCTACTCTAATTCATTCCTGTGCTTGTCCTGGGCCTGGTGTGGAAGGAATTTGATCTTAATTCCTGCAGCTTCTGGTAGAAGGGATCTGGCGGGAGACATTATTACCGAAGTCATGGAGATTGATGAGCATATTCTTCACATGAGTGCTCATTACGAAGTTGATCTTGTTGTTGATGCAGTTTTTTCGTGGAGGAGAATGCATGACAAGAATCTCAATCTTATCAAGATAATGATCTTAGATTAAGGTAATCTAGCATGCAATCGAATATTCATCAAGTGGTAGAAAAGTTTTCTGATTGCCCCCCTCATTACATTCAATGTAATTCACAAATACTTCTAGTTTCTCGTTCTAGCCCCAGTAATTTGTTCCATGATGTACTAACCTATGTATACCGAGTAGTAAGTTCGTTGTTATTTTCCTTCTCATTAATTTGGATTTCACTTTCACATTTACTACGTCTTATATTTTTTGCAAAGATTAATTTATCCTGCAGAACAAGCTGCGGTAACCTCAATTCGTTGTATTTTCGTTGGTGTAGACGCGGAAACTTGTAGAACTACCTAGAAGATTGTTGTACTTGTCAGAATGGAAGCTAGAGGAATTAGTATTGTGCTTGTCCCTCACCCTTCCTGTTCCCCGTCCCCGTGCAGTGTTTTTTTTTTCCAGACTGCTTGTTTTTTTCGTATTTTCCTCAACATGACAAAGGTTAAATGGTATTAAGTTTGTCTTTGTTCTTCTTTGAAATTAGATTTAGAAAATGCCGTCCACCACATGTGCAGAATTAATAGAGATGTTGGTAGGTGAGTTTTCACAATGTAGTGGACGATCCCTGCCCTTCATCTTCAACGTCATATTATAGAGCAGTTTATAGAACGGATGTGGGTGGTACTCGGATGGATCGGATGGATCGGATGGACCTCCCTGGTTTTTCAAGTGGGTGGTCGGATGGATCGGATGGACCTCCGGGAGGGGGGGCGGATGGATCGGATGGACCTCCTGGAGGGGGGAACGGATGGATCGGATGGACCTCCTGGAGGGGGGAACGGATGGATCGGATGGACCTCCTGGAGGGGGGAACGGATGGATCGGATGGACCCACTGCCGACCCGTCTGACCACCCCTATTTAGCAGAGCTAACTAATTTTCTATCAAAATTCGTTTCTAGCACTAGGAAAAGCCTCCAGCGCCGCCAGGTGTAAGTGGTGGCTTCATAGAATAACACTCATTGTGGCGCCCGTGGCTTGGCCTGCGGGTCCCGAGATGCGCATGCGCTATTCTGAGAGGTGCCCGCGAGTCTCATGGCATGCCTGAGGCTCTGAAAGGCAATTAATTACTTGTCGGTAACCATGCGTGAGAGTGTAGATTCCCCAGCCACGCTGTAGTTGATAGATTAGCTGAGTTATCTACCTCCTCCACCCACCCCCCTTCTCCACCCACACCCCCTTCTCCACCCACACCCCCTTCTCCACCCACACCCCCTTCTCCACCCACACCCTGCCTGGCGCGCCTTTCTTTGCTTTTTTCCCGCTCTACCTCTACTTGGTTGTCAGGACTGCTTATTCCCTCGCCCCATATTTATTGTGACCCTTGACGTTGCTTCGTGTGCGAGGATCGTTGCTGCTCTCGTGGAGCTCTTGCTTTGCCCTGCTGTGCTGCGGCTACTCAGTATTACCTGCGAAATTGACGGAACGAAGACGCCCGGCATCCTGGATTGTGTGATCGCGAGCGAAAGGAGCAGCCTTCGGATGGAACGGATGGATCGGATGGGCCTGCTTTGCGTGGAACGGATGGAACGGATGGACCTGCTGTCGCGTTCGGGACGGTTTTCGGAGGTCCATCCGATCCATCCGATCCATCCGACACAACCCATCCCGGATTTGACTACCCTATAAACTGTTCTAATATTAGAAGCTTTACTACAACGTTAGCAAGTTGATATTATGAATGTCAAGAATGTATTCTTTTTCTTACATGTGAGAGAGTATACCTGTAGATACTTAAATAATAGTGGTTCTATGTCGGTGCCTTCTATGTCGTTTATTGTAGTGCCGCCGTAATTTGATTTTGTGTCCAGTATTAATGTGTGTGCGTTTTTCTGCATTGGTCGCGGTGTGCACCACGCTCATGCGGAGGCGCTTCTCCACTGACTCAAAAATATCCTCGCGTCTATTCCCTTCCCGCTCCTCGATGATCTTTTACTTATCACCTCCATGACTTTGACTTATTCATCCTCGTTCATTTCTGTTGAATCGCGCACAACTCTCGGTAGTAGAGTAATCAGCGCGTGCAAATGACCATAAAGATGTGGGGGAGCTGACTTCCGAGTGACCATAAAGATGTGGGGGAGCTGACCATAAAGATGTGGGGGAACTGCAATTGACTAAAGGTATCTATGAAGCCATCTCGTTGTAAGTACATCAGGTAGAGGAGGTACGAGTGGCAGGTTGTATCAGATGTCTTGTATTCATCCAGTCAATCAACCATGAACAATCTATCATGATCAAAGCCCGCTGGTATTGCTCAAGAACAACATTATGATGTTGCACAACATGATGATTGCTGCAATCATAATTAGACGCCGGTCTGGTGAAATACACCTCGTGGTCTCAATGAGAGGACATCACGAGAATCTCCACCTCTTGGGTGTTCCAGAAGGCACAGTCATTATTGATAAACTAGATGGGAACGATCAATCTGCGACTCGGGGTAGAGAAGTGCGCTATTTAATATAATCATGGTGCGTGTGGTCCTCATCGTCCTCTCGGGACGGAGGCAGGCTGGGCTCTCCATCCTGATTTGGTGTTTCATATTCATGTTTTGGGGCATTACAGCTGGTGGGGCATTACAGCAGGTACTATTCCACTGAAAGTACATTGTTTCGGTGGGGGTCCCTGCGTGAACGTGAAGATCTCTCCTGGTGATGGATAATCTGCAGATCTTCACGTTCACAGATGGTTCGTTGATAATCATGATTATCCTCAGATGAAGAATGCGTTGCCCGGAGCGCATCAATACAAACCAACAAGAATGAGGCACTTCTACTTACCTACATGAAGAACTATGATAACGACAACTAAAAACAAAGATCGCGACTCATCATGTTGTTGTAGGGTAGAGGACCCCATCAGGTACGAACTTATGTTCTTATGATGTTTTGCATGACTTGAGTTTGAAGATGCTCAATGCGCAGGGCTGAGGCGGGAGCCCTTCTAAGTTTAAAGCTTGGAGCTACAACTAACTTGGTTTTTGTACTCCTGGGTGTTGCTTTTACCTCATCTTCCAATGATGCCAGGACCGGTTTTTTTCGGTCCTGCTACCGTGTTGTTCATCTTGACGTTGTTCTCATTGTTGGTTGTGCGAACACCATCAAGAATTACTACAAGATCAGCTATAAGAACATATTGTAGGTGCAGCAAGCCGTTGAAGATTTCTTTGTTGGTATAATTCCTACAGTTTCATTTTCACTTAAATAATTTCATCACCGACGACTGATGGTCATGATCATGTTGTAGTATATGAAACACCAAAGAACCAGATAACCATGATTTACTATCATGATTTTTTCTTCAGTCTTTCGCTTTTTTCGGATGGTCTTCTTCATCCTTCGTTTTTACTTCTACTGTAATATCTTAGTGTACAACTTAGTACTATAGAAGGTCATCCATTATAATGTTAACTACAATACGAGAGCCAGAGGAAAGAATTTTTTCGTCCTCGACCTCGTCTCAGTCCTTGTGTAATGAAAAGAGGCCTCATTTGAAGATGTCTATTCATTTACTAAACGTAAACACCTACAAAATTAAATAATTTCAAAAGCGGGAGCTACTTGATGATCACGTTTTCTGCTTTTGTTTTCGGAGCACGACCAGTCAGCAATCGGCTGAACACCGTCAATGGTTTACTAGGTATCAACAGTAGACTTGTTATAATGTCAGATGTTGTTCTGTTGTAAGTCTACTTCTGCAGTTCGTTGTAATCTTAAATAAAAGTTGTTTGGACACGGTTGTAATATTAAAAAGATGAATTTGTTGATTTTTTAAGGACGATGCTACCAGAATGAAGGAACAAGAAACCTGTTGGTGAGGATCTGATTCCTGTTGGTGAAGATTTTTCTTTGTTGTGGTGATTGTTGTAGTTGACAGTCGCCTCTATTTCTCATTATACTTCTATGAAGATCATTCTTGATCTTCACCTGGCAACAACTTCTATTTACTCAGAGTTTCATCTTGTTCATCTAACTCTATTAAGGACGTTTGTCGTCATGATTGACGCTCCTACAGGTAAATAGAATAGCAACCCATTAGTAGTCGGCACTACCCTCGTCTGAATCTGAGTGGGCGTTAGTACCTCGTATTTCTAAAAACAGTTGCGATGGTAGAGCTGCAACTCGCACGAAGACACCGCGAAGATAGCCATGTTGAAGCAAGCTATCGCTGCGTGAATAGGATTTGTCAAAATCGAAAATGCATGATAAGTGGCATGATCTATGGGGTCTCTCTTGTAATTCCACCTTAGCACAACTAGAACTACGACATTGCTGATCTTCGAGGCAGTCGTACTATGAGGTATTAATCAAGCCTTTTATCCTCTAGCACAAGAACTCGGCCGCCTCCAGATGAAATTGAAAGATTCAGATGCAAGTAGAACTTTCAAGAGCGACGGCTTGGCATCCTGAGGACGATAAAAAATTTGAGTGAGATTCGATTTCATATTGGATGAAACTGAAATGGGTCGTACTAGTAAGTAGAGGACCACTACACTGCTGGCGGTGCTCCTTCAAAAATCTTCTAGAAGGTACTGCAACTACAGGGAGTAGAAGATACTTCGCAACTACAACATCAGTCCTCGATCAACAGAAAGACCGCACTACAGGGAGTACTACAGGGAGGACCTCGTCACTAGACATCACTACAATAAAAAACCTTCACATTGCATTATCCACAATTTCAAAAAAGTAAAACACTATGATGCTGACTTCTTCAATGATGTGATAATGAACAAGGGCCACATGAATTACAGGGGGCGCGAACGCGATGGTAGACTGCCACTGGAACTCATGGTCGTGCTGCAGCTCTCACAAGAGGATCGCCGGAGTGGCATTCCTGAAATGCTACGAGTAGAACATTCGATGAAAAGGGGAGTAGAGAGAGAGAGCAGAGAGAGAAAAATGAGAAAGAAAATAGAGAGAAGCCACGGGTCCGTAGCATGCTACTTATCGCCGAACGTCGCTGGCATTTCTTGGACCGTGAAAGTACAGGGTACGGGTATACCACGACTGACTTCTAGAGAAACAAAGCCTTCTTTGACGAAGCTGCAAATTGAAAATGAAAAAAGGGGAAAATTTGTTGGTCGTAGAGCCTAGTTACATTCACTTTAACGAACTTGACCGTCCGGTCGTTTTGGTAGAAGATGAAAAAGCAGCTATCTTCAAGGTCCTCGCGGCGGTCAACGTCAACAAAATCATTTTAAATGTAACGCACAAGCACAACAACTACCCAGTAGAAAAATAGGAGAGACGGTATCATCTACTACCATCGATCCCACCCAAACGAGATGTTAAAGACGGCTTCATCCCTTGTTCGCCCTCGACGAAGGTGGGACAGCTTCTTCGCGAGAAGTAGAACCTTCTGTCCGTCGCCACCAACCTCAAACCTTGTTCGGCCTTACTCTACTTCCACTACTACTTCATCAATAAATTCTACTGCAAATAACGGAACAACGGTGGAGGGAGGCAAGAATGAGTTTCTGTTGGCTCGATTCGCATCAGCTATTCCACTCATTGCGACGTCTACGTCTTCGTCCGATGGCAAAAGAACAGTCAATGGTAGCGCTAGTCCACCTAGCGTAACACCTACGTGGAAGGCACCAGCTGAGCGATTCTTTGCGATGTGGCCGAAGTTATGTACGACTTCATGCTGGTTTTTTCCTCCTTATCCCTAAATAATTAGAATGTTGGTCGATCTTGATCACGATCAGTCGCATTTAAAAAAGTGTCCAACTACATGGATTTACGACGATTTCATTCTCTCCGCATGTCACGAACGTTACATGGCCTTCATCAAAAAGGTGAATCCAAAGGACTTGACACAAAGGCTCGTGATTCGTGTTCGCATTTCCAACGCTTTCCTCAAGTTCGCGATTTTTTTTTTACTTTTCAGCTCTTCATAATAACTAATGTTGAGAGTTTGCAGTTGAGGGCATGTAGAGGATGTATCTATTTTTTAGGAGGGTGTTTTTTAAATTCTGGCGTTCTTGTGCAGCTAAATTCTGGGACCGCGTAGAATCAATGCTGAATTTCCTAACTTGCTCTTTCATTCTCTCCGCATGTCACGAACGTTACATGGCCTTCATCAAAAAGGTGAATCCAAAGGACTTGACACAAGCGCACGTTTTTATGAACGACGCAGCGGCAGCGGAACTGGTCGAGTATTACTTGGCTCTAGCCCTTCTCTTAGATCGCGAAGCGGTCGAGAAGGTGGCCACGGATTCCGACGCATTGCTGAAATTAGCGGAGAAAGTTGCAAGGGAACAAGTGGAACCTGTGATGAAGGAAGGTATCAGATCTTCTATGTGACAGACAATGTACTTAGTTGCTATCTACAGCTACTACAATCATGTTGCTATCTACAACTACTTAATCTACGTTGTGACAATCATGTTGCTATCTACAACTACTTAATCTACGTTGTGACAATCATGTTGCTATCTACAGCTACTTAATCTACGTTGTGACAATCACGTTGCTATCTACAACTACTTAATCTACGTTGTGACAATCATGTTGCTATCTACAACTACTTAATCTACGTTGTGACAATCATGTTGCTATCTACACAATCATGTTGCTATCTACAACTACTTACTACACAGAGTCCTACATCAGTTGTACAGGTAAAAATGGTAAAAACAGGTCCTAGGCAGCAGCTGCACTGAAGCTTTTTGATTTTCAGCTTGAGCTTCTTGAATGAAGAGTGACATCAAGGAACACATATTGAAGATGACTCTACCTCTGACGACCAACACCATCTACCTTCAGCGCAAGAGCTAGCACTCGAATATGATGAAGAGGCTCATCGTGCACTAGAGGATCTGACGATTTGGCGTGAAATCGATGACGCTCTATTCTGGCACAACTCCTTTCAGCGGTTTTCTGCGGAGAAATATTATGATGAGAATCAGGTTCTCATTCTTCAGAATTTAAGTACAAGTACTCAAAAATAACAACTTCTCATGGGCATTGCTAGAACTAGAAGATGCGCGATTGCGCTCCTAGTACGTTTTGAGAAGTCAGTGCAAGTACTGTTGCGAGCGCGCTGCTCTACTCGTGCCCTCGTCTAGTTCTACAACTATTAATCTATCTTGTTCTATCCCGTTGTTCCCGCCAGTCCCCCAGCGGCCCCATTTTTCTCCTTCTTCATATCCCTTCCGAATTTACATCTGCAGTTCTCGGCAAGACGGCGAGTCAGCTGGAGAAAGTTCTGCAGTCACAGGGAAAGCCGCCAGCCCATCTCAAAGATAGCAACAGTGAAGACGATTTGTTACTGAAATTGGTCCCTAGTGCTCGCGTGCTTGTTGGCCTCGATGCAGATCCGAATGCACCATCTACAACATCCGCAGGAAAAGAAGAAACTTCTGCCTCTTGGATGTTCACTCCCGACGAACGTGCTCTGGCTACAGAGGTCTACAGTCAGTGGCTGAATGCTGCAGGGATGCCCGTGAGGGGGACGATCAGGAACTGTTTGTTTTAAGGCTCCTGTCAAAAATACTCTCTACTAATATGTATCTATCACTAGAAGCCTTCCAGGGCAGTTGGACGACAGACGGCGCCTAGTAGAATAAACGGATCCTAAACTAGATGGCCGTATTTTTGTTAGTCCTATTCTATATACCTCTTCCATTTTTCTATCTTTCCTAGGTAGGTTGGAGGCTCCACCAGCACAAATATCACTAGAAGCTTCAGCATCGTCATCATCATCGTCATGAAGAGTAGTGGGACTTGTAGTTACAAGATGAAGCGTAATGGAGGTAAAAAAAAATAATGCGAAGATTGCGAACCCCCGTACCCGCTGGCGCTGCCTCGTTCTAGCTCTAACTCCTAGACCATTCGCTGCTGCATGGCGTCCCGAGAGCATGGGAAGGCATCAGTCCGAATATGAAGCATCGCGAGGCGTTTACAGAGAAGAAGCGAAAAAATGTGTCCGAGCATTCGTTTGATGAAAAGTGATTTTGATGAACAAGATTACGTCTAGATGGAGTACAATTTGTTGAGAAAATCTTCAGTCTGCGGACGAGCGCGAGTTGGATGCATTACATCATTTTTTGAGAGCATACACTTACGAGGTCACGTCTGGCCTTAGTTTTGAAAACCACTGACTAGCGAATTACTATTACTTACACAGAAAGAAAATAAACAAAAATTTCAATTCGAATTTTTTGTAAAGAAGCCTACTAGACCTCCAATACGTCCTGCAGCTCTCGTTTGAACTACCGACAGGGGTCACATCTCGTGTTCTATTCCAGCGAAGGCTTAACTTGCTTGATACAACAACGCTACAAGTAGTACTAGTGCAACATAAAGCTGCGTTTGCAAAACGAAAACAGCCGCGAGAGATGAAAGAGTAGATAGGTTCTTCGGTTTCTGTAAGCAGAAGAAAGCAAAAATACGTCGTGATCCTCGAGGAAGTTACATATTCATGTTGACATTGAAGATCAGAATCATCATGAGGACGTCGATGAGGTCAAAAAAGTGGCTACCTAAAACAGCAAATGATCATGCATTTCATCTCCTCAACAATAAATCCATGTAGTATAAAAACAAGCGCATTAGTTATTGACGCTAACAACAAGTAGAGTTGTAAGGTGCTACGGAGACGGCCAGCCGGGTAGGATTAGAGTTTGAAAGTACAGGTGCTGAGGTTTCACTTTCATGGGCAGAAGTTCGCTCTTTCGCCACTAGCTATGAAGATGATGGGTAAGATTTCGAGTTTAAAGCTCCCGGAACGAGGGGGCGGGGCTTCTAGTTCTACTGACACCTTCACCCTGAGCCAACAGCCCCAGAGTGGCGACGTAACGCCACCACACGAGGACGATCTTGGTATTGCGCCACAAGAGGAGGAGCATTCCAGTAAGGAGAACAAGCACAACTTTTTCTACGATGAACATCATTATCAAGAAGAAGTAGAAGACCATGACGTTGACGAAGATTTAGATGAAAGTTCGCTACTCGGTTCAGCAACTCCAGCAGAAAGAGCACCTGGTGTAGTGGAGATGCACGCTGTAGAGGACTTCCTCGTAGAGGATGAGTTAGATCATAGCACTTCGACTCCATGTGCTGGAGCCACTATGAATTACCCCAGTAGTCGTGCGCCATCACGTCAAACGGAAGATCATGATCAACAGACTCAAGATAAATTGGCGACGAAAGTAGTAGAAGAGGAAAAGACCACGGCGGCTGTCGTGCCAAGATTAGCAGGCTGGGGCTCGTCGTCCTCTTCATCGTCATCCGTTGCAGGTGCTGAACAAGCAGACAATGTTGTGAAAAACAAACCGGACCGTGCACCTTCGCTCCGTTCCAAGATGGCGGCCGCTAAACGCCCCATGGCATATTTGCAGAAGCTGATGACCCAGATGAAATCGAGTTCATCCGCATCGTCGAAGACGTCGACTAATTCTCTAACGGCGTCTGCTGCGTCTGTTGTTAAGGCAAGTGTTGACTAAGCTAAGTAGTTTACTCGCTAAGTAGTCGTAGTTTACTCGCTAAGTAGTGGTCGTAGAATACTCGCTAAGTAGTCGTAGTTTACTCGCTAAGTAGTCAACAAATAGTTTCTCTACTAATCTTAGCAGAACCCAAGATATCGAGGTACTGGATGTTGGTACACCGAGGACGGAGCCGGCGCCTCCACAAGTTGCTGCGGAATCAGCAACACCTCCACAGGGGGGCTCGAGGACGCCTTCTGCCGGATCTGGAACGCCTATCAAAAGCGGCAACACTCCACCTCCTCCTGGCGCAAAAACTTCATCACACACCTCTTCAGGAGCATTTGGCGTATACCTAGTCGAAGGCGCTGCTTCTAAAGTTTCTAGTGCTGCGGTTTCTAGAACACCATCAGAAAAATCAGGAGGCTTATTTGATGGACCACATGGAGGAGGTACGCCGCGTGTTGATATTAGAAATGACGAACAAGATGTTACACCCGAAGATGATCTTCAGCCTGATCATGTTCACGAGGACTCATCTTCAAGTAGGAAGAAACCTTCTCCAGCGCGACAACTACCATCCGTATTGGTAAAGACAGGAGGATCCACGTCTTCTTCTTCCACCACTCCTATGTTAATATCCTCTAGAAGTAGCTCCATGGCAAAAGCGCAAGCTCAACAGAGAGGTGGTGGCGGAGGTGGACTACAACTACAAGAGCAGGACGAAAGTCGTCACGTCGTACCCATGATCTCCTCGTCTTCTATCTCTGGAAGTGGAAGTGGCTACAATGATGATCCGGCGTCGTGCGGAGACAAGAACGTAGCATCTCTGAAAGCTGAGATAGCCGCACTCCGGGAAAATCAGCAACAGTTGAAGCGGCAACTGTCTCAGATATTTCGACGAGACGAGCTCCTAGATGGAGAGTTTGCCACTGTGGACGATGAGTGCGTACACAAAGCACACAAGATTGGTAATCAACTCGTGCTCTTTTTCGATTGCAGCAGGTGATGTGTAGCCAGTAGAACTACTACTACTTGGATTTTAAGTACTCATCTTAAATGATCTATTTGTGCTTCATTCAGCATGCAAATGCAATTGATGAACTGCGAAGCAACCGAGGACCTGTCTAGTATCAAAAACGTAGCTGAACATGTTGGGACTACATCTACTACTACTTGTTCTCTACCACAGACACCTGGTTGCAAGAGCATTGCGGAGTCGCGGATGCAACTTTCCCGCCAAATATTGAGGAGATCGCACGCGAGCGTCGGGAGCGCGTCTTCGAAACCAGACGGCATCAGCCCTACGCGCCTAGCCCTATAGAGTCTATGTCTGACCCGATGTGTCAGCAGTTTGGTCTTGGTGGTGCCAGTGTTTCCTCCAATTCGAAAATGTCCCCCACCGCCTCTGCAGGTGGAGGTTTGCTAGCGACGTTTGACGCGATCAAACACTTGGCGTCATTTGGAGGAGGTGAGCAAGGATGTACTCCTACTTCTGGGATGCACAAGCAACAGTTTTTGGACAAAGGTCACATGCCAACTTGGGAAACAACGCCACCTGCTGTTGGTATTCCGCGGCTGTGCAAGGCGAATTTTAGGCCAACGGGCGTCCAGCTGGCACTTTCTGGCGCGGCTGTGAACTACAACTATAGAGCAGCTGTGGATCCTCACACTAGACCACGAGATACACGCACACCTACCGGGGGAGGTCCTTTTTGCAAGGGATTTTACGCACCACACCGATCTACGAAGAGCAAGGCTGGAGTACTACTAAATTTGAGTTCCTAACTTTTTCTTTTTGCAGTAGAAGATGAAATCGAGCAAAAAAACGGGAAAGCAGAAATGATGGTAGAGAAGTGAGAGCAAAAAGCTGCGGGGCGGGAGGTGGCGCGCTGGTGCAAGAGGTTGCGGAAGATACACCCCCGGCGATGGAAAAGCCTTCATCAAGCCGCCAAGCGCAGGGTGTTTTATTTCTATTGTGTAAGTTGTGAGGGGGATGAGGCTGAGGACCCGAGGCCACCCACCGCGGCCGCACGCGTGTACCCGGGTCGCGCTGCTGGCGTGTGTGATATTCGTCTTTTTCTTCTTCTTTTCGGGGAAGTGGAAGTGAGTAGAATCAATGTAGTCAGTGAGTTTTATTTTTTTTCTGAACGAAGGAATCATGTGAACTGTAAAGATATGTTGATTGCATTGATTGTCCAATCTTGCTCTGTTCATCTTCAGAGGCTCATTTATGGTGATTGAACTTGATGTCGTGCAATTCTTGGAGGTAGATAATTGCTACTTTCTTCCTCCTCCTCACTCCTAAACCCTAACTTCCTCCTCCTCACTATAGTGTGTGCGTTTATCATTAGCTTATCTAACTGCGGGGCTTGTGAAGTTAAACGACCTGTAATTCTAATCCAGTCCTCATTATATATAGTGTGCTGCAACTTCACGCATTTTCATTCCAACTCGCCTCTCCCCAGGGCTCAGGAACCGGCGGAGCATTTTCCGTAAATTCTTCAAAAGAGTCGGGGATTAGTGCAAAGAGCGCGTGTGAGGATGGTTTTGTACCAAGAAAAAGCAGCGGTTTTCAGCAGGTGGAGTTGCAGCAAGGCACAAGAGTGACCACTTCCGTAGTCGTGCCTCCATACTCATCGATTTCAATCGCCAGCAGGAGCATTGCAGCCGCCTCTACAGCTGCACCAGTGTTGAGTGGTGGACATGATCAAACGGCCGCTTCTACGACTGCCGTGGTGAGCGTAAATCATAGTCAGCCGCAAACAAGAACCACGACCACTTCTACCACCACGACTCGATCGACGCTAGCAGCAATTCCCCCACGTCCACAAGCAAACCTTCAGCCTCAGCCAGCACCCCAACAAGCTCATCCAGCACCTCAAGTGCAGAATCCTCTTCCCCTACCTCCACGACCACCAAGACTATCCTTACCATCCAAAATATCTGCCCACCAACCTGCTCAAGTACAACAAGTTGTTGCGTCGAATATACAACCTGCTAGTAAACGGGGTTGGGAGCAAACGCCTTCCCCTTTTGCTTTTCATGGCATGTCTCCTATAGGGAATATGCAATCCGGTTTCCTAGAACGATCGGGAGTGCGGAAGGCGTCGCCGAGTCCTATGGTACTCTGTCTCTGCATGCATTTGCTTTTCCTCTTTCTTAAATGATCAACAACTTCACTATATTTATCTCATACACAATCAAGTCTAAGTCACGACATATTAAAGCGAATATTACAACTAAATCACTCACGTTTCATCATTCTTGTTGCACCTTCATCAAATAATTGCAGCCTTCGCCGTCCCTGCGGACAACATCCGGACTTCAAAGTCCAAGCGGCTTAGCGTTTCCTACAATCACACCACCCGTTCTTCCAGCACCGAAAGAGGGACAAGCTCTCTTTACGCCTTCACGAGATAACAACCGGCAGTCTGCAACAGGAGTGTCTTCGAGTGCCGCAGCGAGTAAAAGTTCCACAACTTCTAGTGCAGCTGCAGAAGTTGTTACCTTTTCATCATCTGCAATGAACCCCAACCTCCCATCATCAAATGTTGTGGGCGCTTCATCATCCAGTATTAAGGCTCACCTTTCAGTGGTCAAGGTCATTGAGATTGGTCACTGAGATCGAAGAGGGGGCGCCTTCTTGAGAGAACCAACAGGGGAAATAGATGAAGGGAAAAGGGGAGAGCTTTGAAGGTGGCCTCTTCCGTTCAGCATCAGTGACCGCTGCCTGCTGATCTTTAACAGAAGTATCCAAAGATCAAATTCGCAGAGTCGATTTGAACCGCCTCAAGATGCAGGAGGAACTACGGAACAGCACCAGAATAATGCGGCGTCAGCAGAATCCCTAAAGCGTCTGGAGATGGATCTTAGAGCATCAGCGATCAGCGCAAAAGAATTGGGAACTACGAGGTTAAGGCAATCGGTTTTGGTTGGTCCAGAGCCTCAGCTTTTTAAGTAGATGAAACTTGTTCATTGTTGCACAATGCTGATCTCAACACCTTAATATCTTCTGCCACTATCACTACTAGAATTTTACAGTGATCTAGTTGTATTTTATCTGCCACTATCACTTCTACTAAATGACTTTAGAGTGATCTTGTACCTGGAGTTATGATTTCATCTTCTAACTCTCCCCCAGCACATGATAAGCACGCCTGGAAGAGCACAACTAGGGTCCTCACTCATCACATCCGCAAGACAGAGTCCAACACTAGCATCACGAACTGCAAGTCCGGTCCCATCGAAGGTGAATGTGAGTGACTATATTTACCGTACATCACCCGGCGCAGCTCTCGCCAGCAGAGGTGGAGGAACATCGTCGATCACGGCAGCGCCCCCCAGACCGACATCTTCATCAAGCACAGCAGGTCCAACACGTGGTGCACCGCTACCAGCCGGGTCTTCAAAACTGTCAACATCTCATATATCGAACGATCCCATGGGTGCACATCAAGCTCAGGATACTAGTGTCCGAGGTGGTGCGACAGTGATGGACGATCTAGATGCCTTAATCCAAAGGACACGTGCCAAACTAGGGACTTCCAAATCGTCTACTAGTTCTTCGGAAAAACCAAGAGTTGTTCCAACTTTCCTGAACAAAATGGATACTAGTAGTACAATCAAGGCACCTCCATCTACAACTGTTCGAGGAGGTCTTGTAGTTGGAGGTGGCGAACATCAAGATGAACTTGTTCTACAAGAAGACGGCTTTGGTAGCACAGGATCCGGCGGAGGAGGGGGCCTGGAGGTTCTTGCTGCTGCGCTTGAAGCGCACTACGGTGGGACTGTAGAGAATTAGGAACTACGTTGGACGAGTTGCAGGATCAAGCTCATCGTGCAATTGAGAAAACTTTGATGTACTTCAAATGTACCACGACCGGCGTATACTATGATATCTATCAAATGAAAATTTATTCTTGCTTTCCTTACAACCTGCTGTAGTCCCTCTATCTGTGGACAGTACTCTTCTACGACCAGAACAACCTTAAGATAATTGCTTTAGACCCGAAGATTCTAATTCTAAAGCGAATTACACCAGTTCTTGTTTCGTTTCCTTTTTCATACATTCAAATTCGAAAACCTTAATATCATCTATTCGCGGCCTTTCTACAACGTTCCCCTGTCGGAGATCACTCAGTGAAAGCCTACTAGTACCTCAGCAGGTGCAAAGTGCCTGCAACTCATTATGATGGTACAGCTCTTGTTTCCTAGCCGACTTCACTGCTGCTGGTGGAACAAAAGTTGAATAAAAATCCAATAAAGGCTCGTGTTTTTATTTTCAACTCTTTTCCCGTTTCAAAATTGTTTGATCAGCACATGATGAAACTAGATCGACATCAACTATCGAAAAGATCATCACTGAAGATCTTTTCCAGTTATGGTTCTTACGCACCTACTGCACGACATTTGACTGAAAGTACGATCCATGATCTTTTTTGGTGCGCAATCCTTATCCTCTTGACAAGGTTGTCATCTATTTAAGAAGGTAACGGAAGCGGAACACGAACAACAGATTTTCAACCAAATTTTCCTAGACTAAGTTGAAGATCACTTCGTTAGTCTTTCGACTTACGTATCAGCGACCACAGGAGAGATTTCGACTTTTTACAATCCCTACGCTGCAGCAAGTTGAGTTTTCAAGCAGAACAAGATAGGACACGCGTAGCACTAGTACTAGCTATCTGCATATTTCGACATAAAGGTTCGTATACACATGCTCTCCACCCTCACCGTTTTTCTCTTGCGACGGACTACATCTATGCGAACGCATCTGCAACGATTCGTTTCTGCGCAAGCCTTTGCTGCATCGACGACTAGCTTCTTCAGTACATCAACTCCTTTAACAGTAAGGATGGCAGCAGGAGCGGAGCACACAGGAGGTGCAACTGCGTCACCGACAGACGACGCAGTACAGGCACAGGCTAGTGTGAATCTTCAAGGGGTAGAGAAAGAAGGAGAACAGTTATCTTTACCTGCTCCTGGTTATGGCACCACATCAGAAGACCACCATGCTGGAACCCCTGAAGAGGAAAAGAAGCAGGTCTTGGAAGTCAACGGAGAACGGGTTACTCTAGACGCATTAGGACCCATCATCCTGAACGAGGATGGGAGTATGGCTAGAATAACGAATTGGCATGAAATGATGGAGCACGAGCAAAAGAATACATTGCGTGTCATCGCACGTCGCAACGCCAAGAGAAGGGAAGCTCTATTGAAGAAAATGGAGGAAGAAAAAGCCAGACAAGGCTCTTCACCTGTTGAATCAACAGAGATGAATTCTGGGATTAAAAATGAACTGTAGCATAGCATGTGGTGCGCCACATACAACGACAGAGATGCAACAGATGAAATTAAGAATAATACACTAGAGCCCGACCGCGACCCCGAAGAACCCTTAAAACCGAACCTAATAAAATACGATGGAAATCATCAGTGCTTCGCGTTCGCGATCGCATCATTGTGTGTTCGTCTCGCACCTCTTCGAACTACTTGCGGCAATAGAGAGTAGAGAATGATGAACATAAGAAGATCATCTTACAAGCTCGTGAATTGCAATATGAACCTGCCTTGAGTAAGGACACGCGGTTGACGACGTTCCATCTGGGTGAACTCCGTTTGAGCATTCTCTTCTTGTGAAATGTTCAGCCCTTCATTCGCCCTAGAGAAACGCCATTCCTTCCTATCTCGTGCGCTCTTCTATAGTCACGGCGATGATGTATCGATGGGACACCACAAGATTTATATTGCCTCCAGCGGAGGAACTGGAAAATGATCAGAGAGAAGAAACAAGAACAATGAATTGAAGAGAGTTGGTGTTTTTCAGAGTCCATTCTTGATCGCAAGAACAACATCTGGAGGAGATACTGTCTAGGTCTACCTTTTAACACGAACATAAATTTTCTTTACTTCTTCAGAAGAACTTTACATAGTTTGTTCAACAACAACAGTTTGCTTCAGAAGCTCGAGCTTTTGTTTCTCCTACCACGCAATACAAATGAGTGTTGGAATCGTCTCGGTTCTTGCTCCGCGTTCAGGAGCTGCCCGCTTGCGGGTAGTTCCCTCATGTGCTATGATACCTCACAGAGATGCTCATGCTGCACAACAACCTTTAGCTTTACGATCATGGGTACCTGCAACATCATCTGCATCTGATTTTGGGAGCAGGAGGATGTCTTTCTCGTCTGCTTCTGTTACTTTGGCCAAGGAGGGTTCCACCTTACTCGGACGGAGGAGCAATAGAAGAAGCACTTTGCTCCCCTGTCCTCCAAGGATTCAAGCTGCTTCATATTCTTCATCAAGCGCTGCAGCAATAGACTTGGATGCTTCAAAAACCGCACAGGAAGATACGTCCAACATAAAAGCAAGCAGCAACAGTGCAGCTAGAGCTACTTCAACAACTTCTTCTCCTAGTACAACCGCATCTTCAATCGGTAGCCCTGAAGATCCCAGCGCATCCGAAACTTCATCTGAACGGAATGAAGTTAGTGCGAAGAAGAAAAAAGGTTACTTTCGCAGACTCATTGAAGAATATGGATTGCCATTCCTAGTTTGGTACGAGTCAGTCTGGACTGTTACAGGGCTTGCGACGTATTACGCACTCTGGGCAGATTACATAACATGGAGTCAGACTGTCGAATGGATCGAGTGGGGGTTTATTATGGACTCAACGTTTATTAATATCCCCATCCTATCGGTTTCCTCCGTTTTCTTATTCAATACTGCTCAGACAATAAGAGATAAATGGTCCACACTTGCACGCCTCAATATGTTCGGTCCAGAGATCATCCATGAATTTGGACAGCATTTTTCACGGCTTTTCCTCAGATCCCAAGAATTTGTTAATTATTTTTCCAGTAGGTTGGTATCACGACACTGCTCCGGAGTCAAAACATGGAGTCAGACTGTCGAGTGGATCGGGACTCAACGTTTAATATCCCCAAAGCCTGCCAAACTCAATACTTTTTCATGATTTGGCCCGTGCTTCGGCGTTCTCTTCTAATCCCACCGCAGTCCTACCACTTCAAGACTATCTCCCTGACCTCGCCGCCATTGACCCCACGACAGGGCAAATAGCAGTCGCTTTTGTCCTCAACGAGTGTATTGAGCCGGTCAGGTTGCCCTTCGTCCTCCTCACGTTGCCCTTCGTGAGACCAGGTTTAGTGCGGCTCATTGCCAAGTGGAAACCGCCACTCATGAATGTCTGGAATCGTTTGATCGCTAGAGGTCAATCGGTTTTGAACCGGATGAAAATGGGCGCTAAGCAGACGTGATGAAGGTGTCGTGAAGATGGCGACTACAGTGCAAAACAAAAAAATGAACAAGACCAAGATGAGTACCATCTGCTGCTTATGACTGTTTACACCTAATGAGACGAACAACATAGTTTCATGGATCATATGATGGAAATCATGTTCTTGTTGAAGTCTCAATATCATGTTGACCTTGAGGATATCACGTATGGGTATGCAAAGTGGGGTGCAGCACCTCGAGTCTGAGACTCCTGGAATTCCAATTTTGGGTGCCTGCCTGTGGAAATACGAACCTGTGACTAGAAGTGATGAATCGAAGACACAGGTTTCATGCTAATGTGAATTTTTGACATGAAAAAATGGCAATCTTCTCAAACATGAAAAAATACAACACGAAACTCAACTGCTTACGAAATTGGTAAGCTTTCAGCAGTGCTGCTAGTGCTAGAACGAAAACTCCACCCTAGGAGGAGAATTGTAGGTGAGTCGCTGCTAGACGACCTAGAAACTTTCATCATTATGGCTTGGTGTTGTAGAACCATAACAAGAGCAAATGCTCTTGCGGTGCATGTTGTTGGTGCTTTGGCGTAAATAAAAATAGTAGACAAGTAGTAGGAGTAGTCCGTTCCGTTACTCTTAGACCTAGAGCTCAACAACATGATACCCCACTCGTCCTCTTCTTCCGGATCGCCTAAAAGCGGCCTCCCACCTCTCCTCCAGTCGTATCTGGATCAGAGACGGATAGTCCTTCGCGATTTTCAATATGAGGCCCTTTCCAACTTCGCTGGTGGGCGCGATAGTATCATTGTGGTCGCAACGGGAAGCGGGAAAAGTCTTTGTTATCAGTTAGCACCGCTTGTGGCGAACGACACGAGCTTCAGAACTGGAATGGGGATGTTGGGAATCGACCCAGGAACAAACAGCAACAGCAATACTAGGATGTTGAGTAACAATAGAACCTCCAAGAAGTTTTGTGTTGTCGTCAGTCCATTGATCTCGCTGATGCAAGACCAAGTGACGGCACTGGAGAAGCTTGCTGTGGAACAGGAGGATGAAGAAAATTTGGCAGTGGTTGACCTGGAGAAGGAGAATGCAGTAGAACACTCATTACCTACACCTCAACCGCTTCGCGCTTGCCTTTTAGGATCAGCTCAAAAGGATAAGCAGATCTTCGACAAAGTCAAAGCTGGCAAGTTTGACCTTGTGTACGTCTCTCCAGAATGGGTGTTAGCGAATGAGTACAGACTAAGGGAAATAGCAGACAAGATCTGTCTTTTTGCAGTCGATGAAGCCCATTGCCTGTCAGAATGGGGCCATGACTTTCGACCAGAATATCTGAAGTTGGGGAATGTGTTTCGAGGTACGGCTGCTGGCGGCTTAGGGTCAGTGCTGTCTCGTATCCCGATCATGTGTCTCTCCGCAACATGTCCAGGTCCAATCCAGAACACCATCCACACCAAGATGCGGCTGCAGAAGAGCTGCGTGTTGATCAAAGGACGGCAGAATCGACGGAACTTGTACTACAAAGTGGTCTTCTGTGACAACGATGCGGATATGCACGAACGGTTGCTGGAATTGTTTAGAATTCGACCAAGAACAGAAAGGCCTGACGTAAGGAATGATCTACCGCGGCAACATCGAGAACAAGGGGCTTTTGCTGGAGGACAACTTACTTCTTCCTCTTGGGCATCAGTTTCATCATCATTCATCGACCAAGAGGAATATGACGAACACGCTCAAATCCGACATGAGTTTTTCGCGTTTGCGTCGACCATCGTCTACTTGAACACTAAGGCTGAGGCAGATGAGTTGGGAAGTTTCTTGAGTACTCGGGGTGCAGTCGCGGAATCATACCATGCAGGTCACAGTCCCGACGCTCGTGAGCGTGTCTATTCGAACTTTCGCGATAACAGGACACAGATATTATGACAGACTTGGATTTCATTCAACCTCTCGTTCTCGATCTATCTTTCCCTGAGACTGCGACAGATCATATAGAAAGTCAAAGTGCTGGTTACTTGTAGTATTTTCATCTTCATAGTTTCACTTGTTTGATGTTGAGCTTTCTTCGTAGGTTTAGCCTTCTTATCTTCACTCTAAGAGCAGTATGCTGCACCGTCGCCTTCGGAATGGGCATCGATAAGCGCGACGTCCGACGCGTCGTTCACGTCGGTGCCCCAAAGAGCTTGTTCCACTACATCCAGCAAACTGGACGCGCAGGTCGAGATGGCCAATTATCCGAGTGCATTGCTCTGGTGCAGCGCTCAGACGAAGCAAAAGCCCTACGGCGTGTGCAATCCGTACGAGAGAAGGAGATGTGCCAAAAGATTTGGCGCTTCTTGTATAGCAGACAGTGTCGAAGAGGAGCAATATTGGAGGAATTGGAGGAAGACTTTGCTTCGCAATTGGAACGTCGGAAGAGAACAAGTGTCCCTGGTGGGAGGGATAGTGATAGTAGCTACAGATGTGGACGATTATCGAACAGCAACAACAAGAGTGTCCTCGATTCCTTGTTGCCGCTTCGTAGAGGTTGCTGTCTCGGACTTGATACGCATGGGAATCCTTGTCCCTGGACCGACGCGAAGAATCGAGTAAGAGGTTATTGTGGCTTTTGCGACTGCTGTGATGCGAATCCGCCTGACAGTGAGATAGTGCTGGAGAGAATATTTGGGATGGGCGGCGTGAAGGAAAAGGACCACACCGGACGCTCAGTTCATCAAGCAGGAGGAGCTAGTTCGAGTATGACGTTGACCAAGGATCCTCTGGCTCTGCATCATCTTACTGGTGATAGGGCAGCGTCGTCGTCTTCGTCCTCGGTCCCCGCCAAGCCAGCACCAGCAGGTCCCAACTATGTGAGCACCAACAACCAAGTCCAAAATAAGCGTGAGTTCTCCGCAGACGCGCGTATCTTCCTCAGAGGGTTAACTGCCTGCAAAGGACAAACTGGTTTGAACATGGTCGTAAACTTGATTCTCGGTCGTGCCAACCAGCAAACGAAAAAGCGTGGACTCGACAAGTCTAAGGAGTTTGGCATTGGCTGTCATCGTTCTGAGGCGTTTTGGAAAGCCCTATCGAGGGAACTGGAGAACAAGAACTTGTGCGAGCAAGTGTCGAAACAGATGAGCTCCGGAATGCGTTATTTCGCATGGCGCACGACAGATCAGGGAAAAACCTTCAGAGACTCAACCATTGACGTGTTTCAGCTAGAATTGCCCTTGCCGAAAGATTTAGCGGACAGTATCAAGGATGCCGATGAAAAGGAAAGCGCAAAAAACGGCTCCTTGGGCAGTATGAACAATACAGCAGCAGGCAGAATCAAACGAGATAAAGGGATATTTTTGCCTGGTGTAAGCGGCTCTTCAAGAACAACCTTTAATATTGGTGTTGGAGCTTTTGGCGATACAACTACATCGTCAAGTGGAACAGGCGCCGCTCCCTTTCTCGAGTCTACACAAGTCGACGAACTGTTCGACGAATTAAAGCAGCTACGCCTTGTCTATGGTCGCGGGAAAAACTTGCCGGACTATATCAAAAGTGGGCCGTTTTTGCGGAACTTGGCGAACGTGAGACCTTCGTCCATTGCTAGGTGCGTGCACGTTGAGGGCTATGCTGGAGGCATCATGCCATCTCTGCTTGAGAAATTCATCAAAGTTTGCTGTGACTTCTGTCGACGACACAAGCTGCCAGCGGACAATTTTCTGGCGCCGGGAGGTGTGGAGGACGTGGCCGCACCTGGTGTTGGAGGCGGGACCTCGTCTAGTTCTAGTTCGTCATCTTCGTCAATGAATCCTCCGGCTGTTGGCGTTGGGGCTGGTGCCTCTGTACATGCTGCTCCTTCAGCAGGAGGCGGGAACATTCTAGCACAGGCAGGTATAATCGGAGGAGGTTCTTCAACTTCATCTGCAACGACTTCTACGTTGATGTTCCATCACCCGACTGAATTTACGCCAAATGAAGAGACACAGACAGGAGGAACTGGCATGAACACAGGAAACAGTGTTCTTGGTATACTATCTTCTGCAGCTGGTGGATCATCTTCTAGTTCAAGTGCCTCAATCTTCAGAAGACCCGGGGGAACGGGAAAAATACTAGGTCAGACGGCGAAAACATCCTCCAGTGCTGCGGCAATTTCCGGCACTTCATCTATTGCTAAACCACCTCCTAGCGGCCTTGGTGCTCCTGCGACGACTCCTACAGGTGGCCTATTGCTTCCTTCGCTGTTTGACGATCTAGAAAAACTGTCATATTCAGGAGAGAGAGAACCTTTGCCGCACCAGGCCGCGCACGATAACTCAGGTGATGTGAAAAACTGTGGTGCGACACTGTTTCCAACTTCAGCGTACTCGGGCACAAACACGACTAACTCAGATTTTGGTCGTTGCGACCAACCACCAACAAAACGCATGAAATTGGATACATCTTCACATATAACAACACGGCATTGAAAAAAACGCAATTGTTAATTTTTGTTCTTTGTAATCTATCATGATGTTCTTGTTGTTGATACCATGAAGAAGCGGTCGCTGGTGCGGACCTTGATCTTGTTCTCACGCTTACACATGTTCATGGAAATGATCAACGATCTTCAAGACACAGGATCACGAAGATATGTTCTTGGAGGATGAAGATCAAAGACACACTTCCAATCTGTATTCTTCTCCTAGGATCTTTAGAACCAAGATACTTCCTTTTTTTTAGAAAAGGAGATGAAGAACCAGCGGACGATAATTGGATCTTGGTTCTAAAGATCACTTCTCCTTTGGTTCTAGAGACACACCTCCAATCTCCTAGACACACTTCTTGGTTCTAAAGATTAAACAAAAATCCCTCCAATCTTCAGACTAGTTCTTGGAGGATGAAGATCAAAGACATCAATTACGAAAGACGATCAATTTTTATCTTTCGAGGATAGTAGGTGTAGGTTGCACTGTGAAGATGATCTTGATATTGAGAATCCATGACTACTTGTAGTTTCTCCCCATAAGAACAACGAGTTTCCACGATACGACAGACAACCTTCGCAGGCCCCCCGGTGCAAGGAAGTACGTGCTTATGTTTAAACATTTTTCCATACAAGTACATACAACTGTTACACTAGGTTGTACTCAAAGCTATCATTGCACCCCATATCTATCTGTAGAACATCTTCGTCAAAATGGGCGGCAGCAAGAAGGGCGGCAAGAGTAAGAGTGGCAAGGTCGTCAAGACCAAAGGTGAAAGACGTGCTGGGAAAAAGAAGACAATCGGACCCCGCGCAAAGGGACATGCTGTAAAAAAGGCTAAGCCTGGTGATGCTAAAGCACAAGCTACTCGACATGGGCGACGAAATAAGCATCAAAAACGAAGCACTAAAGGTGTGAAGACTGTGCCGAAATTGTCCAAGAAGAAAGTTGAGCGGCTGAACCATGCACCTAGTAAAAAGGAGTTGAAAGACGACTTTTTGACTAACGAAGCGGGGGAAATCATCGAAAAGCCACCGAGCAAGAAACCAGCGCAGTCGAAGAAGAAACCAGCTCAAAATGATGGCTCGTCTTCATCGAACAACAATATCTTCAATGTCCCATCTACACCCTGTACCAGCACCTCTGGCAAAACGATCGTACGTAAAATCGTACCGAAGTCTTTGAAGGGACCGGTGGCTCTACCTGGCTCATTTTTTCTTCCGCCAAATATGGGTGGCGGAAAACATATTCCGATGACTGGACCACGAGGGTCAACTTCTGGTCAGCAAGATGACAATGGAAGTGAATCCGACGATGACGATCTAGGTGAGGATGGAGGAAACGAAAGCGCGAATCGACAAAGTATCATGATGAAGTCGTCAGAAGTTGATTTTGAATTTGTTGATGAGGAGATAGATGATGGAGCAGAGGGAGCTCGTCCGGAATCCAGTGGTGCACGCAAAGGCAAAGATGGGAACGCGAAAACACAATCCGCTGCAGTAGATGAGGAGCAGGAAGAACAGGAAGAAGATGCTAATATCTCAGAAGTAGAGGAAGAACAAGAGGAGGAAGAGGATGAAGAGGAAATAAATGCGTCAGGTTCTGAGGATGATGAAGATGTCTTGGAACAGGACGAATCGGAGAAAAATGCGTCAGGTTCTGAGGATGATGAAGATGTCTTCGAACAGAATCCTGTTCCCCTTACTACAACTGTCGAAGAAAACAACGGCAAGAAGCTTTCTGGTAAACAGCTCCGAGAAGCGATCAAGGCGAGACGGGCTGCAGCTGCCATGTCTGAAACAACCATCTCGGCGGACGCAGAGAAGAAGGTTACAGACACAACAGCAGCGACATCATCGTCCGCGGAGGTGCCATCTTCCGAAGCTGCAAATAAAGAAGCTTCAACCTCCAACAAGAGACCAAATCGACATCAAAGGCGGAAGGCAAAGCAAGCACGCATCGCTGCATCAAGAGATGAGGATCAGCAGGAGAACGAGATGAATGAGGATGCTGAAGTACAGAAGGATGGTGAACAAGCTGGTGAAACAGGAGAAGCATCTGCAACATCTCTTAAAAAACTAAAGAGGCCTTCTAAGGACATGCCAACAACTGCCAAGGTAGCCTTTGGAGTGCAAGCAGAGATGCCACCGAGACTGGACTTCAAACTCTCAAAAGCGATGGATAGGATGAAGCAGAAGGCTCAGGGAAAAGTGATTTCTTCCACTGGAGAATGTATCGGGGATCTTCAGGATAGGAAGAAGAAAAACAAGAAAAAGAACCCAGCTGGTCGTGGTAATAAGGGACTTTCTGACGCCACAATTATAGATGAGAATGGGGAGCAGGAGGATCAGGCTCAGGGCGCAAAGAAGCCTGCTAAGAGGAAAGAGAAAATGTTGTTGCAGTCATTGGTCTAAATAAGCGAGCACTACATGCCTGGAATATGCTCCAACTCAAACTTCAGTCCTTCCCCTTTACGAGATTTGCATATAGCCCTACCAAAACCAAAATCAAGATAACACGTACCAAAACCTCAGAAGCAGGTTACCACGGTAACGGTATGGGTGTGGCAATACCATGCATCGCCCCCCATTTGTTCTTTTCAGCTGGCTATTTTTCCAAGAGAGGAAAATGAGATACAGGAGATCGGTTTTTTTCGTTGGGTTTTTGTTACTTCAAAAAGACAGCCCCCTAAGGTTGAAAATTAGGGAAACAAGTGCAAAAAACGCAGATGAAATCGTTCACAGAAATTTTCGGATTTGCGTGAGAACTCATAACAGAGAAAGTTTGTCCTCAGAGAATAAACGAAGCTTCTTCAGTTTCAGAACGTGTTGTCGAGCATAGGAAAACGAAAACTTCAATAAAAAGTAAAAGTTGTTGAGAAACAAAAACAAATAGAGTTGATTTCCTCTTGTTGTAATTGCTGCAGCCAGTTGGGCAAATAATAAATAATCACGGGGAGAAAATGCAACCACGCACACGTGAAGACCGGCATTTCTGGAAGCATAAGGAAAATGTCGAGAGGGAGAGACTGAGAAATCGAACGGGTGGCTTTTTTCGATACGAGGACAATCCAGATCCGATTGCACAAGAAAAGTCCTGTCCTGCGTACATAGAGGAAAAGGATCGCTTATGGTGAGATGTAGTTGAGACCGATATAGTTGAGTAGACGTATTAAAATGATGATATTTATCATATCAGTTGTAGTACTACTCGACAAAATAAGTCTAAGTGTAAGGAAGTCTCATCTGAGACTTACTTCTTGTGGTAGCTAACACTTGACAACAAGAACTTCATCGTCAGGGGCGAGAACTTCATATACTCTCCTTGTGGTCCCTCTTCTTCGCTGCCCTTTCATTTCCCCACGATGTCCGTGACATGGCTGACAAGTTTTTAGCCGAGCGACAGCAACAGGAGGACAAGAAGAACCTTGTCACGGAGATACATAGAGAGGCACGGTTAAAGCGCGAATCAGCTCGATGGGATGCGATTGACTACAAAGAGAAAGCTGAAGCAGAGAGACAGCGAAGGCTGATTGACGACCCGCTAATAGGAAAGAAAAACGTTTCCGGAGTGCCGTTCGATATCGTTAACTTGGAGTACTCACTTTTTTACAGTTTCATTTTCTTCAACAGGTTACTAGTAAAAAATTTTCTTGACGTTCGTCGTGGAGGTTCTTCTTAATGGTCCATGACAGTTCTAGTAATAAACAAACTTCTTAGAAATGTCACTACTGGCAGAGCAAAAAGAGTAGAGTTCATGCGAACTCATGAGGCGAAATGCAAAAAGTAGTAGTGAGGAAATCTTCTATACCCCTGGAGTGGGTACATTCATTCATTCATTCATTCAACTTTAAGCATATGCATAAGTAAGAAGAAGAAGAATATTTTATCCCCGTCCCTTTGACTTGTTCCGAGTTACTAGTACTGAAGCTCAAACGTCGAACGAACCTGTTCATCAGATATGAAAACACGTGGGAGGGTCGCAAACTACGGCACGACGACGAGATAACGAGGTATCGAGGAGACTTGCGGAAAGCGAACCTAGCGTATCGTGGCCATCTTGGATTTAACCCGATACTTATGGGAAGTGAAGATAAGTCCTTCTCCTTGTACTTAGATACCTCCTGTATCCGATGCTGAATTTTGGAATGTTTGCAGCTAAACGAGTGAGTAGCAACAACAAGTTTTTCAATTTGTCGTTGTACAACTAGATGAAAAACTAGAGGACGCAGAGCTTGAACTTCCTAGTCCTCGCTTGATTGATTGCACCCCTTTCCCCGATCTATGTTGATCCACTTTCATTTTCTTTGGCGAGCAAACGCACCCGCTTCCGCAGCCTATAAAGCCGGATAATTTCACGGAGCCAAAGCCAGCTGGTTTTGTTCCGAAGAACTCGCAACTCGGTTAGCAAGTCCTTCGACTTTACCAGAACATGATGTGACGATATTTTTCATGAACAAGAACAACCAAATTTTTGTAACAAGATCCAAGAATAAAGATCATCATCATGTTGTTTTTGCCTGGTGGTTCATCTTCAGTTCTTTACCCCCTTGGTACTAAGGTGTTTGAAAGTAGCTCACCATCTGTGTCATCACTTCCTCGGTGGGGCATATAATTCAAAGAGGATAGTTAAAGTTAGTACATCGTAATCAATGTCCATAGCCATACAACGAAGATTCCGATGCTGTCATAATTATGTAATCTGTAAAATGTGAGTGAGAGTGAGGGGCAACAACCTATCAGGAGCATGATCATATTGAGATCTGTCATAAGAAGAGTTTGAGAGAGCAGAAGAGCTGTAGTATTATACTTCTCTGAAGAGTGCTGGAGCCGAAAGTTTGGTCGTGTGAGAAAAGCAAGTCAATATGTGCCGAGAGATGTCGAATTCTGTTTGTTCCCTACTGTCACTTTCGTCTTACCTAACCACATGATCCACGACACACCCAGAATACAGGCACCTCCAGGATTCAGAGTCAGAACCCTTTTTGTGTTGCTCTTTTCCTTGTTCTCCAGTTATTTGAGGTTGGTTATTTGTCGTGCTCGTGTAGCAAAGATTCATTATATGGAAGAACTTAGGTAAAGCGACCGTAACCCAAAAGAAATTGTTCTTCAACAACGCCCTGAGCGGCGATCAACACTTCTTCCCTTCAACGTCCTCCTTGGGGCGATCCGCCAGAGCTGAACAGTCACGTAGTGTGCCCGTGACGCACACTGAGGTTATCTGATTTTTAGCAGAGGTTCTGTGGAGCACTTAGAGAAGTCCGCATCATGGTTTTGCTTCGATATCGATATTAGTTGACGCTAAACATTAAGTACATACTTATCTATCAGAAAATAGATTGTAGTAAACCACATTGGCATAGAAGTAGATTAAGATTTGGAAGTGGTATAGTAATCGTTATTCTGTAATCGATTCAGAGAGATCATTCATTTTGAAAATCTTCAAGTACCACGATTTCATCATATAATCATTTCATCGTCAAACTCAAACATCGTTGCTGCGTCAGATCATCAGCTAGTAGTACGGCAGTTAGTACTGTTCTTTACCTTTTTGCTAGGACCATGAAGCGTGTTGCATTATCGGCAATCGTTGCCGCGGAATGTACCTCGGCTCTCCGTTTAAGTGACTGCTGCGGTACTAGCGGTAGTCCTGGTGCTGCTCCCGCAGGCCGTGTGAAAGGCGCGGCTACGGGAGCAGGCCACATTGGTGCTCCCGCAGTCGCAACCGGTGCTCCCGCAGTCGAAACCGGTCGTGCTCCCGCAGGTCTTACCGGTGCTCCCGCAGGTCTTACCGGTGCTCCCGCAGGTCTTACCGGTGCTCCCGCAGGTCTTACCGGTGCTCCCGCAGGTCTTACCGGTGCTCCCGCAGGTGTTACCGGTGCTCCCGCAGGTGTTACCGGTGCTTCCCTTCTTGATGCTGACTCGAAAGCTTTGCAAGACATCAAAACGCAGCTGAAGGGACCCGTGAAAGACATCTACCTGCCTGATCTGATAGCTAAAGGACGCAAAACAGCGCAATATCATTATTGGTGGTACGTTTTGCCGAATACAAGACGATTATGACGAGACATGCTCTCAGGTTTTTCAGGGAAGTGATCTTATTTACCTCTACTTTCTCGACAATGAAGTCGAACTCGAAGCTGCGCGTGTAATTTCATCATCGATACTTTTCGTTCTTCTACTAGTACTAGTCGTATTTGAAATTCAACATCATCATCAAAAAGTAGTCAGTCCGATCTCCTCAGTTACCTGAGGAATCCACACCTTATGATCGTCGAGCTCTATCAAAGCCAAAAGGTGGTCCTCATCTAGTTCTAATCCACGGTAGAAGCGACCCTTTGAAGACTTACGTGACGGAGACGACTGCAAGAGAGTTGATGGAAGACGCTGACGCACAAGCTGTGATGAAAGACGTTCTTGAAACTATTGCGAAGTTATTTCAGACCAAAGCAATTGTACGTGGTAGTGGTACGGATCCCGGTGAAGATATCTTGCCCCGTGTAGATCACCCCCGCATTCGGTACTCGTGTGATTTCTGGGACAAAAAACCCTACACACCCTCGTGGATGAGGAACTTCTGCGCGAACATGTTGGGAGCCTACATTTAGAGGAGCGCAAATCGGTCGTAAAAGGGAATACGAGCACCAGAGTTGTGGTAATTTTCCATGATCCAGGTGTGGGGTCGTGGCTACTTCTAGAAGAGAGTAGCAAGGGAAAAAATTATGTTTAATTCTTGATTAATTTGGGATGGAACAGGATGAAGTGTACGAATATTTTTCGTACTACTTGGGTGGAAGCGTACTAGGAACAGCTGAATGAGAAATCTTCTTGGACTTGATAAGGTGACTTAGGTTCGAGAGAGATCAACTTTTGACATTCTACGTTGTATTTTGACTGTCTACGTATTTTACTGGCACACACGCCGGATGAAAGGGATGGAAGATAATTACAGAACAAACATTAGATTGACAACGTCGCTTTACGAAATCGAATATGATGAAATTACAATTCGTGTTGAATGAAATTGGAAAAATAATGTAAAAACCGTAACTGTTATTTGAAAAATCGTACAAGTAGTTGTACTAGCAGAAGTTGCTAACCGTGCCCGTCGTCCGCCTACTTCCTGCTCATACTTTTTGTAATATTATAAATACAAGATAGACCTGAGGAGCAAGAGCATTTCTTTGGATGATAGTGATCCATATTTTTCTTGCCTACAACGGAGTCGGAGGAGGTGGAAGCTGCAACATCAAGCGCAAGAGTCGCGAATGTACCACCACCGTCACAAGGTCGGATGATCGTCTTCACATCACATCTCAGCAAGAAGGGCACAGCATTGACATTTTTTTACAGGTTATATATTGATTCCCGCCACTTTATTTCTAGGTCTCTGTCTGTCGTACTTGTTCTGTGTTGAAAAGAACAGCATGTCGCGCCTGCATGCTCATGTGGGGAAAAAAATGGTCTCGCGGCCGTCTTCACGACACACTGTTTCGAAACTATCTTGTCTCGCCAGGAGGAGTGGTAAAGGATTTTGGCCAACATGTTGGTGCATGATGACGCCGATGATGATGATGTAAAGAGAGATCTGTGGGCATGCTCAGCTGTGAGTTTATTGATATAATTGAGACACCGCATTCACTCTGTTCTTGAGAAAATATACAACCTAGCGTATCGTGGCCATCTTGGATTTAACCCGATACTTATGGGACGTGAAGATATGTCCTTCTCCTTGTACTTAGATACCTCCTGTATCCAATGCTGAATTTTGCAATTTTTGCAGCTAGACGAGTGAGTAGCAAACAAGTTCTTCAATTTGTCGTTGTGCAATATTTATAAGACTTAAATTCTAGTAAGGCTCTCGAGATTATAAGATTAAAAAAAGCCAGAGGACGCAGAGCTTGAAGAGTACCTCGTTTGATTGATTGCACCCCTTTCCCCGATCTATGATGTTGATCCACTTTCATTCTCTTTGGCGAGCAGACGCACCCGCTTCCGCAGCCTAGAAAGCCGGATAATTTCACGGAGCCAAAGCCAGCTGGATTTGTTCCGAAAAACTCGCAACTCGGTTAGCAAGTCCTTCGACTTTACCACAACATGATGTGACGATATTTTTCATGAACAACAAAATTTTTGTAACAAGATCCAAGAATAAAGATCATCATCATGTTGTTTTTGCCTGGTGGTTCTTCATCTGTTCTTTACCCCCTTGGTACTAAGTTAATACATAGTAATCAATGTCCATAGCCATACAACGGAGATTCATAATTATATAATCTGTTGTAAAGAGTCAGTGAGTGAGAGTGTTGAGGGGCAACAAAATGAAAATATCAAAAGCGCGATCATATTGAGATCCTCTGTCACATTTATAAGAAGCGTTTGAGAAAGCAGATGAAGAGCTCCTGTAGTATTATACTTCTGTGAAGAGTGCTGCTGCTGGAACAGAAAGTTTGGTCGTGTGAGAAAAGCAAGTCAATATGTGCCGAGAGATGTCGAATTCTGTTTGTTCCCTACTGTCACTTTCGTCTTACCTAACCACATGATCCACGACACACCCAGAATACAGGCACCAGGATTCAGAGTCAGACCCCTTTTTGTGTTGCTCTTTTCCTTGTTCTCCTGTTATTTGAGGTTGGTTATTTGTCGTTGCCATTTTGGCTCAAGCAGGCTTTTGTTACGTTTTCCCCCTTTCTCAGACGTGTGCTGCAAATCTAGATTGGCTTCTTCCTTTTCGTAAGGTTGGGGCTTAGGTCCAGCGGCGCTCAAAGCACTAAAATAGAACAGCCGGCTAGTTTTTACCTCTGTCACGTAGATGCATCCCTTCAGGCAAAGTAAGGCGGAGTATCACTAATCCTACTGATCATACATTGGCTATACTCATTTCGAAAGAATAATCAACACGCATTGAGTAAGTATTCCTGCCCTACCAACACGTTATCGCTCCAAAGAATCTACTTCATAGACATAGTCATCCGGTTCCAAGATGAGAAAATCTTCCTTCGCCCACCTGTGGCTCCTCATGGCCGGGGCCCACGTTCGCGGTGTATCTGCCGTGACCTTCAAAGTCGTCGCGGCTCCGGGAACAGGTGGTCAACCAGGTGCTCAAGTACAAGAGCCTGCGAAGAAGAAACTCATTTTTGTTTGGATTGCAGCCGGTGAAACAGAAATGAATCAAGCAGAGCCTGTAAAGGATGTTCTGCGAGAAAAATTCGGCGCGATCATCTCGAAGAAGAATCTGGGTCCGCTAGCTCTAGGACCGACTCTGCAAACTTTACTCACCACGCAAGGCAGCTACGAAAGGGCTGACATGCGTCTTGTGTGGGGAGAGTATTTCGAAGCCCTGAAGAAGTTATGCTCTGCGGAGACACTGAGTCCGGAGGAAGAAGAGAAATTGGTTAGCTCCGTCGCTAATACCATTCAGAGTATCCGGGAAGACACGTGGAAGGACTTCACTCGCCTCAGCGGCCGAGAAACCTTTCCAAAGGAAGTGATGCTAAAGGCACACGACCAGATTCGCTCTTTTGCTGCTGACGATGAAGCTGACGAGCCGAACAGGACGACGCCAATTCACGTGATTTTGGACGTGGTGTACCCGGCCGCAGCTTTGGCGCCGCTTATTCTGCCGATACTGCCAGAAGGCAGCACACTTAAACTCTGGAGCGGAAATCATGCCCAGACACTCGCAAATCTTGCCTGGTTAGGTCCTCCGCTGGTGTCTTCACCTCCATTTGCAGAAGGAAGAGCTGTGGAGTCTACTCAACATATGTTTTCGTCCTGGGAAGAAGTAAGAGATCTGGAAATTCTCTCGGTAACTGGCGCGCATATTCCAGGAGACTACGTCCCTTTCGCGAACAACATGCTCGGCGGATCAAAGTTCTTTGCGAGAGTCGGAACAGAGCTTGAGAACCGGGGGTTGGTGGCAAAGGATTCAAATTTTCTGCCAACTTCTGAAGAAGATGCAAAATCGTATGAGCGAGTGATTGGCACGCCTTTTCTTGGACTTGGTTCATCTTCTAAGCACGAGGGAGAACAAAGTCGAACACATCAAACACTTCCATTGACTCTCTTCGGAGTCCCTAGCAGCAAAGAACAGCCGCGTCGTGTCTGGTTTTTGAACAGTCTAGAGAAGAAGAGTCCGGATCCAGATCAAAGCAGCTTGAGTGATTCGATCATGAAGAGTGCGGAGGATTGGGCGGAGCGTGACTTATTACGGAAGGTGGTCTATGTTGCGATCGGGACAGTTGCGAAAGTCCCATGCTCGATGAGTGAAGATGACTCGCCGTGTAAAAGGATGATCGAGGACCTCCTTGGGCTAGGTCCACAGTTCCGCATCGTGTGGCGCGTGAATACTGAACTACGAAAAAAGTACAGCAAAACCACGACGTCGTGTAGGAGCTATCATCATGATAGGGATGAAGAAGATCGCGCACTTGAAGAGGACGTGAATCTTAAAGTATGGCCTCATGGTGATGTCGATGCTGTAGAAGATGGTGTTGTCGATGCGCACGCTGTAAAGGAAAGCAATAAGCTGGCGACGATCGATATCGCAGAAGGGGGCTTTCCACAGGGGCTTTTCCTTTCGTCGAAGTTGGCAATGCGTGGCCAGCTCATTTTCGTTTCCCATTGTGGCGCGAGCAGCGTTTCGGAAGCTGTGCGCAATCGTGTGCCGCTGGTTTCGATCCCAGCAACAATAGAGCAGCGTGCAAACGCCGCTGAGCTGGTCGCTAATCGACTCGCGATGGACGCCTCGCCGGCTGCAAGGAAGTATGAGGTCCACCAAAATTACCATGATTTTCCTCCACCTCCTAATCTGCGGGAAGAATTTCATTCGGTGGAGAAAGTGACTTCCGGGGACGAAAAGCCCGTATCTTCGAAAAGGATCGTCCAGTGGTCTGCTTTTGAGACCTTGCGCGACGCTGTGAAGCAAATCGCGGAACCAGACGTGTTCGATAAGATTCGCACAGATATGGAGAAATTTGCGGAAAAAGTGGCACAAAACTCTCTTTCTGTTGCCCAGCTGGCTGAGAAAATCTACGTCGACGCCCTGAACGCCGAACAAAAAGCCGAACAAAAAGCAAAGAATAAATCAGCCTCTCTCAAGACTGAGGGACCAGTGGATAAGCGGACAATGCTAGCTGGCGCAGCACCCGATAATTATTATAAGTTGATAGATAAAAAACATAACAAAAAAAAAATCTATATTATTAATCTAAAAAAAAATCTATATTATTAATCTATATTATTAATCTATATTATTAATCTATATTATTAATCTATATTATTAATCTATATTATTAATCTATATTATTAATCTATATTATTAATCTATATTATTAATCTATATTATTAATCTATATTATTAATCTATATTAATCCCGCCAATAAAACTCCCCGCCTAACCCACCGGAACTTAGCCTCCTCCCCTCTCGGGGGCCCACTGCCGATAGCCTGTGGCCCTTTCTCCTCCCCGTAGATTTCCGATAGTCTCCCCCGGTTTCCCTCTGAAAGAGTACACCTCGCAACCCTGTCCCCCTCTTAGAAAAGAGGGCAGAAAAACAAGTTACGGGGGTACCGCAGAAAGAAGATGCACCAGGGGGCGGCCAGTCCCTGCGCGAAGCCTGCAGCCCAAGCCCCGCCCGCCCGCGGGGCCCTCTTTCTATCTATGCACTACGGGATCTTGCAACTAACTTTCAACAATCTATCGTGGAACAGTCTATATTTCGACAATATATCGCGCAACAGTCTATCGCTCAACAGTCTATCGCTCGCCAGTCTATGCATGGCGCAGCAGTCTATCTGCGAACGATCGATCTTTCAACAATCTATCTTAAGCCGATGCATCCTTCGACAATCTGTCTTAGGTCGATGCATCTTTCAACAATCTATCTTACGTCGATGCACCTTTCAACGATCTATCTTCCGTCGATTTATCTTTCAACCGTCAATCTTTCGACGCTGAGTCTGGGGGTCTATCGTTCAACAGTTTATCGCTCGCCAGTCTATGGCTCAGCCTTCTATCTGTGAACGATCTATCTTGCAACCGTCTGTCTTTCAACAGTCCATCTGTCAACAGTGTATCCGTCGACGCTATTAACCGTCAACAGTGTATCTTTCCCCAGTCTTTCAGCAACAGTTGCGCAATCTATCAACAATCTCCCGGCGATCTTTCCGCGATCTTTCGCGGCATCTTTGAACGATCTGCGGGCGATCTTTCCGCGAATCTCCAGGACCCTTTCACCAATCTCGCGACAGTGTTGCAACTACAATCCAACAGCAAACCCTTCAACAATCTCCCAGCCTCTGCCAAAGACTGCACGTTCTTGGGTTTTCTGCCTACTGCAATTCCGCGTCCTGCCTGCGGCTGCGACCAGAATGAACGTCATCAGAAAAGCATCACCGCGCCCAAGCGGTCACCCCATCGCAGGTAGTCGACCCGACTTGCATCTAATTGCAATCCCAAAAAGTCGCTGGGTGGCGGACATCAGATTCAGCAAGCCCATCCACATGCATCGGTGCGCTGAAAGTTCCCAGATGGCATTAAAGGTCCGTGGACATGGGTAGCTACAGCCCAAAGCCATGGAAGAGCCTTCGAAAAGTCCGCCAACGTCCACCACAGCAATAGACAAGTTTTATACACAAGGAAAAACAATCAACAAAAGCCAGGAAACTGCCGGCGAGATGGTTCGTCAGTACTCACTTATATACCCACCTCCAACCAATGACCAGCACCATCCGAAGAATCGCTATCAAGTCTTAAATTATACCCACCGCCATCAGTCTATCCCTGACGCCGATAGTCAAATCCAAAAAATAGAATTCATAGTCGTCAGCTGTTCCCTTACATCTTCACACTACTCACATTAAGTAGCGTAGCCAGTAACATTCACAAATCCCATAAGTGTCATACGTAGATGCTGCACAGCTCTCGGCGGTACGTTGCAGAGGTGGCCACTGCTTTCTCCTTCGTCACCAGCGTGAAGCCCAAGAAGTCGCCGGTGGACATCAAATTGAGCGCGCTCCTTCTCATGACTGCGCAAAAAGTCCCCTCTTCGCATTAGCTTTAAAGGTCCAGCGCTCCAACACTCGCAGCCACCTCTTTGGCGTTGTCTTCCTCCTCCATGTCCTGCTCCACATCCATCATCGACACGTCTGCGCCATCCTCCACGTCCGGTTCATCAGGCGCGTCCTCCTCATATTCCAGATACCCAGAACGTTAGAAGCATGCGCACACTACTACACCACATGAGTACCACGCGACCCCTCTTTCATGCGAGCGATCATTCAAAAACTCGAAGCGGGGCCATCTTTTTTTGGCGTCTGACGTGGACAGGGGTAGCCTCCCCCGAAGGTCATGGAGGAGCTTTCATACATAAGGAAAAACAATCAAGATAAACCACTACACCGATGGCCACAGGAGTCGTCAGTGCTCACTTATATACCCACCACCAACCAATCATCATTCGCAAAATTTCTATCAGACCTTAAGTACCCACCACCATCCATGTATCTCTTACGCCAGTAATAAAATCGAAAGCATATGAATAACAGCCGTCAGCCACTAACATTACTTAACGAAGCCCATAAGTGTAAGCGTTCTCCCTGTAGATGCTGCATAGTTCTCGGCGGTACGTTACGGAGATTCTCGCTGCTTTCTGCTTCGTCACCAGCGTCAGGCCTTTTCTCGTCTTGCACCTACTCAGAGCAACGTAAGCCATTCCATGTTCAAAAAAGACATCACCTGCGTCGTCCTCTATTAGCGCCCAGCCTGTCCCATCTACTGACTCAAAAGCTCTTGCGTGCTTTCTCAACAACTCGCGGAGGAGTGACGCAGCACAGATGTACACAGTGAGATCCCTTGACTTACTTAGTCCAGTGCACGCCTCGCCATCTGAGTACACAAATCGCGCGCGCCTCTCCTCCCTACGGTACTTACCCTTATGCCCTTCGCCTTAACTGTAACAAGAGATAGAGGCTTCGCACCGTCTTCCCTTGTACTGCGTGGATGGTTTCACAGTAAGCCACTCGCAGCGGGAATTGCGTGTAGGCGCACTCGTATCCCGCTACGTCATGCAACATCTGCAACCGCGGAACGTGTGCCACTTTTTCTTCTTTACCGCCTCCGACTTTCTCCATTACAAAACGCACGACGATCGTGTACGGTGTGCACCTTAGTACTTCCCCATGCGTGTGCTTGCACAAGCCGCCGTAATTTCGCGTCAGCTTCACACTGCACCCCGGAAAAACTCGAAGAACAGCTGGCGCATGCGGATTTTTTACCGCCGCCGAACACGCCAGCACCCCGCTCAATGAGGAGTCATCGAGGCACTGAAGATCCGCCTGGTACTCCCATACTACGCCACCACGGTGCTCATAGTGGTCCACGCACATGTTGGCGCGTTAGAGGTCCCCAGCCTGAAAGCAGCGAAGCGCCTGTTCACGGCCCTAATCAGTTACCCTACGATCAACCACCACCGACGCGCCTACTATGATTAGCCAACACAAATAAGCAAAGCCCATCGCAGTCGCAAGCGTTTCTCTACTCTACACGACTCAGCCCCGAACTATCTCAAAAACCTCACCCATAATTGAACGCCGTCACCTCGCTGTGTGTTGCGGCGATTGCCGTGCCTCTTGATGCATACGGCTGCTGCATTAGCTCCCCAACAATCTTAGCGCGGTCACCCTCATGGCGAACGCCTGGCAGCTTTTCGAAATCTATCACGTCCAGCATCCCCTGGCCTACTCGCGTTACCAGCTCACCGTACTCAAGGTCATCACGAAAGCGATATGACTCAAACAAAAAACGCGCGTCCAGGTTTCTATGCAGTTGCGCACCCGTTGAAAGATTAGAAGGAAATAGGTGGACACGCTTTGCTCTCCTTTGTGTGCGTGCGCTATCATAATGCCAAGAAGAGCCACGAGGGCACGCAGCTCATTCACTGCCACACACTCCCCGGACTGATACACACCAAAGAAAGGCGCCGCGTCTCTTCATAATCAAACACTGCAGCCCCGCGCCATCTCTTTGCGTCCACAGGCGCTGGCTCCACTTGTTCTTCTGTACAACCGGAGGCGTTTGCTGTGGGTCACCCGCCGCCAAGACCTGCAGCCCACCCATGAACCGGCTATCTGCTCGAACCTCCTGCAACATCAAGTCGACACCTTCCAAGACCTCCCGCCGAAGCGCATAGACTTCATCCAAGACGAGCAGCTTCGCCGCGCGGTACAAAGCCGCATCCGCGTCCGTCAACGGCGCGAAGATGGGGCACCCGTGGCCACAGTCGTCGCGCGGGGGCGTCGCGTTGAAGGCTTTGTGCACGCTCGTCCCCGCCGTAAGTAGCGACGCCGCGGCGCCACTTGTCGCCGCCACTATTGCCAACTCCCCGCGGCTCCAAGTAGTGCGCAAGATGGCCTCGATCACATGACTCTTGCCACAGCCTGCCGGAGAAGGAACGACGCAGCTCTCACCATGGTCGCAAACTGCTTTGTAAATTGCTCGCTGCTGCAAGTTCATTGTCGCCACGCGCTGCCGCGCCTCCTCACCGCACCCACTGTCACGCATGCCCTGCATGTGCGCAACAGCAGACGCATGACGGTCCTCAGGCGCCTCCACCTCCTCTGGTGCTCCAAATAAGTCCGGACGACTCTCCGCCAGAGCTCGCCGGACTGCTTTTGATGCGCTACGCGCTAAATCCTTCACAAATCCAGCCAGTTCACGCGTCGCATTCGTTTCCACATAGTGGACAGACTCCAGCAGCTTACGCGCCTCCCCCGCCGGTGTCAAATCGGCCCCGCCGTGCTCTCTTGCAATCGTTCCCCAGCTGTCGCGCCCGCGTACGTCCGCCAACCTGACCCGCGCGCAATCAACGCTGTACTTGAAAAGTGACGCCGTCACGCCGCGAACGATGAGAACGCTGGGTCTCCGCTTTTCCCGCGGGTGCGCTATATACCGCACGCGATTGCTGCTGTCATATACAACGAACGGAGGCGCTTCGAGGATTCGCGACGCCGGGACACCAAATAGCAGAGCGCAGTCCGCTACGCTTCCAGATTCTTTAGTATTAGAAGGAAGCCTCGCGAACCTCTTCGGCATGCTAATTTAGTACATCAGCGCGCACTGATATATAAACGAAGCTCAGCCAAAAGGATCCCGTGGGGGCACTGCCTAAACCTCTGACTTTTCTGCCTAAATTTTGACTTTAGGCAGAAAAGTCCAAACTTTAAGCAGAAAAGTCCAAAGTTTAGGCAGAAAAGTCCAAAGCTTAGGCAGAATAACGGCTCGAATTTAGTCCGCCGCCCCGCTCCAGAGCCGCCGGGTGGCTCCGGGGCGCAGAAGTGAGCCGTTAGGCAGTGGCCTGGTGAAATTTTAGGCAGCCGACTCCGCCGCAGCGGCACACCGCTAAAGCTGCCTAAACAAAGGCGAAACCTGCCTAAAGTTAAAATTATTTAGGCAGAAAACTCGAAAGTTTAGGCAGACCGCGAAGGGATCCTTTTGGCACAGTCTTCGTTCACACACTGATATCAATGCGACCAAGGTCGCCTACGTGGGCTACTATGGAACACCTCCATAACAAAATGGTGAACGACCATCACGCGGCCTGTGATGTCTCTACTTGGGTGCATTGCGTTTTCTCTGTCACGCTTCTGCGCAATCGAATAAGCGACCCCATTCACGATCGGGGCCAAGTTTTGCACATGGCGCACACCACGGCGCAAGAAGTGCCGGCTGTAGCTCTCTTGCATGTTGTCCCTGGTCAGCTCGTTCTGGTTCAGGCGAATATAGTCGACGCTATATTCTTCCAAAAAGTCGACAAAGCCCAGACGGTCAAAAGCTACGCCATCAGGGCGGCAGAGGTAAGCACTCAACTCACGGGAAAGCGGAACAGCCTCCGGGCTATCCCCCGCGACCGATCTCGCGAAAGCTTCCTCATGGTGCAACTGGTAAGGCATGCCCAACGTCGCCCCAGATACGTGGAGCCGCTCTCGCCTCGGCGTCACTACATACTGGTCGTAGCCGAGTGCTCGCCATGCTGCCTCTCCCGAAGAGAAGACCCGCAGCCGAGAAATCCCGCCACTCTCAAGCTCTGCGCCCTGCTTCGCTGACAGTCGGTTGCGATGGTTATCAGTCGCCTGCACCTTGTCGCCAGTCTTCAAGACACCGTCGCGCGCCTTAAAAATGTACTTGAACAAGTATTCGATGCTGTTCGTGCTGTCAATCTGGTACAGGGCCGCATGCCCACCCCAAAGAATCCCAATCGGGCGTGAGAACGGAACGACGTACGCGTCTACCGCTGCGTCACGACGATAGTGGAGCCGCTTGCAGCTGTCTCCCATATCGTAATGGCTGTAACCAGACACCCGAAAAGGGAAGCCCATGCTGCACGCCGCAGCGCCCGGACGCTGCTCACAACTGGCCCACGCACAGTCATGCACATGGTTGCGCTCGAAGAACGCGCGTTCACTCTCGGGGAGGTCTGACAATCGCGCCCGGATCTCTTCGTCTAATTGCTCAAACGTCGTATACTGCCGCCGCGATCGAAAGACGATGTGACAATGAGGATTGCCCCTGGCTTGCCACTCAATCGAATGCGCGAATGTTAGACGATTCGCATGGTGAGAGATTAAGATTACTACTTACACAACTGCGACGACATGCGCAAGATATGACAAAGCGACCCCCCTTTATTTTTAGCTTTTACACGAGAAGCGAGAAAAGAGTCCAGACGAGCAAAGAAGATCGCTAATAGCCCTTAACCTCCACTCGATGTCGCAAACATCGTCCAGAATCCTCAAAAGCAAAGCCAAGCGGTCCTGGAAGATTCTCGCCGTGAAGAACGGATCCAAGTACATTGAGTGCGCTTTCGACGTCGTTATTGCTAAAAGGTGCCGCTCATACTCAATCTGCTCCGGGGACATGGTCACGGTTTATTAGACAAGACGAAGGAACGCAAGGTATACAGTCTTGCGGCGGCTCAAAGCAAAGGCTCCCACGCCGCCCAAGCCCTCAACAAATCTCAGCGATTGCCATAAGTTAAGAACTTATCTGGTGGCCCTTTGTCCGCCACGTTCTTCATGCACTCGTCTCGCAACTCTTGGAGCGACGCGCTGCAGCCTAAATACGACGCCGGCAAGTCCTTGATAAATGTCCGTCCCTTGTTCTTGTTTGCAGAGGCCTTCCAGCGCGTTTCCGCGATCGCCTCATCCAATTCTTCCTCCACTATGAACGTGGGGGGGTGTCTACGCTAAATCTACAGCTACGCCCGCTTCTACACCCCAGGCTGCCCATAGTCACCCAAATACAGCACGCCCCCCCCTAATGTAAAATCCTAAAGAGCAGAAACACAAACCCCATAAGAGCAGTTATCAAGTTCTGACAAAGCAGCCACTGTTCCCACAGCCCCTTTAGCCAAGTCGCGTTCAAGGGATCCGACTGGTCAAGGTTCGCCATTATCGCCCGCACATACTGCTGCCGTGAGTAAAGCTCGTCAGTCCTCTCCCAAATGGAACTAACTGCGCCTTTGTAGCCCAACGTCCCACAAGGGTCCAGAAGAGGGAACAGCAAGCCTTCCCAAAAAGGGTAACGGTCCCACTCTCTCTTGTTGTTTTCTCCCCGAGATGCTGCACACGATCGAAAAGAAAACTCCGACGGGCTTAGTCGCTCCCCACCGCCTGTCTCGTTGAGGAGGACCATGCTGGTTCCTTTCAACGTCTGTCGGCGTGGTCCTGCGTCGCACGATAGGCGTACAGCGATGTTAGAAAAGACACCACGCCGCGCCTTGCTCGTATTTCTTTTTCTACCGCAAGGGCGGACGCGATAAGATTTGCACTTCAACGGCAAGCCATAATAAGAGACTCCACCGCACTTATGGGCACCTCCGTTGTGTCACAGACCAGCAACACCTCACGCCAGAAGTTACTCGTCTCAGCAAGTGCGTGCGCCCATGCTCTTTTCTGTTGTGTTGTTTTTTTCTGCCGGGCGCTGCCTCTGGCTCTATCATGACCCTCTTCCTTAAGCCAAAAAGCCTTCCAAGGGGAGCGCTCATTGTCCAAGAAGATTGGAAATATTCCAAATTCCAAGCCTGTAGTCTGCCGCGCACTCTCGTGCCGCAGATGCCTGCTGTTCATCTTCTTCGCAACACCTCCAGAACGGCCCATCAGAGCAATGCTGCTATTTATCTCAGATATGACGTCTTCGATTTTCTCTGCGCAGCTGCCGTCTTGCTTCCCTGTGTGAGAGAATGGATAACAGTGGGGTCTCTGCCAGTCCTGTCATAGCTATACCGAAAAGATATTATAATTAACGACAAACACTCCACACAATACGAGCTCTCCCTCACCTAACGACGTCACGGCTATACCTCCAGGGGGGTCGCCCGATCTGCCCAACCAGCGCGACGCCGGTCGGTGGTGCGTTTGAACTATTCCATCAACGAGCTCCCTCACGGCAGGGCCATGCCTATTGCATCGAAAGTCTTCCATTAGCTCAATCAGGTGTGGATTCCCACAACAGTACTCGCAGTGCGCCACGCCTTCCCCGGTGCGAAGCTCTGACTCGAAAACCCAAGTTCCACACGTTGGACAGCCCTCCCGGGAACGCCGCTTGTGCTCGTGCTGCTCTCGAATGTGCTGCGCCTCCTCCACGGTGAGGCGGATACAGTCTGGGCCTGGGTCTGCTGGATATGCACTCTGCCAGATGCCCAGCATTCTAAAGCACGGGCCACACACATCCTCACACTCATCCGCGTCGGGGAGTTGTATTTCTGGAATGCACCAGTGGCGACAGTGCCGACAAACCGCACCCTCGAGCGGGGCCATGCTAATCGAAGCGCTGAGGTCGTAAGTCACGGGAGTCGCAGCCCCTCGGCGTACCGACGGCGCCCAGAAATGGAGGCGGCACAAGAAGAAGCACAACGACCAAAGAACACCGCGCAGCGGAAGCATCTTTCTTCATCAACGTCCGCAGCTTGGCGCGGTGGGTTGTATTCTCATGCGAGGTCTTTGCTTTTAGTCATATCAATAAGGCTCCGCCTCTTCTTTATCTTTTTACCTTATAGACTTCCAGACCATGGCAGGGAGTGTATTATCAGCGCAGTGGTTTTTATAAATATGCGAGGCCTTAACTCATGGCGCACCACCTCTTAGTTTAGAGACCTTGGGCCACCATCTTGCAAGTTCATTCTTTTGACGAGTCTCAGAGACTCCGACCGACTTACATCTGACAGAAGGCACAGACAATGCGCGGCGAATGCTCAAACAGAGCGCAACTAATGGCGCACATGTGGCAAGTAAAGCTCCGCCCTCTCTTCCTCTGTCATGTTTTTCCTGTCCCGTCTCTTTCCGCCATCTATTTCCGCAGGGGATGCATGTGCTCAGACTTCGCGAGGTGAAGGCTAACAAACCAACTGCTTTTACATATTTTCAGTGCAGCACGCATCTCAGTCAAATTAAGGAGGAAAGCACTATCGCCGTCCGGCTATGGGGGAGGGGGGATTGCATATGCCTGCAGATGTGTTTTGCTATCGCAGCCACCTATATTGTAATGCGTAGTTTTTTTTTTCAAAGGTTGCATCAGCGTGCTCTTCTTAGGTCTTCTTTTTAGTTTGCTCGCCAACGAGCTTTAGTTACAGAAAGCAAAGGCCTGCCCTCACTCGAGCCACGCGCCATCTCTTTCTACTATGTAGAAAAGTGCCCCAGCTTCACGCCCCAGCCTATCTATCTTGCACCACCTGAAGCCTACGACTTCACGACCTTGGCGGTCAATTAGTTTCCTGCGCTAATGGTCACTTTCGTCCGCAGCCGGCTCCCCCTCCAAGTCTAAAACCTGGTTAATGCAACGACTGATCTCGCAAAAACAGGCAACAAGGTACAGCGGATGCTCTTTTGCGTCACGCATAGACGTACCCAGGTGCAATTTCGCAGCGTCTGAACCTGCATTCCGGACATGCGAAAAAAAAAGCGGAAAAAAGTTCTCCATCTCGATTGACCAACCCAAGTCGGACGACCTGTTCGGCGTCGTCCCAAATGTCCCGCCGGAGGTCGGTCGGAGGACCCAATTGAGCAGACGCTTCGGACCTCTCCCAAAAATTGTGAACGGCTGCGGAGGTTGCTTGTTGAAACACGTGTAAGAGATACGCCGCTCCCCTAAGAGGTCCCGGGACCAGAGAAATATCTTGCCTCCCGTCCAATTACCAAGCAAAGAGATGCAGCCAGAAAGGTAACGCGCATAAGAAGCCTGCCCCTCTATCAGACCCGCCAAGAGCTTCGGCCAACTGCTGTCGATGTTCTCTTTGAAGTTTTCGAACTGCTTCCTATTCGTGCGCGTTTGTTCTGCCGACAGGTACTCCTTCCAGGCGTCCGGTGTCCTATAGACTAAGGCCTTCACGCTCTTGAAGATCTCCCCCGGGGCTGCGCCTTTCTTGATAAGCGCCAGCCATTTGTCAAGAAATGCCTCAGACATGAAGAACGAGAAGAACAAGACCGCGCGAAGCAAGTCCATTAAGCCCGTGCCGACTGCTTTGCACAAGTTAGAGGCCTGACACTGAGCGCCAGCTAATCAATCTACTAATATCATCACAATGCCGCGCCAGTTTATATGAAGAGCCCAAGTTCCGCAGTCTGCTACTCATTACAGTCAAACCATCAGCCCCCTGATTAATTTAGATGAGCAGAAACATGGGCTCGGCACGCCTACGACACTACCACCCTACCACTGCCATAACGATCTGCCTCCTCTTATCCGCGACACGACCAAACAGGTCAGGCTTGCACTTCGTCTCAGCCCATCGCTTGACGTCTGCCCCGGTGATGTCTATCACCTTCGGCGGCTGCGGCGGCCTTTCTTTCGCGTAGAAGACGAACGGGTCCTCCACTTTCGGCAGCGTCACCCGCACCACGGTGGCGAGGAGTTTCTTCGACATGTAGCCCCTCGTCACCATCACGCAATACACGTCCACAATCAACAAGATCAGCTGCCAGATACACCCAGCATCGGGGTACCTTCTCTGCTGCGTTAGCGTCATCCCAGACGATACGAGGAGACAGCGAAAAAACGAAAAGCAACGAGAGGATAGGAGAGCAGCTACGCCACTGTGGCAGATTTCTCGCTCTTCAGTGGTCCACTACGTCGCACCAATTGCCACCCATGTATCTCAGATTTGCGTCAACGTTGCCAACTTACTTACTTTAGTTCGCGTCTTACGTTTGTGCGACTTACTTGCCTACGCGTGGCGACGTGCGTCAAAACTATCTTGCACAAAAAAAAGTAACGCCCATCGTCGGGGGATGATTATTAGAGGCGAATCGTTCACGATGCTCTTCTTGTTTGGTCGTGCTTCCTTGTTGGAGTTTCGTTGACCATCTAAGCCCGACTACTCTCGCCCACGGCCGTCCAAACTAATGGGAAGGCGCGCAATGCGTCATGGTCTGCTAACAGTTCACCACTCTCAGTTCTGGGACAAGTTGCTCACGTTCATTTTTATCACTAAAGACAATGCGCGCCATGCCACCTCAGTAGCAGGCGCCTCCTTGTGCGCTGCATATTGGTAGAGGAGTATCCGTTTCAAAAATGGCAGGGGTATCAGATCAAGGGGGCTCTGCCTCTGGGTGTGTTTGGGGTAGTCGAGTCCTTACTTTTAAGAAGTCAGCCGCTCCTTATATTTCAAATTTCTTGTGTATATCTTCATGCCCAGTGTTATCTGCAGCCTTTATGCGTCTCCATCTTCCTATCCTTATGTTTGTGTATCTACATATCCAAAGAAAAAGCGAAATACATCGTCAAAAAAAAAGCATCACGGTGTGCCAGAGGTTGGCGTCTTCCATGCGTCTAACTATGCTTCAGCGTCTCTACATCTTTCCGCGCGCACTGCATATTGGTAGAGGAGTATCCGTTTCAAAAATGGAAGGGGTATCAGATCAAGGGGGCTTTGCCTTTGGGTGTGTTTGGGGTAGTCAAGTCCTTACTTTTAAGAAGTCAGCCGCTCCTTATATTTCAAGTCTGTTGCGTATATCTTCATGCCCAGTGTTATCTTCAGCCTTTATGCGTCTTCGTCTTCCTATCCTTATGTTTGTGTATCTACATACCCAAAGAAAAAGCGAGATACATCGTCAAAAAAAAAGCATCACGGTGTGCCACAGGTTGGCGTCTTCCATGCGTCTAACTATGCTTCAGCGTCTCTAAATATACCTTTTCCGTCTCTCTATTTATCTTCGTCCCCAATGTTGTCTACTTATCTCTGTCGCCTTATCTTCATGCCGAGGGTTGTCCCCAGCTGCTCACTATCGTTTTCTTTGCTTACTATCGTTTTCTTTGCTTATCTCTACTCCGGAACGCTATTCCACAACGCGAACTCTGTCTATGCGTGTTCTTAGGGTAATCGTTAGTGCCTCCAAATACTCTTACTTCTAACCACTTTGCTATCGCTACGCTTTACGAACTAACTTCGCGAAAAGATAAATCGGCCATCGGTCTATAGATACACACCCCTCGAGACACTCCAGATGCCTCAGACGGTGATACAGTCTCCCGCTAAAGATCTAAGTCACCAACTTGCTGCGCGTGCGCGGCCTGTGCCTTCGCCCGCACGCCTTTGCCCTTTGCTTTCTTGCCGCCCTTCTTTGCACATTTTCCCTCACCCGCACTCGGAAGAGAGAGAGGCGCTCCGGCTTCCAAGAACAGAGAGCGGCGGTGTGGATGTGCAAAAATGTGCTTCTGCTTGTCTTCTTCGGTGGCAAAGTCCTCACCCGAATACGCAAAATCAACCTGGAGTGGGCGTGTTACGTAGATCATAGTCTCACGGGTCAACGTAACCACAAGAACAAAGAAACTACCACGCGGAGCAACGACGCACGCGACGACCTATTCCCACAAAATTTCAACCAATGGCACAAGTAACAACAAGTACCCGAAAGAAGAAGATGTGCGTGTTCGTATATTCCTTGGCCCCTGATCTGTACGTGTTCTGGAATATCCAGCAGCGGCCTTTTTCAGTACTGTAGTCGGTGATACCTTGTTCAGCCGCTACCGTTTCATCTGTGTGGGAGTAAGGAGAGAACTTCCAAGAAGCCGTCGAGACTCATCATAGACCAAGAGTTTCCGAATCACCCCGAAAGGCGACCCGGCCCAAAAATGTACAAGAGACTATCAATCCTTAACATTCCACTAAGATGCTACTCCTACCGATCTCCTGGCACCTATGGCCGTCCATTCCCCTCGTTAAAGCAATCGCTTGTCCCTTTGTGTCCGTCAGCGTCCTCTCCACTCCGCACTTCGTAAATAAGGTTGCGACCTTCATCACGTGGTCGATTGTCGGCGACGTGTATTCCCCTCCCTGTGCATACCTTGGAAAGATGGATTGGAGATAACCGATGCCCAATTTCTGATGGGGAATTCCTCCCACGCCGTCGATTTTTTTGTTGGATTCTCGTGGGGGTCTTGCAAATATTGAAGAATTTGCAAGACCTCCCCGACAATCCAACAAAAAAAAGACAGGTGAAGCAAGTACGACACTAACGTGATCCTTTTTTACTCTAAGAGGATCAAAACAACGCAACATCTACAGAATGGGCGTCAGACAAGTCATTGGACTGCTCGGCGCCCTTATCCTTATGGGCGTCCCCTCCGACACCGTCGATTTTTTTGTTGGATTCTCGTGGGGGTCTTGCAAATATTGAAGAATTTGCAAGACCCCCCCGACATTCCAACAAAAAAACAAGAATGGCGAAGGAGGCAGGACCCTCTTCGGATTCCTCCCTACTCCAACACAATGAATTCAAATAACCCAACATCTACGAGATAGATACCATCCACTTATATGGATCAGCGGCCGCCCAACTCCGTCTTCAAACATCGAGCCAACGCAAAACGTTGCGGTAACGTCTAAACCCAGCCGATCTTTGCACAGCTCTTGAAATAGCCCTCGGTAGTCGTCAATCTTCAGGAAGACATGACTGCAACAACGTTAGAGGAGAGACAGACGAGTACTACGCATATGCAAAGGAAACCCATGTAGAGAAAACACCGAAGCCCATGTGCGTCATAGTTTACACCGACAACGGCCGAAATCCTAACCCTAAGTCATCCTCTTGTTAATCATTCGAGACCGAGCCGAGCCATAATTTTCACTGTCTCGAAATCCTTTGTGCGGATCGGAGTGCTTCTTCGCTGCCTCAGCGCACGTTCCATCTTCGAAATAGATTACCACATCCCCGGCCCAGTTCGTCTTGTAAGGATAGTAGAACTCGCTTGCCGAAGGCAACTGGCTCGCAGTACCGTGGTGCCTGGAGGAGGTAAAAACCCTAATAATGTGTTTTACCTTTATCCCGTTCGTAACACTCAATACTTCATCACCGTCAAGTTAGTACTAATTTGCTCAACAAGTCAAAGGGCGTTGCAATTTATTTTTTACAGCGAAAAAATGAAAAAGCACCACTCCTCTTCAATTCGGTGTATGCCCAAGACAAGCGGGCGCACATCCTTGGCGGGTTGCCACACCACACCCTTGCCGCCTTTTTTAGCACCTCCCTTTGCCTTTCCTTTTCCTCCTCCTTGACCTTTTTCCAGCGGTTGCTGTGCCGCCGGAGCTCCCTTCCCTTTGCCTTTGCCCTTTTCCTTGCCGGTCTTGCCCTTTCCATCGGGTCCGAAGAAGTTGTCGTTCAAATATTAGAAAGCGACGAGCTGTTCACTTTTACGAATGACTCCACTGCCCTTCCTCCATAGGACGACGCTTAAACTCAAGCCTCTGCGTTCCAATAATAGATCTTATATAATCAATCCCTTTTCCATTTCCTATAATAATCCTCATAAATTTCAACGCCTTTTCCAGCCAACTCCCCGAAGACGTCCTCATCTGCTGCCGCTGCTTCTCCTTGCTCCTCGACTTTGTTAGAAGGCTTTGCTGCGATTCATCTTAGTCGCATCTTTGGCGCGTTTTCCTCCTTAGAAAAGCCCCAACGAACCTTGACAAGATGAATCACCTCCATAACGCCTTGTCCTCCTCCTGCTCCTGCCGCAAGGTTGTGCTCCTCACCTTCTCCGCCTTCATCTGCTGCCGCCGCAGGTTGCTGCTGGAGTCCTTCTCCGCCCAACACCGGTTGCTGCTGGACTCCCGCTCCGTCCATCATAGGTTGCTGCTGGGGTCCTTCTCCACCCACCACAGCCCCCTCTTCGTTTCCTGCTTCACCGCCTTCACCGGCTCCCACCGCAGGTTCATGCTGCTGGGCTGCTTCGGCCTTCTTCGCTTTTTTCATCGCCGGGGCCGCGGCGGGGGCGGCTTTCTTCATGCTCGTCGCCCTCTTCATTATTTCACCTTCCTTTCTTTCTACCTAAAGCGAGCGACGCTGTGCTTCTTGTCAAGTCAAGGTAGGTCCTTGCCAACTCTTTGTTAACTTCTTCTCTACTTCTTGTGTGTAAACGTCAGCAACCGCTTCTATAACACAGCAACTATTCTTGTACTCCATGATTATCAAGCAGGTGTCTCCACCGTTCCCAACTTTTAGTCAATGATTATCAACAAAGACAAAGATGCCAAGTGTTTTCATCCTTAAAAACAAAGGATGCTCTTGCAGTCAATGCGTAACAATCCACGATCCTCCGTTCAGGGCATTCCCTAACGATCCAAGGGGAATCTCATCAAGTCAAGATCCCACTTCATCCCATCTATTTGATCACCTCCAGTCCATTCATCCATTGCATTTCCTTCATTCCAATTTTGATCCACTGAAATTCAGAACCTCACTGATTCATTTTCGGAACCTTCTCACACGGACTGGATCCTTCAAGCTCTAGCCAAGTCTTAATTGATCCTCTGCTTTTAATTCTTCCTCTAAAGATACATACAGAGCCGGGCGAAGCTTCCAGAGGCTAGTATTATTAAGTAATTACTGACTTCTTCTATCATTAGCTGGTAGAAATCGTCAGCGGAATCTTAGGGCTACTTCTAGAAGAGAGTAGTAAGGGAAAAAATTATGTTTAATTCTACGTATTCTCGTTATTATTAATTTGGGATGGAACAGGATGAAGTGTACGAATATATCACGTACTACTTGGGTGGAAGCCGCGTACTAGGAACAGCTGACTGAGAAATATTCTTGGACTTGATAAACATAAAGTGACTTAGAAGTTCGAGAGAGATCAATTTGTGACATTCTACGTTGTATTTTGACTGTCCACGTATTTTACCGGGACCGGCGCACACGCCGGATGAATGGGATGGAAGATAATGACAGAACAAACATCAGATTGACAACGTCGCTTTTCGAAATCGAATATGATGATGAAATTACGATTAGTGTTGAATGTTGAAATTGAAAGAAAAATAATGCGAAAGCCGTAACTCTTATTTGAAAAATCGCACAAGTAGTTGTACTAGCAGAAGTTGCTACCTGTCGTCCACCTACTCTCTCATACTTTTTGCAATGCAAGAACTGAGCAAGAGCATTTCTTTGGATGAATGATCATATTTTTTTTGCCTACTGAGTGAGGTGGAAGCTGCAACAGGTGCAAGAATCGCAAATGTACCACCATCTTCACAAGATCGACGATGATGATCGTCTACACACATCTCAGTAGGCTCATATTGTGCTCTCTCGTTGGTCGTGTCCTTGATCTTGACTAAAGCTCAAACTATCAAGTGCGAAATGATATTAAGTAGAATTAATATGGATTTGGATAATTAAGCGGTTGAAGAAAGAAAAAATGAAAAGACCATAAGACAGCAAAGAATAAGGCCACAGCATTGACATTTTGTTACAGATTATCCCCGCCACTTCATTATTATTACTAGGTCTCTGTCTGTAGTACTTGTTCTGTGTTGAAAAGAAAAGCTTGTAGTTGCCCCTGCGTGCTCATGTGGGGAAAAAATGGTCTCGCGGCCGTCTTCACGACACACTGTTTCGAAATTATCTTGTCTCGCCAGGAGGAGTGGTAAAGGATTTTGGCCACCATGTTGGTGCATGATGATGATGATGTAAGAGATCTGTGGGCCTGATCAGCTGTGAGTTTATTGATATAATTGAGACACCAGGCTTCGGTGGACGCGCTGAACCGCGATCAGGAGTTGCAAGAGGTCCTAGAGGCTCACGGGTTCCAAGATGCGCAACAGGCGGTCGAAGGCTTCGGTAGACGCGCTGAACCGCGATCAGGAGTTGCACGAGGTCCTAGAGGCTCACGGCTTCGAAGATGCGCAACAGGCGGTCGAAGGCTTCGTTGATTTGGAAAAGGCGAGCATCTCTCTGCGGTCACGAAACGGATTCGGAATCGTGCAGCCGCATGTTATTTTGCCGGTGAAGGGCAGCACAGAAGGAAATCAGTGATTCATGAGATGATCGCTCTGGTGACGAGTCTGAATGTCATCAACAAATGGCGTCTGCAAGAACCGAGGCAATTTAAGGCTCTTTTCTGTAATTTTTCATCACCGCGGCCTCTAATATACATAGGTACAATGGCAATTTAAGGCTCTTTTCTGTAATTCTTCATCACCGCCTCTAGTATAGGTACAATGGCAATTTGAGGCTTCACCGCCTCTAGTAGAGGTACAAGAATCATCATCATCATCATCATCAGCATCCACCTCGTCATTTTGTTTACAGATTAGGACTACAAGTACAACATCAACATGAACAGCACTAAAACAACCGGTTAGCTTTCCCTCGATCCCTGGCTACTTGTCCCTTCCAACAACATCAACAGTTAGTAGCATAGTTGTAGTAGTCATTAATGTTTTTTCGTAGTCGCGGAAGGATAAACATGCAAGCTCTTCCCTTTCGGATAAGCATGGCACTACAAAAAAAAAAAGTTTTTCCAATTTGAATTGAATTGTAGTAGTCATTAATGTTTTTCCAATTTTGAATGATCATGATAAAAACTATTCCAATTTGGATTGTAGTCATTAATGTTTTTCCAATTTTGAATGATCATGATAAAAACTATTCCAATTTGGATGGTAGTCATTAATGTTTTTCCAATTTTGAATGATCATGATAAAAACTATTCCAATTTGGATGGTAGTCATTAATGTTTTTCCAATTTTGAACGATCATGATAAAAACTATTCCAATTTGGATGGTAGTCATTAATGTTTTTCCAATTTTGAACGAGCGGATTCACGGCGCGGTCGGCCTCGACGAAAATCTCCAGAAGATCCGGTCGCCAAGGCGGTCACGAAGTTGGCACAGAAACTAGTGCCCGCGGTCTGCCGAGACGTACAGATGAACAGGGCCAAAGTGTGAGTGTGAGATGAGTGCTGCGTCAGTCGTGTGAGTGTGAGATGAACCGCCGTGACCAGATGGAAGAGCTGCTGAAACGTCTTCGTGCTATTGCTGAAAGGCGTCTTCCAGGCGACAACGAATCGCGCAGGGCTTGTCCTGGGACTAGAGTTTTCATCTCCGTGGCATGCTCAAGAATTCTTGTAGAACGCTTTTCTTCGGAAGTAGCATGAACGCCCTCTGCTCCACTGTCTTGGAATGCCACTGCTTCCCCTTGAAATGAGTGCCAGGATGGTCGTAAGGATGGAAAAAACATCATCCATAGAGATAGAATAGAGGCAGAACAATGAGATCTTCTTCTGGATTCGCCTGCTCGAGCGCGCTTTGTTCGCCTGAAGGCATCTTCCAAGACCCGAACCTCGGCGATGCACTGAACCAGTACAATCGGATGGAAAGTAGAGTGATGCAAAGGCACGAAGAGAGCCTTCGAACACAGCAGGCAACCTCCATGGGGAAGTGCTGCGAGGTTTGCTCAATCCTCACCCTTCTGAAGAAGTTGATTTTCATGTTTTGAGCGTTTTCGAACGCGCCGCTCAGAAATTATCTTGCAATTTGCTGCTATAGAAGCCCGTGGACTTGAAGTTCAAATCTACAGTTTGTACTTGCAGTACGTTTAATTATCTCCTTGTCTTGCATCAAATTGTTGAAAAATCCAATTCCAAGTCAGCAAAGTTGTAGATGTTCGGATTTAACAGCAACTTGTTGCCCATCCTCGGTGTCGATTATTGGCGGTGGATAAGCTTTTCAAAGAAAAAAGGAAAAAACCACACAGCAAAGAAGATGATATTTTTGATGGTGACATTTTAATATTTCACCGATCAGCTTCAGCCCAGTTTTGGTGGATGAAATAATGTCGATTCGAAGGTGAAAATGGCGCTTCTATTACAATTGTTCTTTATATCCTTAACCTTATCTTCTTGTTCCTGATGAAGGAGAAAAAGATATGATGAATCCCATCTTCTAAATCAAAGCGTCGTTTCTAAAACGTTCTTGTAGTAACTAAACCAGGACATCATCATGAAGCGATAGAATGTGGTCAGTTTACCACCTTCGAAGTCCGAACCAACTTGTTAGAAGCAGTATTGCCCTTTAATATTTTTCTAGTCGTACTACAAGAATCAGAATGTCGAATGATGTTTGGTCTTCGCATCCTTCTTTTGCACTCCATTCTTTCGGGAACGACGATAAGGACAACGACGAACTATTTACTGCGGCAGCACTGGCAGCTTCAGAGTGAGATCTTCGTCGACGCCGCTGCATCCTCTTCTTCTACTCTGCAGCCGAGTAGGACTACTTCATCTTCTTCTTTTTCTACCTCCACCACGACCACCACTGGTCGCGGCCCCGTCTCATCAAGAACCAATATTTTCCTAAATCGATATCTGAATAACGTTGCTGGTGCATCGTCTACACCTTCCTCAAAGAACAACTGCGGAGGAAGTTGCATACAAGAACAAATAGAAAAAAATGAAGAGCTACGACAAGAACTTGATAAAAATCAACGTTATCTTCAAATAAAACCTTTACGACCTTTCCTGCAATCTCAAAATATTCGTCAACATGTCAGACGAGAACGAGAGCCGACCTCTGCAGCACCATCATCTTACTCGAGAGCGATTTCCGCGAAACGCAAACCAGTTTTAGATCCTTGTGACCGTGATTGGTTGTTCAGAGGGTCAGATAAAGGAAAATTTGCGCTGAAGAAAAAGATTGTGGCGCAGTTGACATCAAGTGAGGATTACGAGGATTTTCCTGCCAACGATAGGATTTTGGTGGCCGTAAAAGACGCTGTCACGGGAAAACCCCTGAAAATTCTTACCAACCTGGTCGGAGATAGTAGAAGCTGCTTTATCAACATGGCAAAAGCTAAAACAAGAAGTATGGGAAAAAATGGAAGCAGTTATGCAGCATCTTTTAACGGCGACCAACAAGCTGACAAAGAAAAGTCACTACTGTTAGATGAAGACGACGATGAAGATCCATTTTTTGCGAGTGAAGCTTATTTCTCAGCTGAAGGTGCTACTATCAACAACCTGAAATTCAGACTGAAGCAATCTACACACGCATCTCCAGAGCTGATGAAGCTCGAGCTAGTTGTGCCTGGGGAAAGCGGTGGTTGTGGACGAGAACGAAAAAGACAAGAGGTTCTGCTCGCAAACGAGCAGCACGACGAAAGTCCATTGGCGCAGCTCCGAGACAAACTGTCCTCGTCCACCTCTTCAGATAGCGGTCACCAGCTGGTTTTCAATTGGTCAGTGCGGTCAGACGTTCCGAAACATCTGTTGCACGAATATCTGCACCACTGCGTTTCAACAGGAGATGCTGAGCACGTGGTCCATTCTGCTATGAGTGCTTTAAGGGCTAAGACTGAACAAGAGGAAGAGACAGCAGCGCCATCGACGATTGCGCTTCTGCGGAGTCTGTCCTGCAGTGGAAATGGAAGTAGGGATAGAGTAGATCGGGAGGCTGTAGAATATCGAGCTCAACAAAATAACTCAATTCAAACCTCCTGTCTGCGGAGAAGACTACTCGAACGCGGTTACATGTTTGAATGGCTTGATTTGGCGACTTGGTCAAAAGGGACAACAGTATTGCATATCGCGGCTTCGAATAACCAACCTGAGATCGCAAAAGCCGTATTGGAGCAAGTGAGAAAAGATGCTTGTGAGTTGAGGTTTATGGTGGATGTACATAAAACGCCAGAGCAAGTGCTATCTTGGCTTTCGCGGAGATGTAATTCTGAGGAACCGCCAGTGATACGTGGTCCACGTCGACCGCGGCTACTTGGTGCTCAAGGACCGACTACGTCATCGCTCCGTAAAGCTCAGTCTTATCCGGGACTGCTCTTAGAAGGAACGCCACAGATCAAAAAGAACCAAGATGAATGCTTCAGCACTCGATGGAAAGAATCATTGTCATCCAAGACGTCCTCTTCTAGTATGAGGGCAGCTGCGTCTGCCTATGTGTATGCGACGGCTGACACAGCTGGCTCGGCTGATTACTCGCCCTTCGAACCTTCGATGGAGAGCCCCTACTGCGGTGGTTCGAAGAGTTTCCATTGTCGTGATGCAGAACCCCGTGATCGGAAAATATGGTTCCCGACCGATGTTGACATCAAGCAAGAAGGACACGCGGCGCTTCCGCCCTCTTCCTCAAGCAGACCCAATGTATATGTCGGCGGCTTCAACCTTATCCAAACCCTGTTAGACTTTCCAGCTGAAAATGACAAAACTGCCTTGCACTATGCAGTCGAATGGCGCTCATCCACCTGCTCTCCCTCTCGAGCGCCAGCATTTGGATTTGATCGGGATATATGGAATAAAGATGAAAATCCTGAAGAACATGATTCGTCGCTTGAATTGATGAGGATCTTACTTGAATCCCGAGCGAATGTCAATGCACGTGAAAGTTTACAAGGGAACACGCCTGTGCATCTAGCCGCAGCCGCTGGAAATACTGAACACGTGAAACTGTTACTACAGTTCGGCGCGAACCCGAAGGCCGTGAATTACAAAGGTGAAGCTGCAAGTGAATTTAAGAAGAGGCTGCACGAAGAAGCTGAAGCGCAAGTGGAAGCTGGAGATTTAAGACCAATATTTCTGTTGGGCCGTTCAAGAAGAGAAGTGCAAGAAATTGAAGAAGTCTTTGCTCCTGCCCGCGCAGGTGATGTTCGGGCATCTTCTTCGCATCTTCAAGTACACTATTCGTGTTGTTTGCATAAAAAATAGGGCAGTGTAGACTTTTTAGTTGTGCTTGTGTTGCACTCTGGAGGATACAACCAATTGCAAAAATGATGCTGGATCGTTTAGGAGACAAGCGGAGCACGAATATCTCTGTGTTCTAGCCAGACAAGAACACTGCTGATCAGTACTATCCACCTGCTCGTTGACAACTTGCTTAGTACATCATATGACAAAATCACGAACATTTGCGGAAGAATGAAGTACCCAGGTATCGTGAGTGACAAGTTTTCGTGTCTTCAATCATGTGAAGAACAAGCTGAAGCTCAACTACAACATGTTGTAGAAGTAGAAGTTTTCGAAGATGTAGTCAGTAGAGAGTTAGAGTGCCTTCCATTAAGATAAATCAGAAGCCCATTACTGTAGCTTACTAAGACAGGGCCATAATCAAAACTTGCTTCAAGATCAAGTTACTAAGTATTGTAGCTAAAAAGTAGTACTACGCAATTTTTATGTTGCTAGTAAGCAACTATTTAGTTGCTAAATAAATTACTACTAATTATTACTTAGGAGTTAGTTGTAAGTTACTAGTAAAATTATGAGTTGTAGTTAGCAACTAAACTAGTACTACAAGATGCTGGGCTTTTTAATGGTTCAGTAGCAATCTTCAACTTACTTCTAGTACAAGAGAAGTACCCATTGATTTATCAGAACCTTCTTTTTAGTCGTTGTTGAAGAGTTAGCTCAACAAGCACAAAAAATGTGGTCTCCTCCTGGAGGAGGTGCGTTTGGAGGTGGTGGAGGACCGCGTGCTTCTATGGCAAGCAGTTCCACAGCACCTGGACCTGCGAGAGGGATGCTTGGTGGTGGCCCCGCCGTTCAGCCAGCACGGCTCTCACCCTTGGGTCAGGCAGTTATGGCTGAGGTGAAGATGGCCCAGTTGCAGTACGGCAAGGTCCTAGACTTGTGTTGGGAACGGTGCTGTGCTTCATCAGATGGGAGCGATTCATCTACTTCAGCAACATCCAGTGACATCCAGCTTGCACCCTTAGAAAATAGTTGTGTAGACCATTGCTTGCACAAGTTCTACGAATTGGCAAGCGTAGTCGCGATGGAGTCAGCGGCACAGGCGAAAGAAATGACTGAATGGCGAACATCAACAAAGATAGCACTTGGGGCAATTGGAACTGCCGGATTGCTGGGTTTTCTCTACATCCTTTTCCGAGATGAACAGGAGGAGAAAGAAGAGGAAGAGGTGGAAATAGGCCAAACTGGTGGGAGCAGGAGGACGTCGTGGGGACGGTAATCATAAATCCTGGACAGCGCAGGAATAAAAGCTTCCAGCTCACCATCTTGAGTGAAAAGATAATTTTGTTCCGATACAGCATCCCCATCCCCAGGAGCAGAGTGCGCTCAACAGGTGGTAACCAAAACACTAGTACCTCAAATCCCCCTTGTATCCTCACTCAGAGATTTTGAGACTGATTCTTCTCTTTAGCACTCTTTTGCTATCTTACAGCGCCATTCGACTCAGAGATCGTACAGATACTACGAAGATGACGAGTCACTGCTCTCACTAGTCGTGGTCCAACTTTGTGTTCGACAAAGGCACGTGGTCCAATAATTTCTTCAAACTTTTGTAATGATAGGATAAAGATTAAGATGAAATAGAAAATAAGATCCAGATGATTATAACAGTGTAAAAAGGGCTCAACCTCAATGTTGGATTTCGAGATGATGATCCTTTCTTGAATTGTTGGTCAACGAATGGACAGGTGTTGTGCTTGGATCTCATCCCAAAAAACAGAACGATCACGAGGCCTCCGCAGAATAACTCCGTCGATCTTTTTCTTTGACTATCATGACACGATAATGACAGGGCTCTAAGCATGATTTCTTGTAATAAAATGTCATCTTCGCACGATCCCATCCCTCCTTCTGTACTCTGTTGCCCGCAGGTCCTTCGCAAATATTCTTCGATGTGAAGCCTTTTGATGAAGTTGTTTGAATTCGCAGCATCACTTGAGCAAGCACGTCTCCACCTCTAGTACAGGTCGTGGTTTCACATTTTACTTATCGCTAGTAGTTGCCTCTGTCTTTAGTTATAGTTTCCTCCAATCATAAAATAAGAACAACTACATCATGGTGGACTATTCCAAATGGAACAGGATGGACATCTCTGACTCCGAGAAGGAGTCCAGCGATGAAGGTCCGCCATCTCCGAAAGTCACGCGGTTCGATTCGCAACAAAAGGTCACATTTGGCGGTGGCAAAGCCATTCAGATTCAACCTTCTCTGGCAGCGACAAAGCGAACCACGTTTCAAGAAGATGCCGATCCAAGCGCGGGGTCGGCGTGGAGACCACCAGCCTTGACTGGTGGTGCGCCTGGTACAGTAGCTACAAAAGTTGGGCCGGCAAAATCTCAGCTTGATTGGAGTCGTGCTTTGGAGAGAGATTGGACGCGAAATGGTGGCTTCATATCCTCGTCGACCGCGGGAAAAAGTGCTCCTGGGTGTGAGCCTGACCTATCTGCAGGATCGACTAGTGCCACGACGCCGACAACAAGTGGAGGACATCAACACAAGAAAGCATCAACAGAGCAAGCGTCTACAATTTCCTCTAGCGTTTGTGCGAGAGCTGGGAGTGCCTCAGCAAATGGTGCATCTTCATCTTGTTGCGATGCAGCTTCAGCTGCATGCACATCTTCAACTTCAACATCTGCCAACACAGGAGCATCAAACACAGCATTTTTAAATAGACTAGCCGTCCAGCAAGATTATCCTACCTACTACTGGAGCCAGAGCCAAGGAGAAGTCATACTCAGATTCGAATGTCCGGCAACTCCCTGGAGACCGAAGTTTAAGAAGCTAGACGAAAGGACGTTGCAGATTGAAAACTTCTTTATTGGCCGGTTCACGTATGAAGTCGTAGCACCAGAGGATATGGACGACGTCGACTGGGAATTTGAGACTGGGACAGGCGAAGAAAATCGCGGAACAGTTGGACAACGATATCTGAAATTGACGGTAAAAGTCTTTTTAGATGACTACATACTTTTGTTTTATCTTTTCTGCTTGTTTCATAATTCATAATTGTCATTCATCTACCACGTGATCCTTGGGACTTATCGAAGCTCGCTTAATATCCTGTTCGTACTCATCAGGTAAGCGAGTCAAAATAGGTCCTAAAAAAATTGCTAGCTATCGGGTGACGCGTCTGCCATTCTTTTCTGTTGGAGTCGTGTCAATCAGCTTGCATACAACGCCTAATGCAGATCGAAATTTCCTTTCACTTTCAAATATTATCATCTCCACTATGATCTCGATCTCCCGCCCACACCTCCTCTCATCAATTATCCTTATCCACCACCGATCAGGTCCGCAAGAAAGCCATGATTGTTGGGTCAGTCTTTTGGTGGCGTGCAGCTTTCAAGGGGCATCCGGAACTGCAACCTGGAGATTTCCAAGACCGAAGTAGGAAGAATATTGAGAAGCAAAAGGAATTTTACAATAGGATGGAAGAGGCGACGCGACTCTTCAAAGAAAAAGTACGAAAACAGAATGGTGCAAGCATCTTGCCTGATGCATCTGGCGATTTAACGGAGGTGTGTCGACCGGCTGGATCTGGAGGATGTCTAGACTAGAAGTTTCTTGGAAAGGACACGAATACATTGAGCATCTTCCCTATCCTTTCATGTAACAAAAACTGCGCGACACATGGGGGTGGGCAGTAATGGGGTGGGCAGTAACAAAAACCGCGCGACACAAACTGATTAATGATGAACACAACATTCCCTCTTCCAATCCCCAAGTATAATCCCCAATCCCTAACGAAATTTTCCGTAACACTTCATGAAGCTCCTTCATGCTCCTCTTCAACATGGATTATGATCCCCACTCTACAGTCGCTCCTGAATACGTGTTCTTCTTTTGCTGGTGTTCGTGACGAGAGCACTTCTTGATTTGGCGGATTTTGTTCTCTAGAACTACATGAGACAGTGCACAGCTCCGTATTGTTATCGAAGTAAGACTGTAACTCACTCACGTGTTCGACAAGATGTTGACGTGAGGCTATGTTGAAGCTATTAGTGTTACAGTTATTCGTGCAGCAAGAATAGAAAAGTTCTTGTAGATGAAGGACCTACTAGATCGGACCAGTTGTACACAAGTAACCGCCCACTCCAATGCTGGGCAGAGGCTAATCGAGCGAATGTCAACAGTCAGATTTCTCTTTATCCTCAAACTTCCCGACACCTCGACCTCCTACAAGACCCCTCGCAGCTAGGTGAAGGATTCCTAGAGAACATAATTTCCTTTGCGAATTGCGACTGACTCGACAGGTAGTTACAAGACATTCGCCTAAGAAAGAACAGTTCGCAGACTTCGTTTCGGTTGTAATTGGCTCATTTTGTCGTACCCGTCGTCGAGCTTACCTGTGTCAACTGTGGATTCTTGTGTGGAGAAACTCGTACTACACTCGAAGCATTTTATTCGTCTTTTCATTTTCGTTCGACATCTTTGTGTAAAGTTTTATCATATCGTCCACTTACTTCGAGAGCAAGAACTTGGTCTAGATTTCCTCCGACATCTCCATCAACTCACTAAAATTAGACGTTTTTCTACTTGCGTGTTTACCGATGCACATTCGAGGAAGGACATGTGTCATCGACGAGCATCCGCGTGGAAAGACGAACAATTGTCAATTGACCTGATCAACAAGTTGCCGATCTTGTTGAATGCTACTGGATAGGAGGAAGACGATAAAACGAATTCTGTCTATTCTGGCACAACACGTTCACTGGCTCTAAGTATTTTACACTTTGAATTAACTTAGATGATTCAACTTCGTTCAACAATGACATCATCATTTCAACATTCCCAGTCTCATTCTCTGTCGTGTCTAAAAGACTATTAAGACAAAACTATCACAATACATCATCATCATCATCGTCATTTTCAACATTGGAAGGAGGTGAAAATTTTTCTCAGTTAACGTGATTCTCCTCACCAGGAAAAACCCCACGCTTACCAGTTTTGTGTAGAAGCTGTAACAGTAACTCGTTGCTCCACTACAAACGTAAAAATTTATTTACATCTTCCTTGTCATACAAATCGAATATGAATACGTATCCATTTAACATTAACTACAAAGTTGCATTGATTTTTGATGTCATAATCCTCAAGAACATGATCAAGGACTCACTCTAATTCGTTCTAAATTAAGGTTCCCAATTAAGGTTCACCCATCATTAACACTCACTCATAACTACATTTTCATCGGCAATTTATCTTGTACTGATTCTACTCAACCAGAACCATGATCCATCCTTGAGCATCGTCCTAGTTTTCCTCCTTCTTTGTCATAATTTTTAGAAGACTCGAATATCATCACGACTAGGTAGAAGCCGTTTGTCATTATTTTCGCATTTATTGTAGAAGTACAGGAGCTACAGTCAGTGGATTTAACAAAATCATTGTCCCTTGACCACGTGGATAAGTACATCAAACACAACGAACAAAGCCAAAGCATCTAGATACATATATTTAGTTAGAACCACTAGAACTGATTTGTTCATCTGTTAGTGAGGTTTTTGGTAAAGATTGACTAATCCACTTTCGTCTACTCCTTCTGCGGCACTACTAGAACTTCACGACCACGGACTACCTAGGCCTAGCAGTATCTTCACGAAAACAAGAACTCAAGATGTGTGACCTCGACTACGTTCCCGTGGCTCGGACCACCGAGTATCTGCCTCCCCACTTGGCCAAGACGGTTTCGCGGTATCGAAGACACAATGCGGACAAGATGGTCAGGCTTCTGCGACAAGGACCTCTTTCCGCGGAGCAGCTGGTCTATGTCCTGCATTTGGGTGGCGCAGTGTATGATCAGAACGAGACAGAAGACAGCGGAACCTTGGGACAGCAGGCTTACTACGATGTTTTTATGACGAACATCTATGCACTAAGTAACGACTTTCTTACTTTTAAATCAACTCAATCATCTATCTTCATCTAACTAGTGCCTCGGTCTTGTTGTTGGCGAAGAACTACTTAGGTCATGCACGCAGAAGCAGTGTAAGCCCTTGTAGTATTGACCTCTCCATCCTATCAAGTTCTCCTTCACCTTCCCAGTCCCAATACATTCCCCTTTCATCTTCCGCGAAGTCTTATGGGAGCAGTTCGTGCATCATCTGCATACCTATCCCATGAACTTGCAGACGCGCTTAGTAGATTGTCTGGCGAATGCACTTCGCCAGTTCCTCGATTTCCGCAGTTGGCCTTTGAAACCGACCAAAGAAGCTCACGAAGCAAGTGGCATGAAAGAATTTCATGCTAACGCGACACAGGGAACAAAATGGTGGGAGAAAGTGATGGAATTGAGTGCAACACCATCAACTTCATCAACGTCACCGCCGCCTATGGAAATAGATGCTCAACCTTCTTCTGGTACAAGGTTAGGAGTAGTAACGCCTGCACCACTGTTGATGGCAGCGAAGATGCCACCAGTTGGAGCTGCATCATCGACAGTGACATCATCAAGCACTAGAAAGAACAAGGACGCAGAAGTTTTCCCGCCAGTGGACGGCGACGGTGATCAAGACATGCTGGGTGGAGAGAACATCGATGCGGATTTTGAGAAGAAACTAGCAGAAACACGCGATTCGTATTGTCATCTAGACAGCTTTGATTCTGTCCAGGCCAACTATGAGAACCACATGCAGTTGCGTCGCCGCGTAGCCGATTGGATTTGTCGAGATTGGAGGCGTGTGTACGATATGCTTCACGCGCAGTTCTCCTTGAAGCCTAGATGTGATGACGGGGTCGGAGAAAGCGAGCATAGGAATTTAGCTTCTGCTTTAGGGAATTTGTTGTACGTGGTGGGGATAGTCACGAAGCAGCTTGTCGATCGCGACGTGGCAACGAAAATGACGCAGGAGTTGACGCAATTCATCGATCCTACGCACAAAATATCGATTCTGCAATGCCGTACTTTTTTAACTTTGATTACAATCAATGGGGGATAGTTCACTCGCGATTTTTCAATGCATAGTTCACTCGTGATTTTTCTATGCTTCTTGTCAAGTAGAATGATTAGCAGACAGACTCCAGCTCTAGTCTACCCTAGTTCACAATCTTCACCGTCCTCTATTTCTCACCTCATATGCCCAGGTGCCATTCTTCTTCTCCTGCCTAACGTGACCCTTCACGAAGCGATTCTTGACGGACGCCTTTTCGCTTGGTGGGGTCTTGTGGAGGAAGGCAAGATTGCAAAATTTGACCTCATGTGGTTCAAACTTTTGGCACGTTACGCCAAAAACGCGTGGCGCAACTATCAACGACCTCAGACCGAAGAGGAGAAGCAAATCCAAGCAGTCTTAGCTCAAAAGGCAGATTGGATTAGCAACAAGATCATGCGAAGTTTGTCGTTGCCGTTCTTCAGTCCTGTGGCTAGCTCATTGGAAGGCGCAATGGCACAGTCGAAATTGGACACGAAGTTTGTAGAGCGTCACAAAATCCCAGCAGAAATCGAAGCCTTGATGGGACCAGTGAGTTGCTGGAAATTCGTGGCGAAATTTCTGATCTACTCACTGGAAAACGATCCGTTTGAGGCAGTACTAGACGCAGGTTGTTCTGAAGAACCTACTTCAACTTCTACTGGTTCTTCGGCACCACAACAAGGTTCTGACATCGTCGTAGAGGATCTACAACAAGAATCGTCAGTGGGCGAACTACAAGCGACGCGCACGCTGTCGACAGCAGCATCGTCCATGGGCCGCTCAACAGTATCTACTACTGCGCCTCCAAGCCGAACAAACTCTACCTCTGCTTCCGGCACCACCTCCAGTAAGAACGGCCGTCCACCGTATTGGAGCACCTTGGAGCTACTGCTGAGACGGATGCAGCCGTATATTCAAGGTGACTTCGGAGAGTGGAGTTGGCATGTGACGACTTTTCTCCACTACTTGGTCAACGTGTACTTGACTCGTGTCACGCGCGAACGGTCGAGCACGCGAGGTGTGACAGCATGGTGGAACGGCAAGGACAGCACTAAAATGGATAGGGCTGATACGGAACAAGATAACTACGAGACTTGGGCATCTTCTACAGGTAGTTCAACAAGAAAGCAAAGACGAACGTTGACCCGACACGCAGATACCTACTTCGCATTCTTGTTCTTGCCCTTGTTCAAGAAGACCCTAGAACAGCGCGACGCGTATTCACAACACGCGACGATGGATGCGCTTGCTAGATTAGCGAGACTGCAAAACGAAGACACGTTGAAGATCAATCAGCTGTCAGCGGAGTTCGAACTTAGTGGTGGCTACAACGGTGATGTCGACGCGATATTTGCGAAGTACAAGAGCAGCTTTCCCTTGTTCGGTGCTTGGGATTTGGAGAATTCCTTGCACAGTTTTCTGTACCAGGGAATGGAGATTCTGAACGACCCGTCACAGAGTTCACGCATCACGAGTATCTTCCGCTTGTATGCCAGGTTGATGCCGAGTGTGTTGCGATTCTTTCCGAGCTTTGTGCCACAGATCTTGGACTTCATTTTACTCGGTATTGACCCAACTGACTCGTCAAAAACGCTAGCGAGTGGCGCATTGATCGTCAACTTGTTCAGCTGCATCCCCTGTCTGGACATTGGGGATTTACCGGAAGAGAGACCTAGCAGCTCTAGAAATAAGAAGGCATCTTCAGGGAAACAGCAACTGAATCCTCCACCAGTGGCTGACCGACATCGCAATGAAGCTTATCCCGGAAGACAGGTTGAGGCTTCCGATGCGTCGTTTTTGAGTCAGGTCGAGGCCGAACGGAAGTCTGCGACATTGATGGCTAGTGGGGCGCTGCCTAGTTTTGGACTAGAACTCTTCGAGAAGTCTTTGCAGTACGTACTGGAAACCAGTCTGGATGGTGGGATGCGAGGACGCGCTTTGAACACGGGGCAAGCACTAGACAAGGTTAATGCTAACATGCTCTTCATCTGCAACTTTCTAGTCTTGTCGCAAACCACGAAGAGCATTCAAGAACAGGTGCTGGAGAAGATGCGGGAGTTTTTGCAGACAGAACTACACCCGAAGAAGGTAAAAGTAGTCAAAGGCTTGTTGCAGGCAGTGGCGCGTAGCATGCCACGCCGCAGTCTCGAGCTGCTATTGCCGGTTTTGGTGAAACGAGTGCTTTCCGAACGCAGTGGGCACCAGGAAGTTGGCTACTGCATCAGCCTGTTGCAAGCGCTTGTCCGTTTAGTTGGTGGCGATGAGTTGCTTTCGTACCGCACGCAACTGGAACAAGTCTTAAACCACGGTCTCAACTACCAAGGCAGCGCTGAGAACAAGGACAATCGCGCAGTTCACAAAGCTACCGCGAAGCTGTTGCGCAGATTGTTAGCAGCTTTGACCAGCAGCTACGTGGTGAACGACTTCCGAGTTGTCGCACAAGCGAACTGGGGAGACATGTGTCAGGAGGACTTACAACAACTGTGGAACCAGACTCCTTGGTGGCGGTTGTTCTCACTAGAAACGCCAGACTGGTACGTACCTGGTGAGAAGGAGCTGGAGTGGGCCACCGCACTAGGAACTTTCGCTACAGCCAACATTTTGGACTTGCTCTGCGGAATCTACGTCACCGCTGGTGGTAGCAGCAGTTCCACGTCCCCATCTGCTTCATCAAATAGTGCGACAGCTGGAGGAGCAGCTCCAGCCTCGTCTACAACTTGTCCACAAGTGGTTAGTCAGTGGATGTCCGAGCTTGCGGAGGATGCGGCTTGTCTAGAGGGGTCCACCACACCTTCCCGCGATAGCTGGGAGCCTGTGAAAGATGATGCTTCCTCCATCACTTTCGAAGCCCATGCTGAGACGCGCGCAGAGTTTGGTGCCGCTTATCGCGAGATGCTGAAGTTGAAAACTTCAAGACTCGCATGCACTAACTTGGATCTTGTGGGGTCAAGGGAAGACTTCTTGGCTTTGGAGACGGAGAATGCAGGTCCGCCAGGAGAAAACGTGAATGACAGTGGAGGGACAACGAAAGGTGGTGGTGGAACAAGTGGGGCTATAAAGGGTACAACATCATCAGACACGCAGAAACAACCAATTACTCGTTCCAACAGTAAGAACGCATCAGGGCCAGCAGCAAGGTTGAACCTTCTTCGCACCCTGATCCAACAACCTTTTCTGCTTGCAGATCGGGTCTTAAGTCTTACGAAAGCATTGATGCGAGGAGGACATAGCATATGGGCAGACGAACTGATGGAACCTAAGATCGTCTTGAGTCCAGCGTTCTTTCCGAGAATATTTGAGCCGTTGGGAATAGGTCTTCGGTTGATCCTCGAGTCGGAGATTATGGGGTCAAACAGTGCAGCAGAAACGTATGCAGCAACAGACGAGGTGGATGCAGGAGTTGGAGCTTCTTCACCTGGTGGTTCAAAAGGAGAGAAAACCGCAGTAGCTGGAACACCTTCAGAACAACCTGCTACAACTAGCAATAGCTGCACCCCGGCCGTCTCATCTTCATCAGCACCAAATGGAGTCACAATCGCTCCTCCCGTGACGAAGAAGTTTCTTAGGTGTATTGGCGAACTCTATATGGGTCAGATCCCGTGTAATAGTGGTTCGCTCTTCCGGACGAAGCGACCAGCAGCCGGTGGTCGTAGTGACCCCTTCTTGACGTGGTACATGTCGTTGTTTGGAGAGCGCATGATCTCCCAAATGGATGGCGCGCATCATCTCTCTAAAAACCGTGACATTCCACGCTTATGGTGGAGTCAGCGCCTCTGCGTCACCGTAGACACGCTAGGCGCAGAGCGCGTGTCTGGCGGTTACGGCTTCTACGGACAGAGGAAACAACTTGCAGAATTGCTGTTGGAAATCTCATTGGGCAGTCCATATCCGTTGATCAGGGAGAAATCACAGGAGCTGCTGGGCAGAGCGTGCAGGAAACATCGAGGAGCAAAAGCACACATAGGACACATGTACGCGGTGAAAATCTCTGGTGTCAAGTATCAGATGCAGGCTCTTCTAGCTCAAATAGACGTCTCTCCCGAGCAAAAGAAAGCGTTTGCGAATCAGCTAAATGGGCTGGCCTACGGTCTCGCGGGTCCGTTGCGCGGTTGCTTCAGCACCTTGTGGCGAGGCCGTGGTCGTCAAGCCGCAGCTTTCATCTACAAAGTTCTCGACCTGCTCTACGTCCTCTCAATCTCCCATCAGTCGAACAAGGAAGTAGTGAAAACGTCAGTCTTGTTGCGCATTTTCCAGATAGTCGATGCGTGGATCGACGTAAGAGACAAGCCCTGCTTCAACCGCACTACCAGTCGAAAGATGAGTGACATGTTGAAGTTCAGAGGCGATGACGACATCGCGATGAAAGATGTGGATATAAACGAGCAGGAAAAGGAAAACGGCGATTCCGGAGAGGAGATCTTGATGCAATTTGACCCCGATCCAGCAGCAGAGATGGAAAAGGCGGACACTTTGAATACTTTCCGACGTAGCAACGCACTAGTGAACCCCTCGAGTCCTTGGAAGGTACAATTGCCAACTTGCTTCAGAATATTCATCTCATGTATTCGACAGTTGTATCTTCAACAAGTTTTTTTTTCACTCTCCATCATGATCTAGTATCGACGAACTACTTCTATTTCTATATGGTTTTTTTACAAACACAACATCTAACGACTAAGTCATGATTTATATCCCCAAACAAACTTCACCAGGTCCGCGATTTCCTTGACATCTTTAACCGATCGGATTGCCATTGGCGTGTCCGCATCGTCTGCCTCCTCGTGTGCCAGGCTCTGTGCCATCAAGCCGGAGACCCAGAAAACCTGTGGGAAGCCTACCTCACTCAGGCTTTGTCCGTGATGCACCCATCTTCACAGCAAGGGTTGTTGCAGGTGGCACAACGTGCGATCATTTTCGGTCTCCGCAAACATCCGAAATTGGTAAAGCTCATTCCGCAAGTAGTAGGGAAAATGGAACCCATAGCGGTTCCTAGTGGTGGTAGGACGACGTCAGCAAACAAAACTAAAAAGATTCGTGATGACTATGCTGATGCAGCAAAATGGACCCAGTTTTTCCAGATTTGTGCTGAAGTCATGCCCCGACTCGCCAGGTCAGTCGAGGGCAAGGCCAATGACCCAACGAAGCATACAATCCAACTAATGCGGAATTTCCGAATCGCATGGCCCACAACCTGGATGCGTGGTGGCGCGTACGCTTTCACCTTCGGTAATGCGTTGTTCTGGCAAACGCTAATTGCCGCGATGCTCAAGCACAAAGATTTGATACCAGCCGCAGAGGCAGGGGCACAGCTTTGTGCAGAAATTATGTCTGAAAAGCCGATCAGCGAGACCAATTTTCACACAGGCTTCATCGAAATGACGGCTGGCGCTCTGAGAGCAGCAAGAAAGGACCCAGCATTGACACAAGGCATGTGGGAAGTACTACATCCAACCTTGACAAGTGAAATCCTCAATGCTAGTAAGGAAGCGCAATGCGACTGGGGTGATGCGTTTAGGTACATCGTGGTGGGAACAGGCAAGGCTCTGATGTTGGCTCCAGTGCTTGATGGGAAGAAGACCTTTACGCTAGGTCAGAAGAATCGAATGCTCAAAGGGTCAAGGCAAGGACAGAACCAACACGTCATTCCATTGTTGAATTTCGCGATGAAGCTAGACGAAATCCCACGAATGGATAAGATGCTCACATTGATGGACAAGAAAGAGGTGGTGGCAGGTAGTACTTTCACAGATTTATCTTGTCCTTGTCTTTCTTCTCTGACTGCGTCCTTTCCAAAATTAATCAGGATGAATATCTCCTTGACACAAACACCCAGCACGAGGACGTGATTAATTATTATATATACCAGCAAATTAAATCACGACGACGTAACATCCCATCGTAATATATCTCCATCAGATTCCATCACTACAGAGACTCCAGCATCAGCCGAAGAGGATGAAAGCACCTTCCTCCAAGTGAAGAAAATGCGATTGCGAATTGCTGTCTTAGTCGAGCTTTACTCTGCCGGCGACTTACCCGAGCAGTGGGAAGACTGCGCTCATTCCATCTACGAGCACGGCAAAGCAAGATTAGGCCACCACTTGAAGAACCTCCGGGAAGAGGCGACACGCGTTGTCTCTGGCTTTCTGCGGTTAGGCCAAGTAGCTACGCCAGATACCAACGAAGTAGTGTGGCGTGGAGCCGCGACACAGCGCATCTGCGACCTGGTCTTGCGAGACTTAGCATCTGCAGTAGATAGGTTGTCAGTAAACCTCAAGGAAGACTTCTTAGAACAGCAGAAAGAAGGTGCGGGGGCAATGTCACCTAGTAGAACAAATCATGGAGCAGGTGCAGGAGGAGAAGAGTCATTTTCAGCTGCAGAAGCTATGGACGTGGTCGACGCCGCTGCTAGTGCATACGGCGATCCATCTCAACTACAGACCGGTGCTGGCGAAGATTCACCAACCAAACAGGGGATGAATGAACTCCAGAAGAAGCCGCATGTGTGCGAGGCTCTAGGTGTTTTGCTAGTCACTGTGCATGTCCTCTCTGCCAATCGTGGGCATCTAATCATCGGCCGATCTGCCGCGCAGTGGTTCAAGGACAGAACATCTGTGTTGAACTTCGCTATCCTTTGCAGTACACACCACGACCCGGAGTTGAGGTCGCTTGGTTGGGTCGTGTTGTCGCAGATAGCCGCTGATACGCCGCCAAACCGCGTCGCGAGTGCAGAACAGGACTTCGATAGGTTCTCTGCGCCGGCTGAGCGATTAGCTGACATCGTAACCGACTTGATGGACACCAGATGGGCCTCGTGGACGTCGAAAGAGCGAGAAAAAGTCCTTCTCTTCGTGTCACTATTGTGTCTGGCGAATGCGTCAATGTACGTGAAGATGCCAGACACGAAGCAACTCTGCGTTTCAGTTGCCGAGAAAACCTTGCTAAATCCGAAACCGGATGTGAAATTCGCAGCGAAGCGATTGCTTACTGCGCTCTTCTTGGCGGAAAACATCACCGACATCAAAGCTACGCTTCTGCCGAGATACAGAAAGGTAATGAAAATCAAAGAACGTGAAAATGCTAATATCTGATCTTGATGTTTTATGTTATACACACTTTTTTCTACGTCAAGAACTACTACAGAGATTAGATCCATCGCAGCTGAAACTGTACTTCTACCCACTTGTGATTATAAGTACATTTAACTCTCTCGTCCATTAACAAACTTGATCAGGTCGCCTCCTCCGTAACCGCAGCGAACAAGTCACGCACAGGATCTACAGACTCTACTGGCAGCGGCGCAGGTGCTCCTGTCCCAGCCGCAGCAGCTGCAGCCGGCATAATATCAGTATCAACATCTTCTTCCACCTCTTCGACTACACAGCAACAAGTAGACCTAACCCCTCTCCAAGCCGTCCAGTCACTAGCCATCCTTCTCTACGTCTCCATGGACCTTGGCTGTCCGAAGGAGTTCACAGGTGCTGTGATTGAAGCGTTGGCGCCGTTCGGCAATGCCCGTAGATTTCCTTCGACGATTTTGAAGGAAGTGGAGGGAGCTTTTCAGGCGTTTCTGAAGAACCAACAGAGGAGTGAGTTCACGTGGCGCGAATGCAGGAAGAAACTCACGCCAAAACAGCTCGACTTGGTAGATGCGTATAAGGGGAAATTGAGCTACTTCAGTTAAGTAGGAAGCAGGTTGTAGAAGTTCTGCTTGGGAACTATCTACTGCTGGGCTTGGGTAGTTTATTGATGCGACTGAGGAGAGCAGGTGCCTCACTTGTTTTTGTAGATGATGTTGTTGGTCCTCAGGTGTATTAGACGAGTTGTTCTATCGTTAGTACCTCAAGTTGAGCATGCTATTATTGATGTTGTTGTTGATGATCATAAGGGAGAAAGCAACAATTGATCATCAACTCGATCATAGCCAGGCCTGGTAGTTTTCTATGCTGAAGGACTTCCATGTGCTTCCCTGAGGGATTTCCACTTGTCTGGGCTCTTTTTGATGTACTTAGGATAGTCTACTGTTCGTTGACATCTCCCTACTGTAGAATTAAATCTGTTCTGCTATGCAGCTCGTCGTCGTGCAGCATACGGAACTGCTGAGCTAAACCGAAGGTCATTAACTAAATTGAAAAATAGGGGGAAATCTTCACAAGTAATATTGAAAGAAGGGGAATCACAGAGTAGAAGTTTCATTTGCGTATGAATAGAACATCTTGTTGTAGTCGGTAAGCACATTTGTTTGAGAAGTAAAAGAGGAAGATAGATAGTGCTTTCTTGTTGAACGCGTGTGAAGAAGCAGCTGCTTTCTGCGTCGTGTTACCAGACACGAGGAGCGACAATATTAAGAACAACAAGGCAAAGAAATTCGTTGTAGTAATATTGTGTTGAACGTTAAGCAGGTGCAGGTCATGATAGACTGTTTATACTGTTGTGGTAAATGTACTTCAAAAATTTCACCGGAAATAAAAGCATGTTCATGTTTGTGATGATTTGGATTGAGAATGTAAATGTATCTGATGTAAAGAATTTAGAAAGCACAAAGTCCACAGAATTTGAAATTGAACGTAGCATGTTTGTCGTGTATGCTGGAGTCTTCACAAATAACATTCATAACGGCACAAGATTGGCAACAACGTAAGTAAAAGTATCTCTTGGTAATGGTAAATCGTTATCGTACAACACAAGTCCGCGTAAAATTTTGATGTTATGATGAAAAAAATGGAAGACGTCGAAACCCGGGCGAAGATGAACTGTAATTTGTTGAGAACTACATTGAAATTGAGTGGTCGTATTATTCTTGGTTGGTATCATCGTCATGAACATCAATATGTCATAATCCATCTTTGCTGGTGGAACAAGTTGTAGTGTCAAGAATGATCTTTTGTTATATTTGTTACTCAGTCCTGAACCTGAAGAAATTGAGATAGTCAATGAATCTCGGGTAGTTAAGTTTAGTCGTATCGCTATCTTTCCGCAGCAAGTATTGTTAGACGACCTTTCCCGCCCTGCTGCTCTTCGAGCTTGTCATTTCCTGTCAGAATAATTCTACTGCGGTCGATGACTGCGGATTGGAAGAAGGGAACACGTAAGACGCTAACCACGTGCAATTAAGTAAGCCGTATTCGAATTTACGTAATGTAATGCGATCGTTGATGATTGAATTAAATAAGTCATGTGTGTTGACACCTAACACAATGTCACACACCCACCGCATCCTCTGCGCCCCGTTCCCGTTCAATCCTATGATCACAGCGCCCCATCGATCCTATCTAGTACGTAATAGGTTAGGTTTATTTTGGACATGTTGTAGCTTAAGCACCCAGCAGCAAAAAATCCTAGCATTAGTACATTCAGATTCAAGTTCCAGTTCGTTCAAATCTTTCCATGTTAGTCGGAGGTTGTTGTTGTAGATCAACAAAATATGATCGTAAAAGAACAAAAAGCTTGGAAGTCAGCGCGTAGTTCATCGAAGAAAGTGACTAGATCGGAGTGGTTGGGTAATCGATTATGCGAAGAAAAGTGTAGAAGAACAAAAATTTAGCCCGAAGAGTAGATCTAACAAGGTGATAAAGACGTAAGTACTTACTAGAGAAGACTGATTAGCAGGTACTGGGTAGTCAAAGATGAAATTTAGAGATGGGTAGAATCAGGAGTCGAATGTGTCAATTTTTGAAACAGATGAGGTGTATCAACACGCGCGAGACTGTGGGCAGATTATAATTGGAAGCTGTGACGAATAAGCTTCACGAAGGGGTGAGACCTTGGACATCTAGATCTAGCACGATACATAGTGATTCAGGTTCAGTTTGCTAGATGAAAAGGGATACAACTACCTTACTGGTCGAAAAATAAGGATAAGGAAATAGAGGAATTCTATCTCTAATATTTCATCACACATCTTCAACATTAACGAGAACTACGAGCACCAAGCTTGATGAACGATCATGAAAGACCGCTCTCTTACAGGATGTCTGACAGCATGAACTTTTCGGGAAAATGATGAATAATACATGGCTGAATATTGAAGACCAACCACCACGTTCTTGTCGGGGAGACTTGTTCAAACCAGACAATGAAAACTGCAGCTGCACGCTTTCTCATGGTCGGGCGTGCTGCGGCGTCGGTCCTTACATCTAGGAAGCATCGGTAATCAAAATCTCACATTGGCAGCTAGGAAATATGTCATCATCGTCCCCCTTCCCGCTGAAGATCGGTGGAGACATTTGGGCACGTCCGTTATGCATTCGTCCAGAGTGACTGGAGCATGATGAAGATCTTCATGTTGATATTTAAGATTTAAATTTCGATTTCCCAACCCGTCCCCGACACCCCACTTACTTAGTAGATCATCGCGCCTAGCCCTAGTTGTTTGCCTTTCTACTTCAACTACTAAATGAACACGTTGTGCTTGTGAAGATAAGAGTGCTAACTGGAGCACGAAGTTTTAATGATATTTCGACGATAGGGATAGGACCACATTGATTGTTCCGAAGGATAGTCGACCACGAAAACAAGACGTTCAAGTACAAGAGCAGTCACTATGTCCTGACACTCTCAATCACAGGACTAACGATATTCATCGACCTGGTTTGCAGGCAGCCGTAGCTGTCGGCACCTCCCGATCATCTGGACGAGCATGGTGGTGCAACGGGAGAGTTCGCGACAGCCCCATCTGGACTCGGGTCCGGATGGAGATTACGGCTCAGCCTCTCCGAACAAGATGATGAACAGAGGGAGCAAAACCCGACTCGGCGAAATGACGGCTGAAAAACGTGCTGCTGGCTTGGAGATGCTGCCTCCGATGCCGAGATTGGACAAATATACTGCAACCGAAGAGCTAAGACGAAAGGCGGTTCTGGATTTGCTTAACGACGGGGTGATGTTGGACTTGCGGAAGAAGCAGAAAGCAGAACTTGAACGCGTCTTGGACGCAATCAACGAAGACTTGCGTGAAGTGATTGGGTTAGGTGGCGTGAATGCAGCAACATCTACGTGGGAAGAAAGCAAAGATCATACTGTTATGAAGAAGATTGAGAAATCATGTTGTACCCCTCTACCACCTCTTAGTTAGTGCACGTAGTGTGGACGAATGAAAGCTATGACTAAAGCGTCGCCATTCTACTTCTCCGTCCTAGTGCAAGTCCGAGGCCTGCTCCCCCGACTTACTTCTAACAATTGCAACAAGCATTCCGTCTCTGTCCTCACCGACGAGAGCCGATTCAACGGCGAATCTCCACGTGGCCGCCGCAGGCAGCAAGCATTACAGCGAATGGCTGATATCTCACTTGCGAAGATGCAGTCAGCACTACGCGATCCGAATTCACCTGGAGGAGCTGATGCCACTGCAGGAGGGGCCGCGTCCCCTGGCTTGGGGGACAGCCAAGATCTTCTCAGTTCTGCCAAGAAGAAACAACTCGGTACAACAACTTCTGTTCTTCCATCTTCTTGTTCTGCAGGACCTGGAGAGCAGGCTACCGCTACGGGACCACCACGAGGTACTACACCAGGAGTCGGAGGAGGCATATTAAAAACTTTGCCTCCGCCAGAAATCCAAGCTTTTGACATCTTCGCAGATGTAGTGCAGTTTCCGTTGTTGCACGACCGAGAGAAATTCAACAATCTAGAACTACTGGCGAATCGAGATTTCAACATCGATTTGCGTAAGGACGAAGCGGATGTGGTTTTGGAGACATACGAACAAACGCTGATGAAAAGGGTTTTTGAGAAGGTTTCGATTTTTTCAAACGGAGAGGACATTCTTTTCGTTCTTCTTGATATTTATAAGTAAGTTCGTTGTTGATACTCAGCTGCTGCTCCAATATCAAGAATTGTGTCATTTCATTTTCCATTTCATCTTCCAGATAACTCCCGAAAACTTCGAACGCATTTCCGCTTTGGAGAACCACAACGAGGCCTTAGTCGATCGCATGGAAACGATTGAGGATCATCTTCTGGAGCGTTCACGTGCCCTCTCTCAGTGTCGTTACAGCTACTTCCTCGAAATCACGCATTTGCGCAACCAAGTCTACCTCCAAGGCCTCAATCCTGACGAATTCGATCCCCACGAATGCTATTTTTTCGATCCGTTGGACTCTTTAGAGGAGGAACTGAGGGAGATGTTGAACCAGAAGATCAAGGACTCGGTAAGGGTGTACTACGGCAAGTGGCGAAAGGCAGAGGATAAACTGCAAAGACTACAGGACCAACTAGACGCTTTAAGAGCAAACATTGATCCGGCATTTGCGAATCAAAGAGCTGTGAAACCATTGGCGGAGGAGCTAGCGTTTTTGGCGAGTCACTACACGGCAGCAGGTGTGGTCAAAGGCTGCGCAGAAGAATTCCCAAATGAAATGATGGCTTGGGCGAAGAAGGTAGTTATTCGTGAACAACATTCTAGTTCAACATACTTACTTAAGAATCCATCCCAAACATCTTGTACAACTAGTTCATCAAAGTGCTGAGGCTGCTCATAGACATAGAAATTTCAACATCCTCGTCCTCCCCTCACGACCAGACGCTCGGTCACGCCGAAGGCCGCGACGAAGAACTTGACGCACTCAAAAAGCTTCTTGCGCAAGCAGAGGAAGCCCTAGCAGCAGAGAAAAAGCGTGGTGATAGTTTGGAGTCGCAGTTAGCGGATACACGTGCGGATCTTGAGCGTGCACAAGCCCGTATTCAGGAAGTCGAAGCACAGATGTCAGAACTCCAATACAAAGTCATGGAACTCGAATCGTACGCAGAAGAGAGCAACGCGAGCTTGGAGGAATTGAGGAGGCAAAGCTCCATGGGAGGAGCGGGGAGCAAAGATGTAAATAATAATAGAACATTTCGTAAGAAGGATGTTGGATTGGATGGATTGCATGGCATTGCATGCATTGCATGAGCCGAGGGGGTCAGAGTGCGACCTTCTTAAGGGAGCGACACGGGAACGAAGACTCAGGGCGCGGCATAGGAGTACTTGGCTCCGTTGTAGGAGTACTTGAATAGTGCTGGCACGTTCGTACTAGCTATTGTAAGTAGCTCGACTAGGCTAGCTTGCCTGTGATCTCGACCGTCTTGCCCACTGTTCCCTGGCGCACACAGGCCACGGCGTTTGCGCTGCCCCTTGCTTGTTTCTGGGGCGAGGTCACACTGGGGCCGTGTTTGTGTTCGTGTATCGTAAAGTAATTCTTCGGCGGAGCAGCCCGGTAATGCGGAGGAAGTATGGCGCCCGAAGGGCGCCGCGCAAAATATATTGTTTTTTGGGTGGTCCATCCATGCAATGCATGCCATCCATGCCATGCAATCCAGAAGTTCGGAAGTTGCCTCGTATTCTATAATAATTTCCATTATCTATCTTGACCTCCTCTGCCTAACTAGAATTTTCATTTTCTAATGTGGTTATCATCTCTGATTCAGAAGACTATAAAAATAATCCTTCTTGTTCTCTTCCTCCTTGAAAACAAATCATAAAATCTCCGTTGTTTCTCGACCACCGACCACCAGGCCTCTCTTCGTGAAGCAGAGCTGCAGCGTAATCACGAAACGGAGCTCGCAAAGCTCAAAGACCGCATCAGCGATCTTGAAGCACAGCTATCGAAAAGCGAGTCGGAGGTCGACCGTCTGAAAAAGGATGTGGAAAGATTTTAAGGCCAACATGGAGCATAAATGCTACCTAAGTAGAAAGTTTTTACAACTGATGTCTTTCCCTATTTTTTCGTTTTTGTCAGAGCTTCTGGAGATGAAGAGCTAGCAACGGTTCAGAAACGTCAACACTTCTAATCGTCAGAGCACGAGGTAGCCAACGTCCAAGGCATTACGCCAGAGATGCGGGAGCGATTACTCGAGTTGGAAAAAGCTGAGCAGATGCTTGCGAAGACTAGGGCAGAACTGGCAAGTGAAGCAGAAAAACGAGCGAAGGAGAAGGCAGCAGCCCAACAAAGGGAGATGGAGATGAAACGGAAGGCGACACAGCAGCGTGTGAATCAAGCTGCAGCTTTGATGGCGAAAAACAAACTCTTAGCAGAAAAAGAAGCACAGGCGAAAAATTATGAACACTAGAACTCGAAGTCTAGTAGCACTGGTACAAGTAGCGCTAGGTGTATCATCTTATCGGCAATCCTATCCTCGTCTCGACGTTCTAACTTGCAGCAAAAATGGAAGCAGCCGCAGCAGCAAAAGCAGCAGGAGCTGCTGAGGAGTCGGAGGAGGAGAAGAAGCCGGATAGTGCATTGAATATGACAGAGCTGATGAAGCCATCTCAGAGGATCGTCTTTACCTGTCAGGACACACAGGAGAGCATCGAATTGTATCAGGGACAACTCTACCACAACAAGAAACCATTCGGGAAAATGATTTCAGTACTAGACTTTTGGTTTTTTTTTGACGACCCTCCTTTTTTCTCTGGATAGCCATGCTCAAGAGAAACGAAGCAGCATTCAAATAGAAGCTTACTCAAGCATCTTTTTCAGCCTCCCTAAAACCAATCTCGCCCACACAGGCCGCTGGTTGTCTGACAATGGAATTCGATACGAAGAAGATTCCAGAAGCAGTGAAAACTAGTCTAGGAAAGGAGCCCTCATCTGCGAAAATCGATATTGCCCATCACGACCTTGTCTTCCCGAACAAGAGTGTGTTGAAGAAGACGATTATTGAATGTACTGTTTTTGAATGTTTCAGAAGATCGGATTGTTGCAGTAGTTCTAGTTGCTTAGACTATGTTTTACTTTGAGTTAGATAGCCGACGACGAGCGCGAGCCAAAGCCTGTATAGAGGTGCCACCCTACTGTTATGTACTTAATAGTATGATTTTTATCTCCGAGACCGAGATGTTCATATCGTCTTCCCATCAGGATCATTCATCTCACGACCTTCCCTCGCCCTTCACAAACACAGCCACTGCCGAAGAGGAGCTCGCACGTGCACAGGCAGAGTTGGAAAAGATTGACACAAACCTAACCAACGCTCAAGATGAAGCCGCTAAGGCACAGGAAGCGCCGAAGGCACCACCGGAGAAGATAAAGCCGATGTCCGCTGTAGAAGGCGTTACTGTGGTCAAGAGTGCGTTTAAGTTGTTGCTGGATGGGGAGAGGAGGAAGTATTACCTTCTTCTTTACTGCTTGATGTTAATACTGTAACTACTCCTTACAAACTACGATGAAGACGAACCCCTCCAACTACACCACCTCTTTTCTATAACGACTGTACACTGCAAACTCAACCCTTATCCAGGAACAAAAAGCTCACCGAAGAAATGCTCGACAAGTCTGAAGTGGAAATCAAGCTGCGTGATGAATTGCAGACTGTCATGGATGAATTAGACCAGTTGAGAGACCGCTTTTTGGGAGGTGGGAAAGGCGGGAAGAACAAAGACGGCAAATCAGGCATCAGTAAGGACACACAGACGACCATCACAGGCACACAAGGCGCGTCTGCGGGCGGAGTGACTATGGGACAAGCGGGTAATTCTGATGATCATTTTGCTGCTCATGTAAAGTACTAGAAGAACATTCTTGCATTCGTGACAACATTTTTCACAAGACCCACCTAACAATCCATCACCAGGTAAGAGCAACGCCTTCTATCTCCTAGAGTATCCAGCATTGATGACTGAGCTAGCGATGGAACAGGAGCTAGAGGATTTGAATGGCTGTGCTTTGGCAAGTTGGGAAGGAATCTTGGAAAGGCTGAAGCAGTCTCGGAGACCTCCGAGTGGCGTCGGCAGCGGCTTCGTCTCTACACGACTCTTCAGGCGGTTGTTCTTGGGATGCATACACAGGTACTGTTGTTGGTCGTACATCTGCATCACTCTGACTAGCTCGTTTGAATCTCTGAAAGGACAGTACTGAAATTTATCAAATTTCATTGTTCTACTCCGCTCCGATACAACAGGATATCTCGCCAGAACGACCTTCGGAAGATGACGGAGAGTCTCATTTTAGCCGAGTTAGAAAAAGCCTGCGACGCCGTCCACTTGTTGCAAGAAAGCACCTTCCCTGAACAATGTGCGCCTATACGGGAGCATATCTTTGGTCGAGGTATGAACAAGCCGAACTTGTTCGAACATTTTTCTGCTGCTTTAGTGCAAGAGTGGATCCCCAAACTGAAACGATGTGAGGAGGTCATCGCAGCTTACGGTAGTAACCAGCAGATCGAGCTGGGTGTGTACGAACCAAGTCGACGATGCTACATCTCGACGGCGGCGAAAGGTATGCAACGGACCGTTTTGTCTATGCATGTGACGAAAATGGACGGCGGAAACGTCATGGGAGAAAGTAGTGGCTTAAACGAGGGCGGTGGCGAAAATGCGATGTTGCCTGATGGCAGGCAAAGTGCCTTCCGAGGCAACAATTTGGTAGACGCCATACGCGGTGGGCGAAATAGTAGTCGGCCACCTAGCAGGAGTCCCGAGAAGTACGGTGGCATGGGTGGCCCTCAAATACTAGGAGAGATCACAGATCCAGTGATTCCAGGCTCTGCTAGAACGAGACCAGATATTCGCAGTCGACCTGTTGACACGGGTGTATTGGATCAGATGCAGTTCAACGTCCGCAGTATGCCGATGTCTCCTAGACTCCATCACCCGCCATCGCCTCGTAGCCGCGACAAGTTCATGAACCTACCACAATTCAACGGCGACGTGCATTACCATCGCGTGATAGAGGAAGATATGCGACCAGAGCGTGGTCAGGGCAGCGCTGTGCGAAGTGCGTCATCGCCACAACGTGGAGCACAACAGCATTTTCGTGTTCAACGTCCGGCTGATTCTGCAAAGTACAACCTACAGCAGTTCGAGTTCCCACGAGGCTTTCAGGCAGAAGACGCGCGTGCATATCAGCGAAGTCGGCAAGGAGCACCATCGGGAAATCGAGGCGTCATTTCTTCAGGTGGTGGCGCAGCCCAATTTGGCAGTCCTAATAATAACATGACCGGCAATGGTATCAGAGGTGCGAGCAACAATTTCCTGCATGCTATTTCGCATCAGCCGTACTACGGAGCGCCACAGGTGCGCAAAGGGCAGCCTGGAGCACCTAATATGGGTCCGCAACGACCGGCAGTGGATGTTGGTGGGAATTCGCTGTTCCAGCAGCCACAGGATTCCACACAACTACGCGGGGGCAATAGCATGGCTGTGGAACAGGGATCAATGCAATTGGACGAGATGAACCTACTATCTGTGACCAGTCTCAACAAAGTCCGAGATCCTTCTAGTGCAGCAGCTGCTCAAATAAGAGGCCAGACCCCAAGCACAGCGTCAGGGAGTCGTCCAGGCACGAGAGGCCAGATGCGGTCCGCACCAGGTGGAAGTCTGTATGGTCTCGGTGAAACAACACCCAATATTACTCATAGTGGTTCTGGAGCACCAGCCGGAATGAACGCTGCCCTTCATACTCGTCAAGCAGCACAGGAATTTTTGGAGAAACAAGTGGTAGCGCAAGTACCGATTCCAGGTTTGCAGCAGCCGCATTCACGCCCAGTGATGGAGCCGGGTCTGGCAGGATTGAGGATATCCTCAACCGTTCCACCTGGATCGAGTAGTGGAACGCAACAACATCAATTTGCCTCTGGTGGAGCACAGGCATCATCAGGAGGAGGAGGCCAACTACACCTCAGTGGGAGTAGTCCACCTCCCAGACAAGGCCGTCACGCACCAAGAAACGCCGCACCGCTAGCTGGTGGCACTATGGTAGGTCAATCCGCAAGTGAACAAGCGGCTTACAGCGCCTACATTCAGTCGTCACAGCACAGCGTGAGCAGTCCTGCAACGATGTCGATGCCAACGAAACATGTAGCGCCGAAATTAGAAGACGTTGTGCACAACGGTGTTGTTGGTTCGGCGTCCTTCGTAGGATTACCTGGCAGACCGCAGTCCCCAGTACACGGTCATCGGGTGATCTCGAATCGTAGTCCTTCACCAAAAGGCAGTCCAGGCCACTCGCCGTTGTCGTCTGCGAGAGCGAAGCAGGAGAAGCGACTCGAGGACTTGCGGCATTTGAGAGACGCTGGCAGGTTGGAGGAAGCAGTTCATGGACCATCTCGAGGTGGAGGTGGAGGAGTGTCTAGTAGTGGAGGTCCTACTGCTGGATCAGGATCTTCTACTGAGCCTCAACCTGGAGACACATCCGGACTGCGCATCGACGGAGAAAACAAGGGCCGTGTCCGCGCACTTGAAATACGTGCTAAAAGTGGAAATGACAAACCTCAAATGAACTTATTCTATCCTGAGGATGGTCATGGTGGAGTCGGGTCAACATCTGCGTCTGGGGGGGGTTCTCACCTCCTTGGAGCAGGACCAAGTAGTAGACCCGGAGCACCGAGTGCAGGAGGTGGCGGAAACTCCCAACTAGAAATCCGACTTCCGCCACTTGGTGCCATGTTCGTCGAGGACGCTGCACCACTAGATGGCGAGGTGCGCAAGTTGCAGCAACTAGAAAGGCCTTCTGGCGCTTTGCCAGGAGACATAGTAGGAGGTTCAGGCATGGGAGGACAACTGGGTGGAACCTTTGCTGGAGCAGCAAGCGGTCCCCCTCGTGAGATGTTCATAGACGCCTTGAACCAACCTCGAAAGGAGCAGCCACCAAGGCAGCTACTAGCAAGCTATACGAATGCATCTACTCCAACTGCAGCTTCAGGAGGAACAACTGTGTCGAAGAGTGGCGTACCTCTTGCTGCACCTGCGATTCTTAGAGGCCGAAAAGCATCGCATGGACGGGTTGGTAGCAGAGACGGATCTGTTGGCGCTGCTGGAGACTTATGGCACAATCACAAAATATATAGTTGATACATCATAGCTACAATTCATCTATCATCTTGTTGCTCTTGCCACATGCGTACTAAACTGGTAAACTCAAGAAGATGAACTAGTAAGTACGACAACTTTGACTCAACACCGTCTGGTACCTCTAAAAAAAGCACAACCTCCCGCCGACAACAATTTTTCCTCTTTCCGAGTCGTAGGCACTGGCGGTGCAAGCAGTCGAGCAGTGGATGCAGCCTTAGAGATTGCACGTGGCTCGAATTACCGCAAGAATTCGTTTGGAGGAGGGTCCTCCAGTAGCGCCGCAGGGTCAGGCAACAACAATTCAGCCGCTTATGGAGTCAACTATCAAGTGGAGCGTGCGAGACATATGATAGCGGCGGATGAGGCGGCGCCAAGATTGATGCCTGACACCTCCAACATGATGGCTGGCGGAAGCTCATCCTCATCGAGCACAGGATTGACCATCAACCAAAAAGTAGATCTTGGCGCAGGTGGGGTGGATCATCAACATGTAGGAAGACGAGCAGGAAGACAAGCTGGTGGACGCCGATCCGCAGACAATCTGAACTACGGACGCCGATTACCCCCAGCCCCATTAGGGAAAATCGGCTACGTCCGTAGCTTTGATGCAACGAGCGGTTCGGGTCTTGGTGTAGGAGGCGCAGGAGTGGGCCAACGACCTCAGACGCGGGATGGAAGCAGCAGCGGGAATGGGCGAGGAGGTGGAGGTGGTGGAACAACTAGTATGGGAACAATGGGAATCAATGCTGGAACCAGTGGTGCTGGACCTTCAAATAGTGGCAGTGGAGGTGGTGGTGGCCCTTCTGGTGGTGGCCCAGGTGGGGCAGGTCTTGATGGTAGACCCCACACGAGAGGTTGATGCCCTGAATGTCATTAGATATGGAATGTACTAAGAAGAAGGATGGCGGTGAAGAAGGAGATGTAGTTGTTCTTCTTCTGCATCATATCGTCATCCCCATAATGGTATCTATGATGTAATAAATAAGTAATATCCGAAAATGCAGAACGCGCTATCGTTGTTTGCCATTATACGTGTTGTCACGGTTCAAAACTATCACTTCTATAATCTATAATGTATCTCGCGGTATTCCTCGTCATACGAAATCGAAAGTGCTGTAACATCAAGCACAAAGAAAGGAATCACAAAACCAGATTAACAATCAAGATTGACGACTTTCAGTTGCAAAAGTAACCCTATTTGAATTTGTTTGATCCAGAAACCACAAAATGTCATAAGTTAATGTTTTCTTCAGAGATGTCATGTGAGATGAAGAACTATTACAGAACGGTGTAGTTTATCATAATAATCACAATCCTGATTTTCATATCATTGTCTTTGTCAGATCATGATAAAAATCACACACACGGAATGGTATATTGCACAGTTTGAGGACGAGTCCTGAATAGTTACGGTAAAATACTTATCAACGTTAAAGCCTTAGGAATAGGATTGGATAGAGTTATAGTTCCTTAGATAGTACAAGAAGCTTAATATGAATATCACTCTAGTCTAGAAGATAGTTGGTTCTAGAATGGAACGAATTAGCAGCATGAAGATCGCGATGGATCATATCACTTTTCATTTTGATGATACGCAAAACACTTGCTTAATACGTGTTCCGACAAATAGCCTATAACGACAGATTACACCAGCAAGAGTATGTGGATTATAGAAAGTACGAAAAAGGCGCTGACTATAATACGGCATGATCAAGAAAGCACGGAAAAAACGCCACGACATGTGAAGTGGAGGCCATGGCATGGGTCCTTTCCTCATTCCTCCTTGTGGTACCCACAAATTAACATCTAGCACAACAAGCCCATCCCCATTCGTGTGCACCTATCCTCCTTTGTGCAGCAAGTTGAGCAATTGCCTTCTTATGTGTTATGCCCTGCTCCTCTGTGGCAGTATGGTTTTGGAGTTTGTTCCTGGCGCAAGAGCCTCGCCGTAGCAAAGTAAAAAGGTGCAAAAAATGTTGAAGTGGAAGTCTTTCTCTAGGACATTCTACGGATATTAACGAAGATCACGAAAAATTTTTCCATTCAGATCTAGTTGTATCATGAGTATGAGTTGTATGTGTACCTGCTTTACCCATCGGGATCGGGCTAAAGGAACGAACGAGCAAGATGCCAGAAGGCCGTTTCCACCCACACGGAAACGAAACAGATTAATCAAAACACGCTGTAGATCGCGTTATTCTAACACATGACGGCTCTACCAAATGAAAATTTTGAATAAGAATTCAGCGAACAAATGATAACTCTCTCTTCCACTTTGCGCTGTGGGGGAATCCCGGCGGGGTCTTCCCTGAACGTCGGTCGCATCGTCGGGCGCCTCGAAAAGACGAACGGTTCGTCGAAAAATCCGATATCACCAGAGGAGGTCGCAACCTATCTCCATTACCTCACAACACGAAAGACGCCATCGTCAAGCTCGAGTTCTTCTACTGCAGTTAGGGTGACGAGGTCGCAACAACATGAATCGACGGTGTCAAGTGGGTCAAGAACTGCGCGGTCCGACTCTTCATGTGAAGAAACTAATCATAATGAGCAGACTTCTGGACCGATCGGAGGTGTTGTTGTTGAGGACACTAAAAAAATAAGCACTACATCGACCTCGGGACGACCGATTACTTCATCCTCTACTAACTCCACAGCATGCTCATTCTCCAGTAGCAGACGGAGTCCCGATCACACCGTCGCACCCATCTTTGACATTGGCGCTAGATTGCTGGAGAGTATCGAGGGCTGGCCAATCGCAGATTCTTCCAACAAGGTTGAGAATCAACCGCAGCCTCTGGCACCTCGAAGCAAGGACATTGTGATGGCCCTTACGTCTATGCGCAAGCTGAGAAAGCAAGCAAGATCGGCTGATGCTCAGCAGCAGGCCTTTGCAACTTAAGAGAACAAGATTCAAGTGGTGAAGGCTTATCTTCAGGTATCTACTGCACAGCACTCAAAGATCGATGAACATGGAGTACTTAGATATTACGACATCCTCTCTAACAAGATCCCCAGAAAAATAACACGAACAGCAAAGATGGCGACACCCAACTCCACACGAATCCCAATGCATCGTCATCCACCGAGAAAAGTAGCTCAACCTTCGAATCAGCGGCGACCCGAGCATGCCAAAGCCTCGAGAAGTGCTGTTGTGCGTACCCTCTTTCCCCAAGAAATCTTGGAATTGTGCTTGCTGAATTTGGCGAATTAGGCTATCTACCGACAACGCTCCTCGCTCACCTCGCAAAGGCAGACACGTTTGTCGGAGCATATAGCTCCCCTCTTGACCTCGAAGAGCAAGACGACGGCAAGAACAGCACCTATGCTAGAGGATTGACATGGGCCGGCGCGCGCGATGTTCGACGATCAAAGCAGGCCAGAGATCGAGCATCTAATCACCAACACGATGACGATTTTTTCCTTCTCAATGGAATTGGTGGAACTGTTGAAAGGGAGAGCTCAAGTTCTTCTCAACGAGGTAATGACAATCACTCGATGTCAGCTGACCTGGACACGCGTGGCCTCATACAATTCCTCAATGCCTCCGCGAAGCTACAGCAGGCTGTCTCTTCCACTAAGTCTCTCTCCAGAGCAGAGGCCGTCTGCAAGACTGTTCTGAATGAAATCGCGTGCTTCTCTGCGACAAAGCTGGAAGAGCGAATGGAGACATCTTGTTGTAGACCTGATGCCAATTTGCTTCCCGAGGATCGAGATGAAGCGCCTGAAGACGTACCAAATGAAGCCAGTACCCGGAATACCAAGACAGCTTTTCAACCAGTGGATTTCTCAGCATGTGCGCAAGCTGCTGTTTTGCATATAGCGAATGCTCGAAATAAAAGTAGTTCCATCACCTCGTCGACTTCCGATGTCAGTGTCACAACAGAAAAGTTGAAGAATAAGGTTCTAGGCAGGCTTTTCTTGCGCATTCTCTCCCTCGCAGGACCACGCCTGGGCGAATTTTCGGAAAAAGAGGTGGCCAATCTTGTCAACGCTATTGCAAAGGCTAAAAGTGGTCAAAAAATCTCAACAACATCTTCTCGCGACCAAGACGTAGTCGACGCTGTGCAGCTCGAGCAACATGTCAATTCGTTTTTCGAGTTCCTCTTCGCCTGCGGGTTGTCTGGTGGAGCGCGTCTAGGGACTTTCAGTGAAGTTGCGCTCGTGACCATGCTGAATGCTGTTTCGAGACTCGACATACGGCATCCGCATCTTTTGATTAAGACGAGGAAGATGTACTAGTAGATCATCGATGTCACTGATGTTACCCTTACCACTCCAAGAAGATCACGAACTTCCGCACTTGTCCACAAGAATTCCACCACCTGTTGTTGTACTTAAGTACTACTTCTTACTGCTATAAGTGTAGAAGTTCATCTTCTAATTTTCCTGCCCTTACGGAGCAGATTTTGACTCGACCAGGACGTTTCAACGAGGCTGAACTTGCGCTTCTTGCGAACGCCTGCAGCAATTTGGGTCGTACAGAGGCATGGCAGTTCTTGGCGAAAGAAATCGAGAGGAGAAAAGTTAAGTGACAATGATCATATTACGCCAGTTGTATGTCAAAAAAAATGAATGGTTCCGGTATTTGGTAACCTCAATTTGATCATAAGGGAAAACAAGAAGAGAACCCTTGGATCAAACTCAGGTTACCAAATACCAGAACCATAAAAAAAAACCGATTCAGATTCATGTCTCATCATCTAAAACCCATGGCCACATCAAAAATCTACGCCATGCCGCGATGATCGGAAAAGCTTTTTCAGGCAGATGGACTGACGAATCTTTACAGGTGCTGCAGAACAACAAACGGGAGGATAACGTTAATAACGACTGCTCTGAAGACTTGCAGCAGCAATTGCAAATAGAGAATCTCCAGAAGAAGAGCCAGACACAAGAACTAGAACAACAACTCATCTTACAACTGCAGAAAGTTCTCAATTGCGTATGTGAAGGTGTGATTCGGACGCCTCATGACAGCCCACGCATATCAATAGCCGACCTGGCGGATCTGAGTTTGGTTTTTGGGAGACATCAAGGGGTTGAACAATCGCAGATGAAGTTCACAACTTGGTTTCAGAAAAGTTTGTTGTCCTTGTGTAGCAGTACTAGGACTGGACGAGCTTCTAAAAGTAATACAACCACGACTTCTGTCAGCCGTGGTACGACCGGCGCGAAGGCTGCAATCCCGAAGAACGAAAGCAAGAAAGCGTGTGACACCACCACCTCTTCCGCTGAGGCACGACTGACTGAAGCAAAGAAGACCCACCCTCTATCCGCAAAAGATTTGAGTACAATTGCGTGTAGCATGGTTGCGCTATCAACATCTAGTCATGCTGATAGACATGGAGGTGACGGTGCGGATACAATTCAGACCTGGCATGCACTTGCAGATGCATACGGCGAGACTCTGTTATGGAGACATTATTTGGTTGTAGCAGAAAAGTTCGTATTCAACATCAACAGCTATGCTAGTATATTGCACTATGACCTTAGCATTACCGTGAAAGCGATTGATTTTTTCCTGTCTTGGATAGTGTTAATGAAAAATGCAACTATTATATTTTTCCTGTCTTGTTTCCACTGCTACTTTGTTGTTCGCATGAATTTTACCAGAAAAAGTCTAACAAATGCAGGAGCCGACCAGAAAAAGTCTAGCAAAGTTGCAAACAACATGGCGGCATCAATTGTGAGTTGGACGAACACGTTGAGGAAGCTGTCCGTGCGAGGTGAACCCTATCGAAGTTTTGCACAGAAGCGTTTACTTGAAGCCTGTTGTGCAACTTCTGGTGAGCACGAGACATCTTCCGGTAGTTTGGAAGCAGTCTTGCTAGACCGAAACACGAAGATTGGAGATGTCGTTGAGCTTTTTCATAATTTCTCATATGCAAAAGTTTTCAATACAACGAAAGCCGCGGACACACTTTCAGTCTATTTTGAAAGACTGCTCTCCGACGTAGAGTCTATGTCACCGGCAGATGTGGGACTCGCACTTGCGGCGTTTCGGAATTTTACTGACCACGCCTTGGAAATGCGAAGGAATACCTCTAGACACAAAAAACGAATAGGAGAAAATGACCCTCTCCGTGTGATTCTTCGTTTGCCGTATCAAGCCTTTATCGAAAAGACGCTTTCCCTGGAAAAGTTTGCAGTGAAAAACTGGACAAGAGTTGGCCTTGTTGGCGTGAGGCAAGAAAGGCGGGAAGACCTTATATCTTCCGCTACCAAAGTAAATGCTAAAGAAGTCGTGCAATTGATGGGTGCTTTGCCTCCGGCTGAAGTTTTGTCACGTGATACTGCGACTGCCGTTGAGCTTGAAACACAGATTCTTGCACTGGTAGAGAATGTAGAATTATCTGCAGAGACATGTCTCGCGGTTTTACAAGCTTGTGACAGCTGCTGGTGTGACCATAACAGCTTGTTAACGAAAGTTTTGGCCTTTGTCAACGAAAACTTCAATAAAGAGTTCTCTCCATTTCTACCTCGTTGCGCTGCAGTGGCGTCTGCACTAGCGCGGATCGGAATCAAAGACGAAAAACTGGAAGCAAAACTTCATGATGCTTTGGACTTTTTCTTCGATGTGGGAAGCAAAAGGATCGAGAACAATTCAGATGGAAATGCAAAGGAAGATTATGAGGCTAAAAGAACGTCGAGTAGAAACACAGAGACAACAACAACAACCACCGCCGCTATCCTCGATCTCCTCGCGAATCTTGTAGAATTGCGTGGTGGTTGTAGAGGTGCAAGCCATTCGATGTTGACGAGTAGGATATTGGACTTGCAGATGAACACAATCCTCGAAAGTCTGAAAAAGAAGTTCCAGAGTTCTTCACGGAAACTATCACGAGTCGTGGCAGCACTCATTCTATTCTTGGATTCCAGCTCTACGACCAAGGAGAAACTTCATCTCTTCAAAAGAGATCTCTTGCTAGACTACGTATCGAAGGAGTTTAACCTAGGCCTGCCTGATTTCGAGCACAGACAGCTATGGCTGATGATGCTTGAGGTCTTTTCTACTTCAGATATGCGACCACTGTCAAACAAGGACAGGAGAAATGCGAATTGCATGGGAATGATCGCCGAGGAGATGGTCGGTCGTGATGAAGAGCAAGAAACTGGCATGGGAATGATCGCCGAGGAGATGGTCGCTGATGAAGAGCAAGAAAGTAAGAGTTCCATACAACGCTTATCTTCAAGTAAAGACGTAGACGACATGAAGATAAACAACGACCTTTTCTCTTTTTCAGCTATTTCTTTGCAGACACTGCGAGTCTTATTGGAAGTGACTTGTATGGAGCAATGTCAGGGACGATTAGAAGACATATTAGTGGACAGCTCGTTGTCGTCTTCGAGTTCAACTTCGGCTCTGAAACGTCTGCAGAGAGATGTAGCAGCTTCTTTACAAGATGCTCTTATTCTGCGCCAGACTTCAAAAATCCACGACGGCAACCACCTGAATCCTCCTCTGGACGCTGTATGTATAATCGCTCGAGAAGTCTCTATTCCTCCGTATGCAGCCCACATGATACTTCGTCCGGAATCAAGATGGGAAGGAAATGCACAAGAGAGTGGTAATGAAGAAGATTGTGGTGGTCAACAAGAAGTAAAGCACGACCTTGACGAGTTTCGCAGGCGTAGTGTTTGCAGCCATTCTTGATGTTGAGATGAAAGATTTTTTGATTTCGTAGCTCATCTGTGTAAGTAGAAAACGTTGTTTCCGCTGCTTCTTTTGTTTCACTGCGACTCATCATTCCTGATAACGAATAGACCCGCAATGAGACCATATTCGCTTTCCATTGTCCTGATGAATCGTCTTCGTTGTAGCAACGAGGCAGTCAAAGGTGCTGACACTGAAGACAGGGGTGGAAATTATTAGTGTGAAACAACAACAAATTGTAATCGGAATTCAGGTCGCAATTGGCTGATTAAGACAATATGACTCAATGAAGATAATGGAGATGAACAACCTGAAGTACGAAGATGATTCAGATGCGAGAACAAATGCGACCGGATATTTTTTTATCACTCCACAAACAAATCACAATCAGAGACATATCAGAAGATGCAGGAATATCATATATTTTTTTATGATGCGATAGGGGTTACAACTACAGTGAAGAGATGAAGGAGGGACTCTGGTCAAGGGAGGGCTCTGGCTCTGCATAGTGTGTTCTTGGAAGGCGACGAAGAGTTTTATCCAGCACAAACATGTACTTCTACGTGTACATCATGACTTCTTGTCACGAGGAAAAAAGTGAGACCGGTTGTCATATGGATACTATGGGTCCCGCACATCGTTGGCGAGGGTCAAAGTGGCAGTGGGAATAAACGAAAATGTGTGACGAGAGATGAAATTACATGAAATGAAAAACTCCCTTGATTAATTTTTAGTCTACGTCTTCACCTTCTTGACTTTCATACCCCACCTGATCTTGCCCCTTCATCACCTCTTAACCTTAAGCAGGTGTTCACGTTCAACATCTGTATCTCTTTAAATTAAGCTAGAATCGTTTGAAAACCATCAAAGCAGACGTGTTCCTCTTCTAGTGGATACTTCTGACAGACTATTTTCTTTTTTATCAAATCTACCCAGTAGGAGTCGTAATACAACAAATAGAACTGGTGGGTAGTACTACATCAACCAGTCGCTGACCCGGGGTTCTCCCAGGAGGGCTCGCCATTCTATGTCAGCCCAGGAACTACGACTATCGTAGAAGACAGATGATGTGATGGTGGAGGAGTCACCAAATCAAGAGCACAGAAAAATGACCAGAATGTCGAGGACTTACTCCACCGCAGGAAGGCTTGCATCGATGCACAGTCTTTTAAGGCGTAAACTTGTGGTTCATTCAACATCAACAAATCGTTCTCAGAAGAAAAGCATACATCCACTTCTTGCTATTCAAAGACCTCAATCTCCACCTCCTTCCCCTCCAACCCTTCTAACCTTCCGCTTGGTGGCATTCTTTGTCTCGATGCACCTTGTTCTCCTCGCTGAGGGGATCACCCATGACCAGGAGAAAGAGATCGTCATTGATTGGGACGGAGAGGTAGAAGATCAAGCAGGAGTAGAAGGCACGACGACTTCGAATGGAGAGGTCGAAGATCCTGAAGTAGACGTAGAAAACGGAACGGCTTTTACGCAGGTGGAGCAGCATCATAGAAGAAAACGTAAACGAGTGGGAAAAAGACATAAACATCATAAACGCTTTCCGTGGCCGCCTTACAAAAACCTCACCATCATTTTTTTTATAGTGAAAAATAGAAAAAGATTGTTATTGTTTGATCATGATGTACTTGATACTGGCTACTAGTCGTAGTCAGAGAAGTAAATTATAGGTCTTTTATGCTCCTTGTATAGCTAATAATATCAGTATGATCTAGTAAGTTAATATATTTCTGAGGCAACTATTAACTACAGCTGGCAGGGTGTGACGAAGTGGCGTCTCTGGGAAAGGCCTTATCGTCAGGCAGAATGGATCTGGTCCGACTGATGGATCTCAAGGCATTGAGTGAGAAAATGATAATCCTGACGGGCTCTGCAGACGACCTGATCATTCACGTTTCTCACAATTCTTGTCTTGTTGTCTGCCAGTTTGGCCAGACCCACCACTCTGCTGACCTGTCGCCAGACCAGCTCACGTGCCACTACCTAAGTCGCCTGCCAGTAGCTGCCTCATGTTGTTAAGCTACTTATCTAATGTAGTTAACTGAACTATATATGAATATCCAGCTCTGATTATGATCATGAGCGTGACATAATGTTGATTGTCCTGCTAGAACTAGTAGATTCAATTCAATTCATTTTTTTTTTTGTTTTTTTTTTTTTGTAGTGCGAGCGAGTTCCGATAAGTCAAAACCTACCTGCGTACTTTGCAAGCGAGTCCCGATAAATCAAAACCTACCTGCGTACTTCCCGCGTGGATACCGGCGTAGGGGTGGGCTCTTAATCTCCTTAACGACTACGCTAATGACCCTACGACTTTAAAATGCTGAACCCTAGGAGTAAAGGCAGGAGAAATTACACACCTAGTACCTGCCACCGCGAACGTTGTCCGTCTCCCCATCACGCGCTTATTGGGAATGCTAAGTGTATGGGCCGCGGAACGATGTCCGCATAATCAAAGTAAATAAGTACACAAGGGCCCTAGGTGGATCTGCGCGGCAACTGATTGGTGGAGGAAACTAGAAGAATTTCCGACTAAGTAAAAGCATGCAAGTTATTTAAATTGGTGAAGGAACGCTAAGTGCTAGGGGGCTTAAAATTTTCTTCATCTTCATGCGTCGCTTTCTTCTTGTGGCCGGCTCCACCCGCTATGCAGCCGATGAGAGAAAAAAAACAAAAAGCAAAAAAGTGGATTGCTGACTACGACCCAAGGGGCTACCTTATGCCTGAAAGCCACAACTCTGCTAAGAGCGGGCGGGAGATAAAAAAATCTGTAAGGGAGAGCGATGGGACGCTCTCCCCCTTTCCATTACGTTGCATAAGTCTACGCATCTCAAAGAACTATAACGACGCCCAAGCTTGTGTATCGAAGTAGTCTCGCTCTCTTTCCTCACCAAGGGCCAGCACCTCCTCTAGAAATAACGACGCTCAAGTTAGTAAGTCTAATTTATAAACAACGCGAAGCACTCAAGACTGACAGAACAAGGAAATTCGCTAACCCCTCTGGCGTTCCCGAAGGACCACAAGGGATTATCTCATCACCCCAAACAGATTTTTTTTTGTATCGTGAGTCTCTTTTTTTTTGTAGTGCCATGCTTATCCGAAAGGGAAGAGCTTGCATGTTTATCCGCGAAGCTGCCGGCGACGGGCGGGGCTATTCCTGTATTTTTTTTTTGTAGTGCGAGCGAGTTCTGATATATCAAAACTTACCTGCGTACTTTCCGCGTAGCTACCGGCGTAGGGGGGGGCTCTTAATTTGCTCAACAAACTACGCTACTGCCCCTGCGTTTTAAAATGCAGAACCCTAGGAGCAAAGGCAGGAGAAATGACATACCTAATACCTGCCACCCGGGGCGTTGCCCGTCTCCCCGTTACGCGCTTTTTGTGAATGCTAGACTTATGGGCGGCGGAGCGCTGTCCGCTTAATCAAGTCAAATATTTACACAAGGGCCCTAGGTGGAGCTGCGCGGCAACTGTTTGGTGGAGGAAAGTAGAAGGATGCTTTTGGACTAAGTAAGAGCATGCATGTTATTTCAGTTGGTGGAGGAACTCTAAGCGCTACTAAGTGCTTAAGTTTTTTCTTCATCTTCATGCATCACCTTCTTCTTGTGGCCGGCTCCTCCCGCTTTGCAGCCGATGAGAGAAAAAAACAAAAATAAAAAGATTGGAGGGCTGACTCCGACCAAAGGGGCTACCGTATGCCTGATAGCCACAACCGGGCGGGAGATAAAAAATCGGTGAGGGAGAGCGATGGGACGCGCTCCCCCTTTCAATTACGTTGCATAAGTCTACCCATCTCAAAGAACTCTAACAGCGCACAGGTTTGTATCTATATCGAAGTAGTCCCGACCTCCTTACTCACCAAGGAACAGCGCCTCCCCTAGAAATGACGACACTCAAGTTAGTAAGTGAAATCTATCAACAACTCGAAGCACTCAAGACAGAAAACGGAAATTCGCTAACCCCTCTGGCGTTCCCGAAAGACCACTAGGGGTTATCTCATCACTCAAGCAGAATTGTTAGCTGAGCAAACGCAAAGCCTTGTATGTCGCCCTGGTTCTCAGTCCAGCCCTCTTCCATGCTTATCTGAAAGGGAAGAGCTTGCATGTTTATCCGTTTCAATTCTAGAACTTTTTTTTTTGTAGTGCGAGCGAGTTCCGATAAATCAAAACCTACCTGCGTACTTTCCGCGTAGCTACCGGCGTAGGGGGGAGCTCTTAATCTCCTTAACAAGCTACGCCACTGCCCCTACGGTTCCAAAATGGTCAAGCCTAGGAGCAAAGGCAGGGAAAATTACACACCTAGCACCTGCCACCCAGGGCGATGCCCGTCTCACCTTCACGCGCTTACTGTGGATCCTACGTTTGGGCGGCGGAGCGCTGTCCGCTTAAACAACTTAAACATTTACTCAAGGGCCCTGGGTGGAGCTGCGCGGCATCTCGTTGTTGAAGTGAACTAGACGGATGCTTTTGGATAAGTAAGAGCATGCATGTTGATTAGATTGGTGGAGGAACGCTAAGTGCTAGGGGGCTTAAGGTTTTTTCTCGTCAGATTTTTCCTTTTTCTTTCCATGCATCTCCTCCTTCAGTTTTTCATTTGTGGCCGTACTCTTGCCACCCGCATCTTTTTCTACCCCGCGTCGTCCTTCTTGATTAGGATTACGTCAAGAACAAAACACTTTTCGACGTTGACTATGAAAAAAGGTGATGATGAGGCTTCTTCTAACGAAAACGAACACTTGTTCCGGCAAGACTGAAAGCGTTTGGTCAGCAGGGACGTCACAAGAAGCATCGACGAGCAGAAGCAAAAAGAGAACAAGAAAAAAATAAAGCAGAACAAGCAAAAGCAGAGACGAAACAGCGGCAGCAGCGCTCTCAAGGTGTAGATGGTCATGGTCCACCAAGTACAAGAATGCAGCAAATGCGAGGGGCCGCACCAACTACATCGCCTCAACAACAACATCCAACACAAACCACTCCGAGAGCTAGTGCTCCTCGTCCATCAGAGATAAGTAGAGAAGACAGAATAGCAAAAATGAAGGAAGCAATCGAAAGTGTTTTCCCTCAGAATAGCGCTGAGATGCCGAAATGGCTCGCGGAGATGACCGAGGAGACAAAACCACTACATCCACTTCTTGTTTACAACGAGTTTCATGCACGCATCCTGCAGGTGTATTATAAGCTACTCGCGATCACGCCAGGTTCACGCGCAGATGACGAACCACCGGCAAATAACGTCGCGTGGTATGCTGTCACCGAATTGCGGAAGGGCATGAGGGGACCGATTTATGAAGGTGATAGAGATTCTAGCAATTTCGGCATCTCTACTTGTAGACTCTTTTGTGGAGCACGGTGCATTACATCAAGCTGAAGAGGTGAAGGCAATATTATTTTACTCCCTAAATTATTCCCCGTCTCCCCCGTGATCATCTTACACGAAGGTTGATCAAGGACGTGATCAGGCCTCCCTCCACCGTGGCCTGATATTGAATAAATATGGTTACAGATATGCTCATGCTAGTTACAAATGTAAACGAACCATTCAAAAGTAAACTCGATTTCCGTCAATCCTCGTGTAGCTCCTGCTGCATGTGACGCGTGCATTAAGGTGGCTGTCTGAACGAAGCGTCAATGAATTGTCAAGATTCAACATACTCCACAGCTCTAAGATAGACCAAAGAGCCATTGGAACGGCCGCCTGAAATCAGAATTCAGCGCAGCGGAAGCTGTGAAAAATGTTAAGAAGTGGCTTTGTGCACGTTAATGCTTTGCACATAATTATAAAGGGAAAGGGTATAGAAAAATATAGTGTGTAGGCTACGTACTACTTACACATAGTACATTGATTGTGCTTGTGCAACGACAGGGACCGATTGTCGTGCTTGTATTTTTAACATGATTCTTACTGTATAATCATAAAAATCAGCAAGACTAGTCGTGACCCGAGGGCCCGGAGGTGAAGGGGAAGTGTGTGGACGACGGAGAGGGCGAGACTGCTAGGACGGCCGCGCCGCGGAATGGGTTGGCCCCGGAAGCAGGTGAGCGGGCCTGATTTGCTGAAGGCGACCAAGGGGGGCGAGCTTCTGGCCGTGCTCCGTTGGTGCGCGGGGCGGCCGTCCCCGCCGTTGCGCCGGATTTGGGTTGCGAATGCGGGAGCCTCTAGAGCTGCGGCGCAACGGTTTGACGCTGGTAGCGACCGAAATCGGGCACCGCGCGCGCGATTCCGGGCGCTAGCGGCCGGCTTGTGCGGTGGGTGGCTCTCAGTACGTAGCAGCGGACGTGGGTACCGTCCCGAAAACGCTGACACGCCGGGGCGGCCTTCTGGCCCGAAGCCGCTGCTTCCGCCCACTGATTTGCAAACCCTGGGAACCCTGCGAGCGCCAGGGCTTGCCCCTGATTCGCAAACCCTGGGGAACCCTGAGGCAGGCAGAGCCTGCCAACTTGTCACTCCTGTCGCCCGTTTCGCTCTCCGAGCTGTTTGGCGTCCTCCAAGCTGTTTGGGCAGCTCGGAGGGGGCAAACCTTGACGAGGCAAAGCGTCGGATATGAGAGGGGCCAGCGAAGCCGTGCCGCCCTGAAAGCGTGGACCAACGTCATGCGGACGGTGTGGAGCTTTACCTGCGGCGCGTCTGGCGGTATTCGCTCGCCTCTGTTTGCTCCAGCACTCGCTGAGGCCATTCCAGGGACAAAACGCGCACCGCGTGCACGATTTAGGCCGCTAACGGATTTGCCTGCTGCCTGTCGAGCGTTTTGCTGTCGCTTATCTCGGAGAGAGCAGAGGCCGGCCGCCGCGTGTGTATCTCAATGCTGCGCCGGCGCCTCGTGGGTGGTCTTGTTGGTCTGCAAGGCATCCGAGCGGCATCGCGTTGAGGGGAACAGCAGGCGCAGGCGCCCCTTTTAAAACCTTGAGAGGGGCAAACCTTTGCCCTTGAAACCTTGAGAGGGGCAAGGCATTGGCGTGCAACCCTGAGGAGGCGCATCTTGTTTGAGGCGTGAGCGCTTTAAATCGAAAAGCAACCAAAACCAGGAGGCGCAAAACCTTGAGGAGGGAAAACGCGTTCCCGACCTTGAGAGGGAAGCTTTGAGACTTGTGCGATTTTTCGTCAGCTCTGAAACCCAAGACTCTTGAGAGGCCTCAAAACCTTGGGACTTCGCGCCTGGTGGTGAGCCTTGAGATTGTAGACCACGCACCCGCCTGAAACTCGGGAGGCCGCGGCGTCCGTTTCTGTCTTTCCTGCGATTCTCCTTACTTTGTGTGCCTTAAAACCGTGACAAGAAGTGGCCTCGTTTTTTGCCGCTTAATTATTCATAAAGAAGGAATAGGAAAAAGATACGGCCCTTTATTTCGTATGTACATCCTTGCTTGGTATGAAAAGGCCACACAGAGATTGGAGAAGTTTTTATCTCTAAAGACCGACAAGGAGGAGCAACAAACCCGGTAGCCATAGCCGCAAATGTGCGCGACCTTTTACTCCAACAACTGCAATATTACCATGGGGATGGGGCGAAAGCAAATCCACTCGTCGATGCGGGACGTGTAAGTGGCGGGATGCACTAGTTCAATCACCTCTAAACGCGTGCGTTTCCTCGCCGTGTTGTAAAGAAAAGACAATCACGTACTATGGTCATAGTGTTATAGAAGATAAGAGAAAACGATGTAGAAGAATGAAGAAAAAGTACTTCGAATAGAAATTTTTGATTTCCAACGAGCTACAATTCCTGACAAAAACTATGAAGATACTACAGATTGACAAAGTGATAATGTTTACCGTGCACAGATGAACCAGATTAGATATCAACGTTTGAGAAATTGAATTATCTGATGTCACCTCTCCCTTTTTTCCACACCGAACCAGAACAGGAACTAAATTTTTACTGGATCAAGATCCAACTCCAAGAGATATGTTGAAGAATTTTCGGGTACTACAGTCATGCGAATTATACCAAGCAAAAGTACTAACTTGTCGTGCTCGACAAACGTTCGGATGAATGTTGAAGGCGACCCGCTCTCGTGAAAAACATGTGTTCAACAACAACGCGATTCGTGCAGTGAAAAAGAATCCAAATCAATCATCATTTACATGATGTTCCCATAATACTTGGTGTTCAGTCTTTTTTTCTGAATCTGTTTCTTTGAGAACGATCTTTTTGAGAATTTGATCACTTTCTTCAATGTATTACTATAACTACCACGATTGAACAGGTCTTACCTTCAAGCGTGATCCCCGATGAATGTATTTTCCCCTCTTCCTTTCGAATGCGGGATGACTTTTGATTTTACAGGCAGTAATTATTAACATAATACAAATACTCACAGTAAAAGTAAAACTAGCTGAAGTGATGTGCAGTACGTCAGGCTCTACGGCACTCACAAGAACTAGCATGATTACAATCTTGCGATCAAGTACGTAGAAATGGAAAAGAGGAGGAGTTATTTCTTCTTCACCTTCTTGTTACCCCTCTAATATCAAACTCACCATCAATATATACGAACAAGAAAACCATGACGGCATCAACATCTTCGAGTCGTCCTGCAGAGGAAGGTGGAGGGCCTCTTTCCTCTACTACATCCACCTCAACCAGCTCTTCTTCGGAAACAATATCTGAACGTTTCTACCGCTTGTATCCAAGGCTGAAGCGTGTTTCTAACTCAGGTGATGGAAGTTGTGCGGACTTATCTCCCGAAGGCTTGAAGCAGCTCGTCACAGAGCTGCGTACCTTGGTAACCGAGGTAGAACGATCCAGCGTTTTCTCAGACAACGAAGACATCGACGACTTGCTCACTGAGGACCTGAAGTTTCTACTCCTGCCTCAAATGGTCGGAGACGCCTTGGCCTTGGACCACAACATGGAGACGAGGTTTAAGAGTCTGAGCAGTGCCATCATCTCATGGCAGATGTATCTGTCAAGAGCAGGAAGGTTTAATCTGGTGGATGCAGAAGACCAAGACGCAGTATTCGAAGGTATCGAATCGGGGACAGCGCAACAGCAGCGAGAGGGAAAGATCTCAAGGTTTGCTTGTTCTTTCTACTTTCTTTGATGCTAGGAGTAGTTCGATCGTAATAAATTCATGTGTATGTGTTCCTGAAGATGTAGTACAAATGAAACTGCAGGTGCAGCTGTTGTATTCTGAAGAAAAATACCACGCAACTAACACTATCAACATCAAAGCTCATGATCTTCTTTATATTTTATAAGCACCTCCTTATTCTTTTCACACTACAACGCACAGATACAAACGCGACCAGGAGCTTGAAAAGAAGATAGACTATTTTTTCGCGAGAGTCGCGAAGATGGGAGGAGAGGAGGAAGCATGGACAGGTGGAGGCGTAGACGAAGAGATGGCCAGGTCCTGCATCCTAGACCTTCTTCGGAAAGGTGTGCTTCATTGCATAGAGGAGGTAGCGGCAGCAAAAAGAGAACTCCCGATGCTGGAAATGTTCAGGTATTTTGATACTATTTTTTGCATTTCTTTCAATGGTATTGGTACCTTGTACTATAGTATATTAATGTCTACTTCTTGGCATGCCTTATAGTAAAACTGCATATCATATCGCTGTTGTAGTACGGTCTATAGATACTCGGCGTCAACAATTATGTGCACAACTAAAAACCTCAGTATGCGCGCAGCTTCCGGTGCTCCGTTGCAGTTCCAGGGTCCAGATGAGGACCAAAAGAAGAGGCCATGGCAGATTTCTATTCGGGACCCATCCGAACTGAAGCAGCTGTTCCAAAACAGCGTGTTCCAACCTGACATCCCGATGCCTACTGTGACTCTAGCTGAGTACGCAGACTACGAAATGGCCAAGCTCGCAGACCAAAAAGCAGACAAGGACGCTGCGGTAGTGGCAGAGTATACTGCGAAGAACCAGGAGGTAGGGCGTGGCGGACCCGTGGATGACCATTACAAGAAGGAGCGCGATGAGGAGGACATGAAAGAAGCAAAGCAGAGGAGTTGGGACGATTGGGTTGACTTCAATCCAAAGGGGATAGGGAACAAAATGAAAAACACAAGTTGACGAAGAAGACAAAGATATACCAACTACTCCTCCCCGCCAGCACCTCGACAAACCCCGCGGCTTTTCTTAAAACCTCCTCCCCCAGTCCCCTCCTCGTTTTGTCATCCTAGAGTTCTTTTTCTCTTAGACTTCATCGTACCACAGCAGTTCTTTCTGCATTTGTAGTACGATGAAATGTCTAGTAATCGACAGACGTACATTACAATCATGATGGTGCTACTTCACCAAGGTAGCCAGCCTGAAAGTATGCCTCTATCGTGTTCCATGATCCTCGTGGACAATAGATCACCATCACTCTTGGATCCTCCTGATCCGGATCCGTCATTGTTTAAGTACGGAGCAAAGAGGAGTTGATCACGATCGCGAACATGCTATGGATCTCGGTCAAGATGAACACGAAGATCGACGAACAAGAAGGACAAGGACAAGCTCATGTTCATGAGGACCTCCTTATTTTGAAAGTTCAGAGCAGATCATATGGATCATGTGGTGACCATTGGATAAAGCTCCTCATGATGTCTTCTTTGAGGAGATCGGAAGAAGGTACTTAAATAAAGTTGAAGAACCACTACTAGTCATCTCCTGTAACAAGTATTTGAATTTATTTGCGATTCTTGCGAGAGCACAAGAATAACAAGAATAGGCTAAATCAATCATGATTGGTGTGTTTCGAAATTACAAATTGTGAGTATCATGATCTAATATATTTATAAATATGTCGTCTTCAATCTCTTTATGTTTCTTGGCTTTGACGCTGCGCGCCTAAGTTATCTGACTTTCCTCCAGTGTTTTTATGACGAGTAGTTGTTCTTGTCACCTTGTGGTCTCATTTCTATCTACAAGCACTTCTTTTTTTGATCACGACGAGTAAGTATCAATATGTAATGTGAGGTGTGCTGGGATGCCCACGTAGCGAAACACCATACTCATCAGGATCAGTATCAATTTCAAGATGAAGGAAGAACAGGATGACATCTGGGCGCTTTTTGAGGACGATGCGTTGGACCCATCGCCGCCCTCAACAGCTAGAACGTCTTTGGACAGCGACCATCTAAAACGTGGCGCATCAGGAGCATCACCGCTCGAAATTTCTCCGGCCTCCACCAGAGCAACTGCGGCGTCTTGTTCTTCGACACCAAATAAACCAAGTGCAACGTCATCGGCGTCCACTGAAGCTCAACATAAAGATGGAAGGGCAATCGCCTGCTCTTCATCTTCAGCAGCACGACCCGCACCACGAGCGATTGACCATCCTCAACTTGCTTGGGTGAGGAATTTGTGGCCTCCTGAAAGCCGCATAGCATCTTGTGGACCAGCTTACCTCCTGCTTGAGGGAGTAAAGTCCTTGATCGAGGCACTGAGATGGCAGAGCGGGAGAACGCCAGGAGGATGCGCATCAGCAAGGGACACTGGAGGGGAGGGCGACGCAGCGAGCCTATTAGTCCAGCAAGTGATAACAGCTTTCGAAAGTCCAGAGTTGTTGGCAGTACAAGACAAAGTGCTTGACTCATCTACAGTATCCGCGGGCGAGCAATTGGAAACGCTTGCGCATAACCTAGAAAAATGGCTCGTGGGCGACCTTATGCTAGAAGGTGTCGCCGAAGGCGGAACTTGTTCTTTCAAGGGAGAACGAGGAGCAGATGACAACATAAAGATCATTGAATTCTTATCAGCAAAGTTCTGCCTCATTTCTGAGAAAGCCAAGCAACGCGGAGACCGTTCTGAAGCAATAGCAGCTTTACACTGTCTCGGGCTTGCGCTGCAGCTTGCACTGCAGACGGCGCAGAATTTGGAAGATTTTGAGGAAGTAGGACCTCCTGAACAAGATGAGAACCCTTCTGGTGATCGTGGTCAACCAGACCCAGAACCAAGAACAGGAGACGGCTTGGCTGCTCGTTGGTTGGCTCTTTTCGAGATGGTAGCTTATGGAGAGGGGTTGGGACTGGTGGCACGGATGAATGCTAGACGGCCTGCATCATGTGGCAAGCGAGCGAAAGACCACTGGCTTGGCCTTTTACTTGTAGCAGCCGAAAAAGCTGTCGCTGGAAGGCGAAGGAATCGTAGTTCTTCTGGTTCGTCGCGCAGAAGTGCATTTTCTCTTTCAGCCTCGTTTGGAGCAGCTCCATCGCTGTCATTGAAAGAAGAAGCAATGCTGAGAAAAGATCTTGCGCTACCAAGTTCATTACCACAAGAAGTAGTTGGTCTTGTCCACGTGCCCAGGATTGATCCTACAAAAAAGATTGAGACGCGAGTACATGGAAAAACGATTTCACCATTTGACTTTGCACGTGAATTCCGGTCAAAGCCTGGTCGTGAAGGCACGCCTGTCGTCATTCGAGGCGCAACAAAAGAATTCGGCTGTGACGTGCTCGGGCAGAATCTGCGAGAACTTCTTGCTATATCGGGAGATCGGCTTTGCCCCGTCAGCTACGGATCAGCACTTCTTGGTTCTTCAAGTGCCTTGCGAACAGGCATTACAACAATAGGAGAGCTCATTCTGGAACACTTAGCGGAAAGCAACAGGACGCAGAGAGACTTTTGTCAAGATGGCGCTGCCGATCTCGCTTCATGTTCATCACCTCCTCGTCAACAACCGCATGTTCACCCTGAGCCTGACGTAGAGCGCTTTCTCAAAACGACAGCGTATATGAGCCAACACCAATTATTTCATCAACTTCCGGACTTCTTGCTAGGCCACCCAGCTGACAGCGATAGTACTAGATCAAATGCAGGAGACCCAGAACAGAATGACGTTGACTGTACATCAGAGCTCAGGATACCTAGCTATAATCTTGGTCGACGACTGCAACCGCCGAATGCATGGATTGGCACACGAGGAACTGTGACGACTCTTCATTCCGACACGTCGGATGGCTTCCTGTGTCAGGTCGCGGGTTATAATTATGGTCTTGGTAGAAATTCTGGCATCCATATTTTTTTAACACGTACTCGACGTATACATGATAGATACTGATACTGTATCTATCTTCTGCAACCTCGCTTTATTTCGGTTTAGCACTCAGTGCGGACGAACTGATAATTCTACAAATTCTATTTAATATTGTACCTGTGCTGTGTGACTCGTAAATTTTTTCCAGTGTCTCGCTCAATCTATCTTTTTATTCCATTTTTTTCGACATCGAAACCTCATCTAATCTGGATACGTGCGACTATATGGCGCCTTGGATCGATCTCCTGGCGGCAGAGATGAGACCCATCTCTATGCCCAGCTTTTCCGCGAAGGTGAGAAGTGGTTCGGAACGAGCCCGGTGAGGATAGAAATACCAGACTTCGACAAGCATCCCAACTTTGCCGCAGTTGCTGACCAGTATACAGAAGCACTTTTAGAGCCGGGGGATATGCTGTATATTCCTGAGGGCCACTGGCACTACATCCGCAGTCTGACGACGTCGGTCAGTATAAATTTTTGGTGAAGTTGGTTCTTGGAGGAGGCTTCCGCAGCGAGTTAATAAGCTCTATCTTTCCTGGAAAGTGGAGACGCCTCCTCAAATCCGCATAAGATTGCACACGAAACCCCTTGAACGCCATAGGACCCCCATTTAACTAGGTTTTCGAAGCTCCACAATTACCCCAGATCATTAGCTATCCGCAGAAGATTGGGCTGTTGTGACATCACCGTCAGACAGGAAGTGGAGACGCTTCTTCATAAATGCGCATAAGATTGGGCTGGTGTGCGCGTGCTTTTTGGAATCCCGAGAGGCCCCGGCTGCCTCTGCAAGGGCTTCGCGAATGCACTTGAGCGACTGAAGAAAAAACAAAATTTTGACTATCGTCATGATGATGATGAGGCTTTTCCAAGTTATAAAAGTGCTGAAACAAACACTTCTTGAATTCTTCGTCGAGATGATAAACTATAAAGCGCTTTATATCCGCATTAAAAGATTGGGCTGGTGTGGCATCACCGTCAGACTTTTGAATGTGCTCGTGGACCTGTTCTTGCACTCGAGAAACTTCTATCATTGTTGGAAATTTTTTTCGGTCCACGCCGGTGATTTTAAACAACGAGAACATCAATATTTATGGAAATCTGTTCGTTGTTCAACAGTTGTGCTATTTTTAGAACATGATCGGTTTCGGTTTGGCGGAAACCTCGAGCAAGCTGCAATCGTTCATAATCTTTCTCGTTGTGACTCGCACAAGCATGTTTCGGTTTCGGATTCGGTAAAACAAACTTGAAAAATCAGGTCTCGAAATGGTTGAGCAAAGTAGGGAAGACATACTCATCGAAAAATTGGCTCGATGATTCATACAAGATTTTCTCGTCGTGAAGTCGTAGAAACTTTACCTGAAGGACCCCAAACCCAAGATCGCCCTTCCCTTTACGACCATCACACCCAGTCAGAGTACGGACCCCATGATAATTATGTCTCCTCTCCCTATGATTCTCTGCGTATAAGTAATCTCTTTTGATCTATTCATCATCTGCTCGACCTAATATGAAGATGTTGTTCTCTTGTCCTAGTCGTGTAGTAGCATGAAACTCATCGAACTCGTCATTGCTTTTTGAGATCATTCTTGGTGATTTGTAGTTGATTTCAAGATGGTGGTTTCAGCCACGACGTGACGGATTATTTTTCTAATTCACGATTCTTGATTATGCATCTCTCTAATATTCATCTCCTTCCCCCACGACCAAAAAGTAGATTGTAGGATTGAGGAATTTGAAGGTGAAGAGTAATTCTTGCCTTTGAGTTTGATCCAAATGACGACTACACCTAGACGAGAATAAATCAAGACAGTATAATTGTTCAACAACGAGGCTAACTCCCATTTTTTACTTATCCTGATTTGAGCATTACGTCAACAAATTTCGATTAGCTGCTCCATAAGTTTTCACCACCCATTTTGATGGAACAGTCTCAATCTAAAACTCGAATTTAACATTGATCTAACTTTCTTGATCTTCGTTTGATTAATATTTATATCCTTGTTCTCCACGAAGAATTACCAATTACACTCGTCACGACCAAAAATAACGA